TCTAGATTGCGGACTGCTAGGGTTAAGTTAAGAGTTATTCCAGTTTAGGACCATTAACCAGATAGAAGAGAGAGAGGTAGTTCTTTTTGTTGTTTTTAAAGTTAAGTTCAAACGGTTTAGCTAGAGCTTTGTTAAGCTTCAGGGTCTTTTAAGTCAAGGTCTGTTCCTGGCACGGAGGGCCGTTGAACTGGTTTCTCCACCCCTTCCCTTTACTGTGTCCCCTGTTTCTATAATTATCCCTGCGGGCGGCTAGGTTGAGTCTTGAGTCTTGACATGTGCGTTGAGTTTCGGACTAAAGAATCAGCACGCATTATGTAGAAGCGCTACAGGGCTAGATATGATATGGGACTGCTGAGTTTTGCCGGCCAGCCAGCTATTCAGCGTGAGTAGGATAGACAAGATACGGCCTGAACGAGAGGCAGGCCCGTTGGCTGCACCGCGTAGAAATGATGATCGTCTGAGGTCGCACTGCCCGTCATATCCCACGGAACCGGCTCTACGGAGTTAACTATGATAACACCCAGCATCTGCAGCCTTCTTTTTCCGTCGACTTCTGTCCAGACTCGTACTCTGTGCACAGCGCATCTGATATCAACCCAGGCCTCATCATTGGATCCCGTTGGCTGTTGACGGCCCGCATCACGTGTGCGGGCTGTTGTTTGTGCTTAACCGCATGTGGCAGCAGCGGTCTTGGCGGCCCCGGGCCCTCAGCCCGCCCTCAGCCCGCGGTTTGGTTTGGGCGCTGGGAGGTTGGGGGCTGGTGATCAGGTTAAGGGCTGGTGCGGGTTAGGTAAGGGGGGAGGTTCATCGACTGCGCATCGACTGCATCAACGGCTTCAACTCCTCCGCCTCAGCCATCCTCTCGCATTCCTCCAACCTCTCCCATCCCTCATCCCTCCATCCCTCATCCCTCCATCGCTCCCTCCCACTCTCCCTCGTTCTCGCTCTTCTCTTTTGTTCACGTTTCCTTTCTCTCGCTCCCCCTCTCTCGCTCTTTTCTCTATTATTCTCTCCCTTCGTTCCGCTCACAACGTTGGCTCCTGGCGGCTGTCCGTCTCTCTGTCAAGCTTGCCCGTCTCGCGCTCTCTCTCTGTATCCCCTGGTCTCCTGGTTGTCACGACTTCGTCTCCCGCTCATTGCTGATGCTCCAGGGGATGTTGGTCGATTGTTTGCGGGCCAAGCTGCTTCGCCGCCTGTTGGTCTCACACTGACAGACTACTGCACCGCACCAATTAGCCCTCCACCACACCCTCCCTGTTCTCCCATTATCTCCTTTCTACCTTCGCAGCCAGGTTACGGTTACTCTCACTCACAAAGCCCTCCTAATTATCGTTACTAGCTATAAGCAATACCCGACAATCTGAGAAACAAAGCAAACCGTACAAAGCAAACCTTACGTCGTCATCGTCAGATATCTTGGACCCAGGAACCTAAATACCTCTCTCTCGCGCACTTCTGCGGCTAAGCTAACAAGGGTGCTTGGGCGCTGGCTTGGGGGGCTGCCAGGTCACGTTTCGGTGCTAGGAACAACCACCAACCCCCAGCTGTATACTTCCCCCTCCTCCCTTGCTCTCCTCACCCTCCCACTTCTCCCTGACAGTTTTCTATACGAGACTGAATTTGAAATTGCACCGTTGCTTTGATCCACCCCTCCCACGAGAGCTCTACCTACGTTTCCTAGCCAAGCAAGCTTCTTCCTGCAAACATACTGCTACAATCGTCCACAAATACACATCCTGGTCTTTTGATTGATTGATTGCATTTATCTCCCCGATATACCTGTGATACCCGACGTCCTTCTTCGGCGCCTTCTACTTTTAATTAACCCTCCGTTTTCTGACAGCCTAATTTCGCTTTGCCTCACCTACCCAACGAATATTCATCGCCACAAATTCACTCGGTTCCCTTCTCGAGATTAAAAGCAATAATAAATATCCTCGCAATTTGCATTGGTGGCTAGGATAGACATAAATCGCACGGGTTTTTTGGGTTTGGATTGTGGGTGTAAAGGGATTCTCATTCCTCGAAACGACCCCCAGGAGGACGAAGTGCGGAAATGCCTCCTCCTGGTGGGCGTGCTTTCCCACCAGACCTAATTCCAGGCAACGGGCCTAGGAACAATGGGGCTCAACCGCCGACAAATCTAGGTGACCCGGGCATGTACGGCGAATCCTACCAGACCCAGCCTCCGATAGGTAATATGTCCAGTTCCACCGGGTCCGCCGGCGCGGGAGTCCCGTGGGATAATAATAATAATTCACCACCCATGGGCGGTGGTGCTTTCGACACCGACACGTATCACGCGCCGGACATTCGCACTGGGCGGGGACCACACCCCTCTAACACTCAACAAGGTGGCGCAGGATCAGGATCAGGCCCACGCGACAGGCCTCGCCTAAATGGGGGATCAGGGAGCAAGTCTCCTGGTGGTAGGACTTGTAGGCGATGCGGGGAACCCCTCCAGGGCCAGTTCGTGCGGGCGTTGGGCGGCACATTTCACCTGGAGTGCTTCCAGTGCAGTGTATGTTATTGTTCTTTTTTTTTGTATCTTGTCGTTGCTTACTTCGCTTGTCTTTTAATTTGTTTTTTTTTTAACTTAATAATAGGACTGTGGCGATGTTGTCGCATCGAAATTCTTCCCGGTGGACGCTGAGGATGGCTCTGGCCAATACCCTCTTTGTGAGACGGATTACTTTCGACGTCTAAATCTCCTCTGCTATGATTGTGGTGGTGCGCTCCGTGGGTCATATATCACCGCTCTGGATCGCAAATACCACATCGAACATTTTACTTGTTCCGCTTGTCCAACCGTCTTCGGAGCACAGGATAGCTACTATGAACATGAGGACAAAGTATACTGTCATTATCATTATTCAACACAGTTCGCCCAAAGGTGCAATGGGTGCCATACGGCAATCTTGAAGCAATTCGTCGAGATCTTCCGCAACGGCCAGAATCAACACTGGCACCCGGAATGCTATATGATCCACAAGTTCTGGAACGTCCGGCTTGCGCCCAACGGGCAGGAGTTTGTGCGTCCAGAGTTGGATATCGAGGCTACCGAAGAAGATCGCAACTTTGTCAAGAAGCAAGAGGATAAGATGGAAGAGAAGGTGTACCGGATATGGAGCGTGCTGTCTACATTCGAAGAGTCGTCCGCTGCTTGCATCTCCGACATGTTATTACATGTCAGTAATGGCGCGTACATCGATGGTGTTGTTGTTGCGAAAAAGTTCATCTACCATGTTGAGGTTCTGTTTAAGGCTTTGGATGGACTTGCTGCTGCGATATCATATCGAAAGATGAAAGGTAAGGAAAACGGTTCCCATCTGTTTCCGTTCTCTTTCGTACTTACATTAACGGAAAAAAAATGGAAATTTAGATCTGCAATACGGTCGAGAAGCCAAACTCCTGTGCAAAAAAATTGTCGCATTTTTTGCATTGCTCTCCAAAACTCAAGAGACGGGTGTTCGTAAACTTGGTGTCACGCAAGAGTTGCTGGCCCTTGTAACGGGGCTTGCCCACTACCTAAAGCTTCTAATCCGTATCGGTCTACAGGGTGCTTTGAAGTTAGAAAGGGAGATCGACAACCCGGACGAATTATACGCATTCCTAGATAAACTGGACAGCCTGGGTGAATTAGATTCCATCTCAGCCTCCAATCTCACAGATTCTATGACCCAGCTCTCAGACCAACAGTCCGATTGCTGTGCTGCCTGCAACGACCCAATCGATGATGAATGCATAATCCTCGGCCAGCGAAGGTGGCATTTGAAACCTCCGCATCTCGTTTGCGGCGCTTGTCAGAATGACCTCACTCTGGACCTGCTCAATGCGCGGTGGAGCGAGGAAAAGGATCGGCCATTCTGCCGCATATGTGCTGAACGGGGAGGCCACGCGCCGAATGGACAGAAAGGGTTTGCTTATGTTAGCAAACTGCAGCAATATGTATTCTTGCTGCAGGTGGCTCTTGCGAGACTGCTTTCGGTTTTACGGTCTGGTGGGACTCTGCCGCATACCTCAGGTACTAATCCTGATCCTGTCACTTTTCTATTATCCCATTTACTGACTTGCGATATACAGACGATCCAAACCTGAAAAGCTACGAAGCGAACGATGGCCACCGTCTGAACGACGCGGGAGAACTCCAGACACCCCAGAGATCAAATACCCGATCGAGATCGTACGGGGCAGGCGGTGCACGGGACGAGAACGCCGGTTCATCGTCGTTAGAACAAACCGTCGGGGAAATTCGAAGACTCCACTCAACCCGCACAGAACGCACTCTCTCCACAATATATAAGAAAGCCCACGCTTCACGAATCATTGACGGGCCTCAGGGAAGATCTGCACGTCCCGGTTCTCCAGGTGCCAGCGGGTCTGAAACGAATAATCCAGGTTTCCAGATTGTCGAAGAACGAGATGCTTCTGGCGAGCCAATTAAAGACCTGACATTTGGAAACCAGGACGCGCTGACGCTGGATGATATCCCAAGAATCGTCGCAGCTGAGCAAGCTAAGGAGCAGCGGCCTAATGCATTCCGCCATGCTGGAACTAATCTTGTTACCTCCGGAGGCCGACCTCCCAAACTAGTCAATGGACACCAAAGGGAAGTATCCGGCCCCGCCGACACCCGTGGCGACACCGGCGCGCCTAGAACCACAAAGTATTTCTCCGAATTATCTGCGCTGGAGTACTTTATTGTCCGACACGTTGCCGTCTTGTCCATGGAGCCACTTCTAGAAGGACACTTCAATCTGGAAGAACTCCTGGGTCTCATCGAGTCGCGCAAACCTACGATCTGGAACATCTTCGGCCGCGCGTTTAAGAACGATGGCCGCAAAGGTGGGAAGAAGAAAGGCGTCTTCGGCGTCGGTTTAGACGCACTGATCGAGAAAGATGGGACGGAGTCAACGCATGGTGTTGGTCCGGGCACGTTGCGTATACCGACGTTCGTTGACGATGCGATTTCCGCTATGCGACAAATGGACATGTCTGTCGAGGGAGTGTTTCGGAAGAATGGTAATATCAAGCGTCTGAAGGAGACATCGGATATTGTCGATACGAAGTATGAGCAGGCGGATTTCAATAAAGAGAATCCGGTGCAGATTGCTGCGCTGCTCAAGAAGTTTTTGAGGGAGATGCCGGATCCGTTGCTTACGTTTAAATTACATCGGCTGTTCCTTGTTTCTCAGAGTAGGTTATCCACTTCCGCCATTTCTTCATTCTCTCTCTACCTCTTCTCCTTTACCCCCTACGTAATGATGAGGCCTGACCAAATATATTCAGAAATATCCGATCCCGAAAATCAACGGCGTGTTCTGCACTTAACTTGTTGTCTACTCCCAAAGACACACAGGGATACCATGGAGGTTCTCTTTTCATTCCTCCATTGGGCCTCCTCGTTCTCTCATGTCGATGAAGAATCTGGCAGCAAAATGGATATCCACAACATCGCGACCGTCATGACTCCTAATATTCTCTACTCGAGAGAGAAAACAGCGGGGATGGAGGATAGTTTCCTGGCGATAGAAGCTGTCACTGCATTGATAGAGTACAATGATACGATGTGTGAGGTGAGCTGAAAAATGAAAAACTCCCAAACGGCCACGCCGGAAGAGTCACTATGGGAAAATACTAACTACCCTTGTCATATAGGTCCCAGAACATCTCCAATCCGTCCTAACGGACTCATCCCTCTTCAACGGGAGCGCAGAAATAACCACCAAGGAAATCCTCAAACGGTACGGCGGTGACCTTAGCAAAATTGCAACCCCGCAACGCGCACCACCCACTGCGGAAGGCACCCCGGTCCGCACCGGTTCGGGCCGTGCGGTCAACCCACCCCTCGCCACGCGCATTGACAAGGATCCTTCCCAAGCCAATGCGCGGCAGATGCAAACCTCTGTCCGACATGTGCAACCTGCTGGAGCTGGAGCTGCAATGGGTGCCGCACCACCACAAGGCCCACAACAATTCGAACAGCAACAACAAACACTCGGTTCACCGCCGATGGAATATGATTACGGCTCGCAGCAGCAGCAGCAGCCACATCCCCGATTCCCAGATCGCAGCGCAAGTGGAGATAGTTATACCAGCCAAACACAACAAGAGCGGCAACAGCAGCAGCAGATGGCATTTCGACAGCGGCAGGCAGCTGCCGCAGCGGGTGGACCTATATAAGAACGTTATCTCACTCTCCCACTCATTTGACTTGGCTCACAAATATTAATAAATAACACTGCGCAGAGTCGAAATATCGAAAAATACTTTTGGGGATTTCTCGTCAGCCTGTGGCTAACTGGGTTATCTTGGGGTTTTGCTTTTGCTTTCCAAACCTTTTTTTTCGTTCCTTTATTTTTTTTTGAATGACTTCTTATTTCATTTCTTACTTGTTCCTCTTCCTCGTCCTTCCCCCTCTTCTGCTGTCGCTGCTGTTTCGCTTTCCTGGACGGAAATGCAGTAACCCTTTCTTCCTGTGTTGTGTGTCATGTTGTGTCTGTTGATTGTTTCCGTTTGTATTTTCATCTCTTCTCGCTTTATCTTTTTAGCGTTACCGTTATCGTTGAAGCCTAGAGAAAAGGAAGAATGGGGAAGAGGGTGAGGCGGTGGTGATCGAGAAAGTATGAAAAACAAAATCAAGAAAAAAATACCGTCTAGTATTGGGATGATGGACGGAGGGAGTGGTATGACATGATATCATCCTGTGGCCCGGCCGCCAACATTTACCTTTTTAACCTTTATTCCTCCTCATCCCCTATTTCGCTTCAACCCGGATTTTCCTTTTACCTCTTATGACCAACTACTTTGCTTGCCCAACATAACATTTCACCTCACATATACCTACCTCCCTTCCAGCGCTATTTAGAAATCTAACACCATTTTCGTTCGTCAGGAAAGCTCTGGTTACCCATTTTGACCTCCCCCTATCCCACACTATTCCCCTATCTGAATTAAGTAGTATCTCTTCCTTTCGAGGAAGCGGTCTGTGCTAAATCGTTGTACCTATTCCTTCGCTGGCTCTTTGTCTTTTTTGCTCTATTTTTATTCCAATGCTTCTGCCCTCCAAATGTCTCGTTCCCTATTTTTCCCTTTTCTTACTTTTCTCTTTTTCGTTACAAAAGATTACCCTATAAGCTATTGACTTTTTTTGTTATTTATTTATTCCCTGGCCTCGTCCACCTATTCGCGCGTTCTCTTCTCTTCACTGTTTTCTATTTTTATCCTCTCTTCTTTTCGTCTTTTTTTTTAAAAAAATCTATCCTTTTCAGCATATCCATTTTAAAGCATCCTGTATCTGCTCTCGATCTCTCTCTCGCCCACACCCACTTTTTTTATTATTACATTTATCATTTTGTCATCAGATCAGCTTCTCAGGACGCTGGCACTTATTTTACGTTTCTTAGCTTAATATATTGAAACAAAGCCAAATAGTTTTTTTGTCCTTTCAGAGTTTCTCGTATCGCTTTCTAACTAATGCAACCCCTGTCCTTGATGCTCTGTAGTTTCAGGTTCGTGCTGAGGTATTGGCTCTCAGCTTCGAGCTGTCGAACAAAAGGTCGCCATCGAGATTCTGAACAAGCCTACTCACACGTGACTTCCCGCAAAGCCGCGCTAATACAAATACAGCCCATCCCGACAAACGACAAAAGGATATATCTGCGCAAATTAAAACAAATAAGGATAAGAGTATCCCACGTCATACATCGCTTGAATCTCCTGCAAAACTCCCCTCTCCACTCTCCAGCAAAGGAGCTCCACGAAGGAACACGAAAAAAAAAAAAAAAGCAAGCCTGTTCTCTTTCGCCGCCCAAAGATGACGGCCCCATCCTCCACAGCCCTCCCAGACCCCACGCATCGAAAGCGCGAACTGCCACAGAACGAGCTAGAAGCGACCTCGCAGCTGAAACTGGGAGAATTCCAAAACGTACCGACGCTCTCGCTATCAGAGGCGCGGCTGGTTATTAATAAGGTGCTGGATTTGAGGAGGAAAGGCGATCATAAGTTTGAAGAGAGGGAGTATGTCGTTTTGATTTGTTTTGTTTAACCCCTATTTTTGCTTGTGTTTTTGGGATGGGAGAGTGTTGGGGAGGGCTGCGCGCTGGAGGTTGATCTTGGAATGTAGCGCGTGGTGGATATTGAGCTGAGATGCGACGTATCCCAGCAGCAGAATTGGAGAGAAGCAGACGACGGGCGGGAGAGGAGAAAATCTAGAATATATGGTTTTTCTAACACTTTGTTTCAGGACCCTAGTAAAAACGCAAGATTATCTTGAGCTCTTCGCGCGGTTCAAGGAGAAGGAAAACATCGAGGCTGTCGAACGCTTGCTATCTGCACATACTGAGCTTGAGTTTTTTGAGCGGTCGCAACTAGGTATGTTGCATTTTGTGATTTGTGCGCAGGCATAAAAAATATACAGATTTGCTGCAGCCGCGGTTGCGCAACGGAGAAAAACCGCGCCTCTAACATTGCTTGCTACAGGAAGCCTTTGCTGCAACGATGCTGAAGAAGCCAAGTCGCTCATCCCCAGCATCGGGAATAAAATCTCCGACACCGAGCTCCAAGAACTGCTAGACGAATTGACGAAGCTGAGGAACTTTGTGGAGTGAGAAGACCACATTGTCGTGCTGCTTTTCTTTCCACCTTTCTCGAAAGCATTAATGCTTATCTCTCTGCCCTCTTTGGCTTTTTGGCCCCCTTTTCATAAAGCAAAGGATAAAAGTCACGGAGTGTGTGCGTGTACATGTGATTGATGGAATGGAACGCAGTCGAATTAGCATTTTATGATGAGTCATGATGGATATATAAGATATGTGACTCGTCTCTCTGGAGATGCAAAAAGCAATCCAGAAAAATTGAAATACGGAATATTCTATTGTATCCCTGGGTACAAAATGGACTACCCGAATGCGAAAATTGGTGGAAGGTATGAGATCGGTTGCGCAGCGCGCCTTGAACCCTATCATGGCAGCACCAATACATATCCATATCCCAGTGCCCGCCTACTATTTGCTTTACTTCTTTCCAGCAGACATCGTCCGAATTCCGGTCCATAGGCTCTTTGACGGGAACAAACATCCATTGTGAAACCGACTCTACGAACGCTGGTAATATGATACATTTGCAATGTAATTGTGGGACTGGAGTTTGTCCTGTATACTAATCGAAACCTTGGAGCGGGAAAATGGTTCGTTCACTCGAGAAGATGTGGGACGGACATGTTAATCGAATAGTAATAGAAAGATGTACCACAAATAGAACGAAAATTGCTAGTTTTTCTTTCCTTTTCTTTTTCTTCGCTTGATCGATGCATTACTTCGAAGGACATGAAGGGCTTGGTGACATCCAAAGTGGTGATATAATGCGGGATAAATTGAATAAAAATTTACCCTACGCCGCTAATAGATGTACTATAAATACAATTGTAGAATATGCAAAGTTAAAATAGACAAAAAGAAACAGAAGTTACGCCTAATTCTTGACATTCCAAACTCATGGATACGAAAATGGTAACAATGCGAAACACCGCTTTCCTAGAAACCCATATATCTTTCCACCCCTTATCGCGCCCGTCACTCAAGCCTTCTTAAATGCAACCTCAGCAGGTAATCTAAAAGAAGCACAGAACATCTTTTTCGTCGGCGATACAAGTCTCACGCTCCGAATTTCCAACTCCCGGCCCTCATCCTCAGGCGTTATCTTAAATCCAAGCCGTTCAGAAATGCGCTCACAGATATCTTTGCGCTCAAGAGCCTCATCCTCGCTATTCGTCGAGAAGCAATAGACATGGATGAGCGGCAGTTTGCGGTCGGTGTACGGTTCGAAGAGCTCCTGCATGCCGGCGTAGAGACCGCGAAAGGCGTCGAGGAACTCAATCGCAGTGGCCGGCAGGTTCATGACGAAGTGGTCAAAGGTTCGCGGACAGGTCAAATATTCCGTGTCGAACGCTTTTGGCTTCCGTTGACGGATCGGACTATTTTCGCGTTCCGCTTTAGGAACCTTGGTGCGGTGGACTACGGTTCGGGGATTTCCTTGGTATAGCCTTTCGGTAGCGAAGCGGATGAAATCGCGGCCGTTCATGTTGTGCGCTTTCACGAACTCTCTAACTTTGTTCTTTGCAGCGCCGCGCTCCAGACATTCGTAGCCATATGGATTTAGATCGTTGGCCCAGACGAAGACCTGCTTCTTTCCTGCCGGGATTGAGAAGGGACCCACGCCAGCCATGACGTCGCAAACAGCCTCCCCTTTTTTGAATCTGCTGACCATACGCTCATGCTCGGTGGCTAGGCGTGTGTTCCAGTATACTTTTGAGTAATCGAAGGAGTATTCGCAGTCTTGCTCGTGTACAGTGACGAGCATATCGTCCTCTCCGGCTAGCACTTCGTATGAAAAAGTGCGGAATTCGCTGTGGGATCCAACATCATCGGTTTTGTTAATTACTGTTCTGGCTTGAGGATGTTTATCTCGTAAAATCTCTCCCAGAAGGTATTTATATGGTAGATATTGTTCGCGAAGATTGAAGTGAGCTATTGGAAGGGATTAGAGTTAGAAACGAACAAATTGACAACCGCAGCTGTTAGAAATACGTACCAACATGTCCAACTTGAGTAAATCCAACAGGTAATTCATCCAATTTTTCGTCCGGAAGTATAGAATCGATGATGTCCTCTACCCATCAAAGGATGGTTAGCAATGGCAGTCTTTCATCTCTTTATCAATCACGGTCGAGGACAAACATACTGTAAGTGAAATAGTCGTAATCAAGCAGCAGGTTGAACGGACGAACTTCCACCGATTTAGCCTCAACTAGTTTCTGGATAGTAGGAGACCACGTCGTCACGTCTATTTATTGTGGGAACGAACGTTAGCACGTTATGCACACCCGACAAGGGATCGGTTCCCAAGTCGAAGCCAGAAGAGACAAAAAGCTGGCTAGAAGGCGATAAATTGCACACACCATCGGCCTTGATACCCTCCCTAAGTAGCAGACATTTTCGACCGTCCTGCTTCCCGTCCTTTCTACCATACCAGTGATCTGTAACATTTTCTAACGGCCCCTCTCGCGCGGCGCGCACGGGTATAATGCGATTTGCCAGCAACAAGTCCTGACTCTGGAGCAATTCACTTTTTATGGAGCCAATGGATTGTTTGTCGAAAATAGTAGCAGCGGAGAGAGGGACGGTTTTTTTGAAGAACGAGCGGTCGAGGGTCCGCATCATGCGGTTGACCGGTGCGCGGAACATGTCTGATTCGCTGGTGGAGATGGTATTGGCCGCCGTCACGACGGGCGAAGAGTTGTTAGGGAAGGGAGAGGAAGAGGATATGGAGAGGGATTGCAAAGTAGCAGCCTCTTCCATCTAATCGCTCTCTTAAATCATGTATGTTGGGTATAAAAGTGACGAGAGGAGGGCGAAGAGGTAGAAGTTCTTGCGTTTGCGTGGAGAATGGATTTGTAGTTTGCTAGGCCATTATGTGGATATACATACGTAGCAGTTAGGTCGTATAAGCATATATCTAAATTATGTATAAGCGCAATTTCGAGCGACTGTCAACAGCGTTTCGATACTAGTAATCTAAGATCATGAGTCTCAGGAGTGGATAAAGATCTTGGAAAAAATTTGAGTTAGGAAATCACGTGGCTTATCTTATCAGCACAGAGACATATGGAATTGCCTCACAAGATTATGAAAATGAATAATACCAAATATTTAAGATAAGCTAAGTATATATAAATCCCTACCTCATGTAGTACATACAGAGTATACACAGGCTGTCTCCAGAATCGCGACGCTTCCCCCTTGACGATAAGGGGGGCGGGGCCAGGGTTATCGCCAAATCCATCAAATCCATCAAATCCATACTAAAAAATAAACACCAAAAATGCTGGTATAAATGCAAGTTCGAATTCCGACAGATCTGCGAATCAGTGGCGACAAAAAAACAGTTTACATAAAAATAAATGCACACACGCATCTAAACCCTACCCATCATCCCTCTCCTCCACTCTTTCAAGACTTTCAAATCTAGCCGAATCCTTACTCAACCTCCCAAGTCTGAACCCTTCCCTTTCCGCCTCAAGCACCGCAATCCTTCCCCTCAGCGTCTGTATCTGTGTATCCCTATTCCTAACAGCGGCTCGCGAAACATCCCTTCCCTTAATAATTGCCTGCGTATGTAGATATTCCGTGTTCAGCAATGTAACAAGCTCCCGCTTAGCGGCGGGAGATAAGGCGATGTCATGCTTGGAGAGTACGGCGAGGGTATTGGAAACGATTGTGCGGGTCTTCTGGGGGCTGATTGTAGATGTGGTGGTAGACGAAATGACGGATGGGGTGGCAGCGGAGGGTATGCTATCGCTGTGAAGTAAGGGTGTGGAGGGGTAGCGGATTGGTGTTGGTGTTGGTGGGGAAGCGAGATCGGATTGGTCCGCTATCGTGGTACGAGGTGGGGTTGTTGCTGTATCTTGTCCGTATGTAAAGATGCTGCGTGTTGTTTGTGGCGTCGAGAATCGGGAAAGGGATATGGAAGGCGTGGGGTTGGGACGTTGGTATGAAGCAAATAATCTAGTTGAGGGGACGGGTCCGAAAGGATCATCCAGCCCTGCTGGATCTTTATTACGCTCACCATGCGCACTACCATCTCGACAAGTACCACGGGCACCGTCACCCTCATCCTTGCTCACAAATAAACCCCGTCCATCTCGAAACCACCCAGGGCTTTTTCGCGGAGTACTTGGTCGAAAGGTATCTTGTTCCTGTGTCTGTCGTGAGTTCTCCTGTCTCACAAACTGCTCCACAAAGTTCTCGTCTATATCGTCATCCCAACCAAACGAGTCATCTTCACCACCTATTTCTTCTTCATTTTCTCTTTTAATAGAAACACCCTCCACCCTACTCTTCTTGCTCGGCGATCCCAGCTCGCTCACGCTATTTAGCCGATAACCATAGCTCTGCTCATAACCATAGCCCTGCTCATAATCACGGCTCCTCTTCTTTGTCGCTGACCTGGGCGTCAGCAATCCAGTCCTGGTATCGATGGAGGCCTGAGCCAAAGGCCGCGATGGCGTTTTGCTCATAACGCCGCTGCCGATCGTATTCGAAGTGGAATACCCGGTTGCTCCCGCTCCCACTTCCGCTTCCGGACTCTTCAGCACCTTCGCCATGTCACGTTCCCTAATCACCGCCTCCTCCCCCCACAAGAAGAAATTGCACCGTTTCCCCTGCGGCTTTGGACATGTGTAGACTGCATTTTCTTATTAGTCGCAGGGCACCACAGCATATCAGCATTCATTACATCCTTCAGTGACTTGACAAGGGGTATCGGCACACAATCAAAAAGGTAGAACCCAATATTGTAAGACATGGGGGAATGTCGAATAGGACTTACACCAGCGCCCGTGATTCTTCCCTCCATTTTTTGTCTGAAAGTGGTCGGCCCACCGGCGCGGCTCGCAGTTGCAATGCCATTTGCGGTTGGCAAATAGGCCGTGGAGCGGGACGGCGGTGGAGCGACTGGGGAGACTTCGCGGGGTGGAGGCGGGCGGTTTATTCCTATCTCGAGTTGATGGGGTACTGGGTAAGGGGTCATGACGGGAAAACATTTCATGTTCATGCGATTCCTGTTGAGAGGAGCGGGGGTCAAATCAAGGTCTCTTTGGCTGGTAACGTCATGTAGCAGGTAGGTGGAGTAAGAAGGGGGAATGGTTGTCCTAAAGGTTTGATGAATTATCCGTTATCCCCATTAATACGCAAGTGTCGCTCACCATCAAACAACCATGAACTAGATTAAAGCAACGAGGATAAAAAAATGAATTAACTATCCCGAATTCATGTTTCTTGGCTGGTGTGGTCGCCATGGGAACGACTCATCGAGAGCGAGATCAAATTAAGGTTATTTTAGTTTAACTCTAAAGGAGCCGCATGAGAAAATCGGTCTTGGCGTCACGCTAAGAATGAGCATCGAAAAGATCTCGAAAAGATCTAGTTGATACATCATCCCTCCTTAGAAAAGAGGAAAAGAAATCCAATCCCACACTGCCACAGAACAACAAAGGTGGGGATTGAAGGGCGCCCTGAAGTCGCCCTCAAGGATATATATTGGGAAATATTTCCAAACAAAAATATATATGTCTCCGGAACAAAGTTCACAGGGAACCAAGGGGCTGAAAACTGAGCAAAAAAAGAGTGAACGACTAAATTGTTGTTTTATCAAAAAAGGGCTTAGCAAACTCTAACCCTGAAAACAAAAGGGCGTGGAGAAACAGGCGTAAAAAATTCAGGAATTGAAAAGAGTCAAGGAAAAAAGGTTGGGGGAAACAACGACAGAACGAAAAGGGACCCAAAACTAAGAAGTAAATCAGGTCTTTGTTTGTTAAGAATCCAAACGAAAATGGCTCAGACTCCCACGGTAAAGCGCATACAATGGAATAATCCAGAGGAAACAAAAAATGAGGCAAAATCCCATTCAATCCTATGTGTATGGATCAATACGTATGGGACGAAGAAAGAGTAAAAGGGTAACACCATCCCGTCACGCCATCGACACCTCGGTTCAACAGAACGAACACTGTACACCTGCACGTAGTAGAGTAACTGGCCCAAACACCCACCTAAAACTGATGGGGTAAATTAAAAGTGAAAATAAAAGAAAAAAAATGAAAGGGCATCTAAAGTGAGAAATATAAGGATAATAATGATAATAATAAACAACACTCGGGATCCAACCCAGGGATCTATCACGGTTGGCGTTGCCAATGGCTCATAATCCAAGAGAGAGAAAGAGCGAGGAACGAAAGATAAAAACTAATAGAACACAGAGTCTACCCAAAATCCTAACCCAATTATTGTAGGGGAAAACAAAGAAAGAAAGGAAGCCCTATTTCCAAAAAGGGAAAAGAATATATATATGGAAAAAAAACCCACACACCCCTCCTCTCAATCTGCAAGCACAGTCCTCACCATCGCCCCAAATGACTCTCTCATCTTCAAAATCTCCCTGATCTCTGGCTTGACGGGCTCGCCCGCCGTGCGACGCAGGCGCGCCTGGCGCTTCGAGCGACGCTTGCGCTCGACAGAGATGGGGTCGAGATCATCTTCGGCCGAGTCTTCGTCGGAGGAGTGCGAGGCCATGTCGTCGATGGCGAGGTCCTCGAGATCGGCCTGATTTCGTATTTGATTTGTTAATAATGTTTTCTTTCTAGTCTTTTCTATTCTATTCTTTTCTTTGTTTTATGTCCCCGCGACGTAAGGATACCAACAACAGGAATTGGGCATGGTATACAAAACAAAAACTGTCTTGACTCACCTCATCCAGCCCAAAATCACTCCCCCTAAAAGTCGCACTGCCCGGCATCTCCGAATCCGCTGCCGTCCCAGACCCTTCCGCAGCCATCTTTTGCCGCGTCTTATCGTGGTGCCACTTCTTGCGATCTGCATGCCACTTGACCAGCGAGTCAATCTCCTTCATCGCTAACTCAGGGTCAATCTGGCCCACAGCCACCGCTCCGCGGAACAGCGCGTTCATGTCCAGCTTGCCGCCGCTGCGCGGCCCATGACGGAGGAAGTGCAGGATGTCCTCCAGCCAGCCCATGAGGGCGTCGAAGAGGCCGTTGTCGTGCAGGTGGACCTCGTGGACGAATTTGTAGAAGCTGTGCTGGTGGCGGGCGCAGAGGTCGATGAAGGCCTGGACAGTCTGGTTGGGGTCTGCGGAAACGTCTTGGCGCTGCGCGCTCTCGATAACAGCGATGGCGTCATCGGCGAACTCGGCGAAGTCGGTTATGCTGCTGTAAACGTTTGCAGACTTGTAGACACGGACGAGGGGTTCGTAGAAGATTGTGAACAGGTCGCGGAAGAGTTGGAGGGTGACGGGCTGTGGGTAGTTAGTATCGCTTGTCTTTTCGGAGGTTGGCCGCAGGAGCAATTATTTATTTAAATATTTATATTATTTTTTCCATACCTCTTCGATAACGCTCAACATCATGGCCTTGTCTCGCTGACGTGTTAAAAGTTTCAACAGCTGCTTCAGATACGCAAACCAATGCGCACCCTGCTGCATCTGCATATCAACCTGCAGGTGAAAACATTAGCAGCTGCCAAGAATAAAAAAAATAAGTAACGGTAAAGAATCGCAAACCTACATTCTCAACCGTATTAACCCACGCAACATAGGAATTAAAAACTTTCTCAATCTGCGCCGGACTAAGCTCGGGCTCGATATACTCCGACCTCAAAATCGCAACCACAATATCGACATCCTCCTCTTTCGCCTCACGCCTCAGCTCATCCTTCACCTGTTCGTCGGCTGCCGTGAACGCCCGCAACTTGTTGACAAGGACAGGGTCTTCGATCTTGGCACTGAGCGTGTCTATAGAGCGCTGGAATGTCTTGATGCCGTCGTGGATAGCGAGAGAGAAAATGCGCTGGAGTAGCGAGCGGGAGCCGAAGGGCTGGGCGAGGAACAGGTCTAGAACGCCGGACATGACAGCGGCGGGGTTCGCGATTCGAATTACGTTTTTCATGATGGTGTAGGGCACTAAGGAGTGGATGCGTTTTGCTTGGGCGAATAGTTCGGGGGAGTTGTCTTCCGCCAGGAAGAGGTGATATATCGTCGCGGCAACCCTGGACAGGGGGAAATTAGTGTCCACCTAAAAAATGTAAGAATATAAGATCTTTGTATAACCTACTCAATGCGCAGCCATTCTGCAAACTTTTGATATTGAGGACTCAACTCTTCAACAGAGTTCTTCACGCGGATCTCATGGAATAATTTCGTCAAGCCATCTTAATTCGTAAAAGAAAAAACAAAAATCAGAAAATGGTTAGCCCAAAAAATCCTTACTACTTTGTAGAGTGTGGACGATCCAGAGCAGCCAGAATAGCCAGGCCAAACACTTACTATTCTCGACGATATCCTGTCGAAACTGCTCCATATAAACATCCAGCTCCTGCGCTCTTTTCCTTGCAATCTCATAAAACTGTCTCTGCTCCTCAACCCGCTTCGCATCTAAATCCTTCCTACGCTGGATGTCCATAAGCTCCTCCTCGTTCAACGTGATCGGGTCAGCTGTGAGGAACTCCTCCAGCGCCTTGGATTCCGCGATCCGCGGGTTCTGCAGTAAGGTGCGCAGGAACGCGCGGAGGGATACTCTCTGATTTTCGCGGTACAAGGAGACCGTAACCTCCGTCTTGAGGTCACCTGTCGAAGGGCGTGGGGTGACCGTCGCTGACTTCAGCTTTTTGGTAACCGATGAACGGGAGGAGGAACGATGGTGGTCCGCGTTGTTGACGGTGAGAGTCCGAGCGGAGCGGGAGTCGTCGGTGAAATTGGCATCTTGAGTTGAGACGGAGGAGACGGACGACGCATCATCGTCTCCGCCTCCTAGGATTGTGGAGGAAACAGAGCCTTTATTCTTCCTTGGTAGCGGTGGGAGGATTTTCCCGGGCATCTCGGTACGAAGGCGTTTATGGAGTTTGGCGAACTCGCCGAACCGTCGACCGACGTAGCGATCAGGCTTGCCGTGTTGTTTCACTCTAAGGATGAATTCCTATAACCAGGCATGGACTGAATAAGCATTCACTGGTTCAATATTATATATATATATATAATATTGTGAATACAGAGAAACGAAGGGAGGATGCCTCCTAGCGCAAACATACCGCATGCTGGTGGTACCTAACTGTCCGCTTAACCAATGTCGTCCGGGCGCCAGCAACATTTACATCCCATCCGTGTATGGCATGGCCCTCGGGGATATTAACGAGCAACCCTTGTTCATTAGCACTGCGATCCACCACCTCCATTTCCGAGAAGCGGATACGTTCTTCATAGCCGGACGCGGTGGGGATGCCGGAGACCATCATGAGCTCGACCAGCTTCTCACACTTCAGCGCCAGCTTGCGCCGCTTCGTTTCTTCGTGCCGGTCTTCGCTGGAGGATATGTGTTTGTTCGCGAAGGACTCGAGGAACTTTTGTGTTTATGACACACCACAAACATTAGCGTACGTCACTTCAATATGTGGTAATAGAGTAATGGAGCTAAATAATAATGAATAAATGAATAAATAAATAAATAAAAATTTCATACAGTCTGCAGCTTATCCTGCCAAAATTCTTTCTCCTTGGCCTGATCCAGGAACGGGAACTTGCGCACATGCTGGACGAATATGAACCTGAGAATGGGCAGCTCTGAATCAATGGGCGCTATCTCTCCAAGATCCGACTTGAAGGGGGCCCCAAAACGGCGGAGGGCCGTGGGGGAGTTGAGTTCTGCAATCTCCGCGCGGACTTGCAGCGATATCAATTCGCGCTTGAGATCTGTTTTCCTCCCATGTGAGTTTTTGATCGAGTGAGGTCGGTTAGCTTTTGGCAACCCCGCAGAGAGCCAAACAACATTTGAGCAGTGAAAAGGAACAACAGAAACGAAGGAGAACAATGTCGGAGTGTGTTGACCAGTAGCTTGGCGGGGTAATCGGAGTATGACGTACAGTGTTCCTGTTTGCCGGTCAAGATCTGGCCGGGAGGAGGTGCAGGCGCTGGAGTAGGAGTGCCATTTTCCATATTCCCAGCGCTCGATAACGAGGTGAGTCGTAGGGAGTGAGGAAGGTGTGGTTAAATTTTTGCGTGTGGTTCGAGAGACGGAGGTTGAAAAGGTGATCAGCAAGGGAAATTAAACTTGTTAGTTCAGCCAGCTAGTGCGCAACTCGGGGGAGTACACTCGGGAAATCTAAAGGATGACGGAGGGATAATGAATCCAATGTATTTCTATAAAGGAGCGTCGTGGTGGGGGGGGGTGCATTATAAGCAAGCAGAAGGAAGAATACAAGTGCAATCACAGCCAATGCTGCGATGGTTGTGGTGGAGATGGCTGGTGATTGGTGGTTGATTGGTGACGAGTTCTGCGTTTTGGGGCTGGAGCCTGCCAAGCCTCGAGCCTCCCCAGCACTGGCCCAAGCAGGCCCGTATCGTAGCACACATCCACCAGAGCCAGAGAACTCCCATGAGCACCTTCAGCCACAGACGCAGCAGATATGGAGTATGGAGCGCTCTTATTTGCTATTATTGCCCTGTACTCCATACCTTCCCTTCCAAGACAGCCCTGTCCCCGTCCCCATATTGCCCTACGAGTGGGTACTCCTACCCAGCATACTACAGCGTAGTATGATGCAGTGGTTTAGCGGCGTGTAACTCGAGGTAATTAATTGGTCTTCGACTGCTTGCTCCAACAGACACCAGACCCCCAAACAACGTCGCCTCAGCAGCTTGCCCTGGTTAGCTCCGTCGTTGCGCGGGCTCTCCATGTAGTTACCGACTGCCGCTGCCTAGACCGCAATGACGTAAGGTATTATAATTCACTAACTAACTACCTAGTTGACTAGCTATAGAACTAACTCGTTCAGTAACTAACTACAGATTACCAGTCAGCTGCGTGCTGATTTGTCTGGTTACATGTATGGACAGTACAGGGCGCAGACCCCTGCTGGTAGTACGCGTAAGAACAGCTACGCGTACAGCCAGTCCACACAGAACATGCAGTTCTTGTTTGGGGGTTTCATCTCCACGAGTAGATATCTATATATATGTATTGATCCATCTCGAGAGTACGGAGAGCATGCATGAATGTAATCACCCCCACCCATCCCATTGCCCCATCACCTCATGCTTTTGAGAACTCACTCTTTTCTGCCATCAATTCTACCAGTATCAAGGGCAGATCACAACCTCAAGCATAAACAAGACAAAATACGGATGATAATATAAATAAATAACTTCCCCCTTTTTCTTTTCACATCTCACCATTTAACCCCATGAACTAACCTGACGGGAGAGAGAGGAAGAAGGGTAGGAACGGGCAACGTTGTATATTCGATCGGAATCTTCGTATGGCAGGGCAAAACAATACATGATGGAATGTGTTTGAACAACAATCAACACATAAAAATCTGAACAAAATGTCGTGAATTTGAGAAGGGATCTTCTTGGAGAGGTGAGGTGCGGGGGCATCGCATACATTCAGTTGAGAGGGATTACAAACTAGGGAAGGGATAAAAATAATTAAGGAAAACCAGAAAAACAATTACAATTATGAATGCAAAAGGGGAAAGAAAAAGAAGCTAAAACAAAAGGGGAGGGGGAGAGGGGGGGGTTGGGGTGAGGAGCGTCGTAATGAATTGCAAGAGGATCAGAAAGCCGGGAGTAGAGAAATCAGATGGAATGGAGAGAATAAACATTTCAACTAAGATGATAAAGTTGAGAAGAAAAAATAAAATAGAATAAAAAAGCCTGTTCTGTCCGCTCTTCATCCTTTTGCCTTCGAAGCTTGCCGAAATCTAAAATCCAAACACTAAAACTACCATTTAGAAACCACCCATAATATACTCATCAACATCCCTATGCAAATCCATTGGATCAATCTGATCAGGCCACCCTCTTGCTGCATCAGAATCCGTGAACCGTCCGCCATCGCCATTGGCGAAACTATCAAGTGCCGGGAAATTGTGAACATTCCGCTGCGACCCCAGGCTGTGGTCGAAATTTGCATGCTTGCTAATACCGTCAATCGACGTAGTGGATGGACTTTCTAAGAGTGTAAAATCACCATTCGGCTTACCCATGCCAATATGGCTGTTGTGATTATGATAATTGTCATAACCATCGTGAAACCCTTCATCCATATCGATATCCAAATCCAAATCCAAATCTCTTTCCCGCTCCTGGGAGTTGGGCGAATAGAGCATCAAATTACCCTGGCCGGCAGAAGAGAGGTTATGGTTAATGTTGGACTTCTGTTGCGGCTCCGGGCATGTTGGAGATGGATTCCGCGAAAAGGAGCGCAATCCGTGCACCTCGACGGATTGCGCGGGCGTGAGTAACTGCATGTTCATGACTGTGTACTCATTGTCAAGGTTATCGAAGTCGACGTTGAAATTTGGGGTTGGATGTGTTGGTTCGAAGGGCGATTCGTCCGTCAGGCTACCAGGTCCCATAGGCCCGGTTCCATCGGGCGTGGTCGCGCTGGAGGGCACGGAGGGAATGTGCATGTCCAGGCTTGGGACATATTCATTTGGATCACCAGCTTCCAAAACTGGCCTGGGAAGGCACTGAAGTCCAATTGTGGTGCGAAGGGGTTGTGATATCGAAGTCATCAAAAAGGTTGTGGTTGTGGTTGAATCCGGATCAGTAGGAAGGTCATGATTGTGTGATCCATCTTGTCATCTAGTGGCTCACCGCACGAAGGGCCGGTATACTGCAAGCTCTGATCGTAAGGCGAGACATTAGGCGCATAAGGGGACGGGCCCGGATGGCTCTGAGGAGTTGGTAAATCCATAACTCCTGAATTGGGAGTTTGGATATTAGGGGTCCGAGGAGTGGGCTGGCCTGACGTTGATCCCGACACTCGGCTGCCGCTTTTGCCGTTGTTCTTGGATCGAATATAGACCCACCCGTGTGCTTTTTCCATATGCTGCTTGCAATTGCTCTGGCGCTTGGACTGGTAGGTACAAGGAGCAAAGTGGCATTTGAACAAGGGCGGGGATTTGGAGTGCTTGTCATTCACATGACGGTCTCTCTCTTTCTCAGTTGGCCAGCCGATTTCAAAATATTTGCATGACTTCTCTGCACATTTCCATGGCCTCGAATGAGTTTTCTCATGTTTACTGTTATACATGTCAGTGAGAAGCTACAAGGAATGAAAGAACAAAAATAGCCCGACTAAAACGAGGGCAGGGAACATACGTAAGATCGCAGGGTCTCTTGAACACTTTATCGCAGTCTTTGCATTTCTGGTTAATGTCAAGAGGGGGAGCATTTTTCTTTCGTCGAGCCATCGAACGAGCAACGCCGTCATCGCATGATTCCATGCTCAGGGAGCGTTTCATGATTGGGACAGCAGGCGATGCCTTTTCATCGTACGGGTTTCCAGTACGAAGGGAGATAGCTTGCTTATCCTTCTTTCGTCGGACTAATTCAGCGGGGCGTCCGGTTGCACCCAAGCCGCCTTCAAGGGTGACTTCCTCATCACTGAGAAGCGAATTCCGTGAGCCTATGTAAACAGTAGAAGTGGTATGACCTAGAGCGTACACATACGATGAATATTCCATGTTATTCTCTGCTATTCTCGAGCGGGGGCGAGGGCCCTGCCTTTCTCGAGTAGCACCGACCAGAGCAGCGTACTGTCGCATCTGTTCGACGAGATCAAGGAAATAGCCGTTGGTATACGGACGATCGGATGGCCGTCGTTGATCGCGGTCATTCAAGTACCCAACCGTAGTATGAAGGCACTGGATGGTAAATTCACAGAATCCGAGGTAGACTGCTTTGGATTGGGTGTACCGCTTTAAATGACGATTGATGGTATGAGCAACGTCCGGTACATTATCAGGGTTGCGAATCTGACTCACCGGAGCTAGGAAAAGAATAGTCTTTTCAAGATCTCGAAGACAGGCGATCTCTTTGCTCTCAATCCGCTGGGGTACGCTACGGATTAAAGGATGGAATGGGGAGAGACGTTTTTCACGAAGAATAGGAACGAGAATAAAGCGATCGATGTGCTTGCGAGCAGCAACGCCAAAGCTGGGGATTTGAGCTAAGGCAGTGGTAGATGAAATAGATCTAGTAATGGCAGATTGGGTTGAGACAATTTTACCCTCCTCTTGAAAGGAATGAGTAGCTTTGCGAACTATAGTCCAGGGAGGGTTAGAAAAAGTGGCTTGGACATTATTGATGCGGGTCAAACAGCGCACATACCTTGTTCGCGTGTATCGACAGACGAAGACATGCTAGCACCGCTGATGGACGAACCGATACCACTGTCACAGGAAAGACGACGGCGTCGATCCTGATCGCGGACAGGTTTGAAAGTTTTATCTTTCTGTATTGAGTCTACCTCATTCATAGGGTCAGTGTTAGTCATTCGGGCCTCCGGCATTCCACGCGGAACAGGCGAGTCGTTATCACAGAAAGTGTTGTCCAAACGAGGAGCAGAAAGGTCGCTTCCGAGACCATAAGGGCTACGCTCGAACTTGTCTAAGAACACGGCCCTTCGTCCTTCACCGGCCGCAATGACATCCTCCAGAGCCTTGGGACAGGTAGGAGAGCGTCGAAGCAGCGAGTGGATGTTGAAGATTGGATCAGAGTCCTCAGACGGCGGGGTCGTTGGAGAGTGGAAGGTGGCACCTTTCTTCAACTTCATGCTATGGGGTGTTGAGCGACATGTTGAGTCGGATGACGACTGATCTGAAGTAGAGGACGAAGAAGTAATCGAAAGATGGGGGAGGTTCTTATGCTGAAGAGGTCGACGGCGTGAATGAACCTGGGGTGCGGACATACTTGCGACGAGGTGGGAGGGGGGGAGTCCCTGGCTTTTTGTAGGAGAAAAGAGCGAGTTAGCACAAGAGCCAAACACAACCACCTCTCTTTTCTCTCGACCCTTCCCCACCTTTTCATCAAGGGGAGGACATCGATTGGTATGACTCACCTGGAAAGCAAAAGTGAATTAAGGCCACTATTCAGAATCAGGAACCGGGATCTGCGGGACAAAGGGTCTGGAGGGAGTCACCACGACATCTTAGCAGGCTTGTTCACAGCGCAGCAACTGATATATAAAACACGCCAGGTGGCCAATTCAATTGACTTCCACTATACTGACCCTCAATTCAGAATGGACGCCCAGATGATTGGCAGTATAAGGGTAGAATACAAGAAAACTAGATTCAATGTCTCTCAGATCACACCGACAATCCCCTGGACAGACCATCCACTGGAGAAATATCCAAAGGATGAGATGAATCCAGATTGATTGAGAAGAGCTGTATGAAGACAGAGCCAAATAAAAAGCAAAAAGGATGCTTGAAAACGTCCCTTGAGTCAAAAAGCAAAACGGTATGAGAAAGGAAGCCAAAAAACAAACAAGCGCTGGATGACGAAACGAGCCGGAGACGCCTGGCGAGTGACTCGCGGGCTGTTGAGGGTGCAAATGGATGACTGAGGATCGCAGCACAGAGACTGGAATGAAGACAAGAGCGAGAGATGGAGATGAAGGGGGTTAAGAAAGTGCACGGGGGAGAGCCGGACAGAGGGTCTGGCAGAGGGATCCGGCCGTCGCCCAACACGAGCCTGCTGAGCAGCCGCGTACCAAGGCGAAGCATCGTGTCTGCCTGATAGGCGAGCCAGGACCCCCGCTGATTGGCCGGGTGCTGGACCCACGGGGTCGGCGCTAGACTGCTTCGGGGGTCGGAGTTAGGTGAGGGAGCGAGCTCCGATGCTCTTTTGTCAGCGGGAGTGTCTTGTACTGTACAGTGCGCATCTGCCGTTGAGAAAGAGTGAGAAGACTCAACGAGTCTCTTGTTTATTGCGCACTTGTCCGCTTGGATGATAGACGATAAGAATATGAATCTGCCTACGTGTCTACAGACTACGCCAATGAAGCTAAATCAGAGAATCAGAGTATCAAACATGAAAAGACCCGCAAATTAGGTAGCAGAATTCCCAAAAATGTGATCTGTGCAGTTCAGTCGGGTCCAGTCCATCCTCTGTATCTATGGACGATGTATCAGTAACTTACCGTTTCGGCAAGCCCTCGCTCAGCTTCCATCCCAGGTCCCACAGCCACAGCTGCTTGCTCCAAAGAGGAAAGTCACAAAAAAAATACAACGATACCCAAATACCGCGCACATACGATCCATACCCCCCCAGCCCACTCATTTTCAACCGCTGTTTTGGGCCTCAATTTGGTGCGTTCTCCTCGCCCGCCCGCATAGAAATCTCGGTGACTCAAACGGTTTGCCGCTAGTTGTTTCCATACAATACCGCAGATGACCAACCCCAGAACCCCCCAGAAAACCCCCCCACACGTTGGTTCGAGGGACTGAGCCCTGTCTGGCTATTTCTGTCCTGCGCACTTGACCCGGATGAGCCCAATGTGCTCGATTCTTGTCTGTTGGCTTCCCGAAGTGGAAGCTTGTCAAATCAGCCCGGAGATTTGACCATGCTCCTTGGCATCCGGAAGATGCGTAATCGAGCCTTCGTCATCCCGCTATGAGGGAGGACTGGAAGATGTCCCGTGCATCGTTTCTTACGTTACTATGCCAGTAAACAAGAAGAATAATAAACCAACACGCAGGAGCAGTTCGGCGGGTAAGGCAGTCAACGGAGAACGGCCCGCGTCGGAAGAAGCAGGTGTCTCTCCGAGTCCCAGAGCCCCAGGCTGCGGTTTCAATTAAAGTTTTGCGGCTCAAAATGCCAAGGGGCCGATGAACAGCTTAGGGCATTAGGGTTAGTTACTGTGACTGTTTTTCGCCACCAAAGGTGAAACGACAAAATAACAGAGCGACTGCCTCTCCGCACTTGACAAGTGAACATTCCATTTAATTCTTGCGCTCCGATTCTTTCTCGTTCTGACCCGTCAAGATACAGGGGTGAATCCTAAAAGCGCATCCGAACACAATTGAGTTCCTTGCGCACATGATCGGGTCGAGAAAACGGTTTGGCCTCAAAGCAATATGTTGCAACTCTTGTATTCTCAGCAACATCAGCGTGAACATCCAACCTTGGGCCTAAAACGAAAAGCCAGTCACGAGTGGGGGACGTGGTCGGCGACGTTGTCATGGATGCAAAAACTCCTGCAGCGGATGTTTCATCAAGCAAGCCATCAACAGCAGCAGTAGCACGAACAAAAGCAAAGCAAGGGAGGAATGTAAACCTGCATTTCCGCACTTCTATTGGCCAAAGCAGCCTGCAACATCGAACGTGGCCTGCCGAAAATTTTCGTCAAGCTGGTTCAAATAAGAATGGATGGATGATTGAAGAGTAACAGGTATAATCGGGAATCAAACGAATATCCCCCTTGCGCACGAATTAAGAGGTCCGAAGCCATTATGGTTACATCTGTCTGCAATTGACCTCGTTGCCCGCGGAAAATTCTGTTTTGTTTTGTTTTTTTTTTTTTTTTTTTTTTTTTTTTTTGGGGGGGGGGGGGGAAAGCCCCAGAGTCTGTTCATCTTTCACAGCCGGGGGAAGATAACATCATAAAAACAATAAATCTTGGAACCTTGCCGGGTGAACGGGCCACCGCGCAATATTCTTATCAGGCTGCTGAATGAGCTCCCCTCTATCATGATTATTTTCAGATCCACAGGGACGAACGAAGCGCACACCCTGGATATCGCTGTTCGGAAGATTTTGGAACAAGTTACCCTGAAAATCGCCAGGGGCAATGGGTCACCCACCCGCATCGGGTTTACCGCATTACTCCATGCAGATGGAACAGGAACAAAACCAAGAAACAGAATCATGACTGGCCAACGAGAATCGAAAGAACGGCTCGGATGGATTGTTGTTGTTGTTGTTGTTGTTGTTGTTGTTGTTGTTGTCATCATCATCAACAACTCCTCCCTGCAGCAGTTCTGCAGAGAAGACTTTTTCAGCCGCATCCCATTCCCAGAACCCACGACTCGCAGACACGCACCAGGAACAAAAACAATAGCAGGGTTTGCAATGATGATTGGAGGATGGGGAAAATGCATCCACCGCCAGATATGCAGCTCCTTCCCCTCCACACTTACCTCGCGACCAACAAAACAGCAAATCGAGCGTCTCACGGGGGTGGGTGGTGTTGGACACAAATAACGCGGTGGACAAGCAATCGAACCAGTTTCTCCTCGATTTCAACCAGTATACAGAGTCGAGAGCTAGATATTGGGCGACGAGATCGAAACCCAACGAAATGGAGCACTGTTGCAGCCCAATCCTGGGCTGTTACCCATACACACCGGCCGTGTGGAAATATCATTGACCCAACCCGTTTGACATCCCCGCTCTCAACGCGAATGTTACCATGAGCTAACAACAGAGTCCGTGTAAAAAAGAACAAGAAATAAGCAAGGAGTTAACAATGGCTGCCCAGATGATTTATTTGACAGATGTTCCAGAAATTCAAGGAGATACAACATGGGAAGATGATTTCTACACTGACTTTTGTATTGCAGTTCGATACTTGAATCTCAGAACAGGTATTTGTTTTATATTTGAGATGGCAGCAAGCACATGTCGTGTGTATTGAGCCCTACCCTCCTTATTCTCTATGCATTAAAGTTTTCGAGCCCTCCCTACGAAACTGGCAATGAAACAAACATCCATCGACGGATAGAGGGGGAGGTACACTTCATACCGAACACTGTCTGAGGCAATATAGCCGTAGAATCTCCTCCACGGATTGCTGAACGTGCAAGCACACTTTGTATTCCCAGCTGGGCCGATATGCTGGTGTTTGAGTGTCTGATTGATGAACTGGTTCAACCCCGCAGGCAGATAGATGTGTGAGGTTTTATGACATTAACACCATGTTTAGGTCACTGTCCATACCTCATAACTGTAAGTAATGGAATGGAATGGATGAAAGGGATGAAGTTGAGTTGGGTGTTTAAAACTAGTACAGGAATTTCGTCCAAGTTGCGCGCATGGATCGTTCAGACAAGTATGGTATCCCGTGCATCGAGAAACCCCATCAAGGCCATATCTCCAGGCAGCAACGCGGTATTGATTCAAACACACTATCTGCATTTCCATGGTCTAACCTCACCCTAGCTGTCCCGACTGAGGCAATGCGCTCAGCCGAAGCTTGGAATGTTTTTGACCCCTTGGAGCATACTCGGAAACTGAAACTAAAACTTCGCGGGCTCCTGAAGTTCTGCCCAATGGGCGCTTAGTTGGTGGGGGTATCAATCTGCTGGTTTCTTATGACCTTCCGTTGTCCCTCTAGAACACAATGCTTCGTCTATCGATGACCTAACTCTGCAATCTATATCCATTGTGGCCGCCAGTGATATGGAGTATTCCGTTGAGCGAGACATCGAGAATTTCTTCGAGAAGACGTCGGCAACTCGCACAGCCTGCGATGACCATGCGAAGCAGCATGTTGGAGGCGATGTCATTCCAGTGGTCGTGCAAGGTCTTGACATCTGACGAATCCAGCATTACGGTTCCCTGGATGAAAACTTCAATGAACTTCTATATAGAGCTAACCGGCACCCAAGGACTTGAAGGTCTATGAGGCGAGGTTATTCTTAGCAATACAGTTGGTGAGATCATCAGGGAAACGTGGCCAAATGTTTGATAGATTCGAAAGAGGTCCGCCCCGCAGCTCATATGCACATGGCCCGTCCATAGTGAGAGCAAAGATATGTCTATATATACAGTAGAGACAGAATATTGGCAGTGAATGCATAGGATAAAAAGTGCTGCAAATTCTCTGATTGTTGAAAAAGATCAGAGCCTAAGCGAACTAGTTCGTTTAGATCTAACTAAAGGCTAAAATCTTATAAATACCTTCAGATGTGCGACCCCACATTATGGATTGGTTCTTTTACAAATGCATTGTGCGGTTGAACTATGGGATCTAACCTCAACTGGGGCATCTGTCCTTAAACAATGCATATTATTGACCAACAGGGACCTGAATTTTTTACAGACCTGGATCATACTCAGGCAAGAGAGCAGAGCGAAACTTCATCTTGAAATTTATGCATCAAGCTTGCTTGTTGCTACGTATTTGCCGTTTTGCTGCACCATTGTTACTATCTTAGGGTTTCAGATAACTAGTTAGTTACATTGGGAATCATGCACACGGTTGACAATCATCTGGACCCCCTGCCTAAAAAGGTGGGAAGCAGCTTAACAGACAGGAATATCACCCAGAGCACCCTGTTCCAGAAAACAGAGGCCTACTTCAAAAACCTCATTGAGCCGGGCTTTGGGAAAATTACCCTGGCATCAGACCCGGTCTCATCACCGGATGGGAAGCTGATTGCCTTTGTCGGCAAAACATGGCGCAAACTGGAAGGTCAGCCCGAGTCCCGCATTTGCTTGATCGAGGCGATTGCCGGGGCTGTGTTGCGCATAGTCGGCGAGGACTCACAGCCCGCACCTTACCAAGATATACAACCCCAATTCTCCCCCGATGGGACACAAATTTCCTTCCTGTCTAACCGGGGGGGAAAGGGTGGATACCGATGTTATTTGCTTCGCGGAAGAAATTTTGGAGAACTAGTTGAGGTATCTGGTATTGAAACCGTCTCTGTCGAGTATGCAAGATGGCATTCAGACAGTGCAAAGTTGCTCCTTGGGATCGCTGGACCCAGAGGGAGTGACGAAGATATCCCTTCCTGGGCACCAGAGATTCAGGCAGACAGCTGTGATGGAACTTTGCGTTCGCTGGTGGTATATGACAGTGTGAAAGAACAGAAGCTTCATGCCATCCAGTTTCCCCAAGCTAGCGTGTGGGAAGCTGGATGGTACGGACCGAGCCATGCTGTTGCTGTTATGTCAGATGGGTTTAGTGAATCAGCGTGGTATTCCTGCCGTGTCTCTGTGCTCGACTTGTTTCGAGGGACTGAACGTATTATATATACTCCGCCGCCACCATGCCAAGTGGGAAGCGTCGTTTCGTCAAAGTCTGGAAAATACGCTGCTTTTACCCAGGCTTTAAGCAATACCCGAGGAAAGGTTGTAGGAATTGTGATGATTGTGGATGTTGACAGTTCCGAAGCATGGCAATTGGACGTGGGGGGTGTGGATGTCACCGATGTGTCTTGGCTGGACGAATCTAGACTTTTCTACACCGGATTGAAAGGCCTTAATATAGTCGTTGGGGAAGTCGACGTGGTTACAAAATCAACTACTGAGCTGTGGACGTCAGAATCAGCAAGCTACGGCGCGGCGCCTATAGCTAGCGGCAGTTTTGCCATCATTACAGGAAGCTGGATGCAATACCCGCAAATTTCTCTAGTAGACAATCGAACGGAAACAGTAATCCACTCTTTTGTGGATTTAGGAAAGATCTGGCTCAAATCTCACTTCGGCGAAGGCAGACCATTGACTTGGCGAACCCTAGATGGGGTAGAAATCCAAGGGTTTCTCCGCCTCCCGACGTTAGGTAGAGCCCCCTATCCACTAATCATGCATTGTCACGGCGGACCTATCTCCTGTTTCAAGAATGAATGGCCGGACATTGATATTAGCGCTTTCCTCACAGCAAATGGGTATGCCGTATTCTGCCCAAATCCCCGTGGTTCGACAGGGCGTGGGCAAGATTTCGTCCGCCAGATATACGGCAACATGGGCGGAGTGGACTGCCAAGACCTGTTGAGCGGGATCGAGCATCTAGTCGAGACCGGGTTGGCAGCCAGGTCGCAGATTGGCGTAACAGGCGGGAGTTACGGGGGGTTCATGACGAACTGGATAGTGACACAAACAGATTTGTTCGCAGCAGGAGTCGCTGTCGCACCTATTTCAGATTGGGTGTCCCTACACGGCACTTCAAACATTCCGAGATGTGACCGCATATTGCTCAACGCTGATCCGTACTGCGTGGGCGGGGAGTATCAAAAGAGGAGCCCGCTGATGTTTGCGGGGAGGTACCGGACGCCTGTGCTACAAATTGCAGGAAAAGATGATCCTTGCACTCCGCCCACACAAGCTATGATGTATCACCGGGCATTGGTGGAAAAGGGGGTGGAGTCAGCCTGCGCACTGTATCCTACTGAAGGCCATCGCGTCCGCAAGTTCCCGGCATACATTGATTATTGTGCGAGATTGCTGGGCTGGTTTGAGCAGCATATGCCTGTGAAAATGTAACCATCAGATAGCTGTTACGATGACGTGTGTGGTTGATCCTGTTATATGAAGACCAAAAATAGTAACTGTATCAACTATGAGAAACTCAAGTCAAATTATAAATGTCAAGAAATTTGCAAAACCTGAACGTCTTTGTCACTTTTTGCAAGATCCAAATTGGAGAGAATGATATTCGGATTGATATTCATATCCAAAAACTGAACTTTAATCTCGCTTATGACCATTCTATTCTTATAAATACTACTATCTTTTCGTGTCAATAATCAAAAATCATTATTAGAATACAATTCAACTTGATATTCAGTAACTTTGTGGCAATATTTTGGAAAATCATCCATTTCAGACAGTTATGAGCCCGATAAGCTACTGTAGCTCTTGAAAACCGAGAGACAGTCCGTTGAGTGATAGCAATGGCCTTCACCCGCATCAGCCGTCGTACTTGCAGTGCTACTATGGCGATAATGCTGGTTCTGCGCTATATTGGATAGCTAGATTCTTCATATCTCGTAGTTGGGTGATAACGCGGTCGATTTCTGTAGAATGGCCTGCAGACAGGTTGGACATGGAGGTAGCTAGCTAGCCAACGACGTAGGCAATATCTGGACGGGTCATTACCGCTGCGTAGATACAAGATCCGATTCTACGCTGATAATAATGAATATCTTCTGGTGAGGCAGTGCGCTGATATGACCCTAACTGGGCACCGGATAGTGGCGTCGTTGCCCTGTGAGGATGAGCAAGATTGTAGGTATCAACCAACTTATCGTTCTTTGAGTCTCCATCCCTGATTGTTTAATCTCATCTCCAATCAAGGTTCAATCAAGGTTCGATCATCTAACCACTTATCTAGGACTCTTTTGGGCGCCTCGCGAAGGTTCTCATTAGTTACCCGTATCTCAAATATAGCCGTATAACCCTCTTAATACAAAGGAAAAAATTGGGCAAAGAAAAAAAAGTAGGTAACATACCTGGGTAGAAGAAGCAACAAGAGGCCAAAGTAGGCATGCTGGGATAGTTTGTCAATTTTGAGAGTTATTATCTGATATTTTCCTGTCCATTATTTCCGCAGACCGGCAATGTTGGTCGATTTGAGGATTGATCGCGGGTTCTAATAGATTTCGGTCGTGCTGAACCTCGGCATCGGGAGCAAGAGGTTCACTTTTTCGATCACCATCACGTTCGCTAACACAATTCTGTCGTTCGGAAACACCAACGCTCTGCGTCTCCTTCTTATGTAGGGCCTAACTGTGTTGGTCGCACCAACTATGATCATCTGCGTTCGCCTTTTTGAATTACGGGTATCCTTTTCAACATATGTGGGGGGGACGATACTAGCGATGCTATGGCGTCCGTTTCGTATGATACTGCTCACGTCAAGCGTCGGCGGAGGGATCCTCGACGACGACGAGTGAATAACAGGAACCCTGTATCTGCCAAACTAGTGCTTGATCATCATATACAAGGAGATGTTGGAATCCTGTCTGATGATTTAGCAGTAGATTTGTTTCCGGGGTCGAGTGCCGAAGGTGTGTGTGTCTACGCTTTCTCGTGCTTCACAAAACACTTGGAGCAAAGCGCTTTGCGCCCGAAATCCCCCCGTAATGTAGCATGGATTTCTTATACTAACGTGCCGCAGCTCTAGCAGAATCACAGGAAGTGCGGTATATTGCCATATCTCCATGGTCGCCACATAATCTCCTTGTGGACGACTTGCTGTGGACCATTATCCCTATGCGCCTCCAATCGGCCACTAAATCGCAATCCTCGCCACTATCTCCTTCGACTGCCAATTTCCCAGCATCTAGCGGCTCAATCCAGTCATTTGTTCAAGCGTTCGAGATGCTTGACCCGACTCGAAATTCGATATCGAGCCAACGAGAAATCGAAATTCATGTGCTAGCCGTGGTCCCGCTGTATCTGGATACTGTCTATGTGACGGTTGAACGCCATCTGCTCAGTACGGTGGATGATATTCAAAATAAGTTTGGTGGGGGCTTCGGCCCCGGAGCACAGGGGAGCAGTGGCCTCTGGGCCAAGAGACGGGGCTCAGAGAAATTCAAAACAAAGCATGACGAAGAGACGAAAGAGACAGCTGCTGGAAGGGAGGAGCGATTAATTGGGGTTATACGCGAGGCAATTTCCATACAGAGGGTATTGCATGCGGGGGACTTGTTACCTCTGCCGCTACCTTCACATCCTATCACTCATGCTACCCCCCCGCCGGCCAAAATTTCCTTCTGTGAGCCGGTGTCTCAAGGCTTAGTTAAACCAACTACTCGAATGGTGCTTGTCGAAACCAAATCTCGTCATGAATCTCGAATATCCAAGGGTCTTCCATCTCCAGGCCAAACGTTATTAAAAGAGGTGGTCGAAGACGAAGGTGATGATACCTCGAACGAGCAGTTTTATTCAGCTGCGGAAGAGAAATCGAACAGCACAAGTATGGAAAGTACATCACCGCCTGACGAATCTGATACAGAAGTTTCACCCCAAAGTGATAGTGATGCTTCTGATGACTCCTTGGATGATATGATCTCATTAACGGCTCCGGAGCTCCCTCCGCAACCTTCCGGAACAATGTCCGCAATGACATCTGTGACCCCACGCCCCGATGGCAAGAGGTTCGATATTCATACACCAGGGTCCATGCTCTCGAGCTTCACGAATGCTACTACGCGCGCAGGAAGAAGTGCTGGGAAGACATTCCGAGCGGAAGGCCTGTTGGCGAGAATACCTAATGAGATCCTACATCCTAAACCACGAGAGTTTGAAGATTCAGACTCCTTTGTGTATGTGGATATTCACACCCTTGCCAAAATCGGTTGCTTCTCAGGAGACTGGGTGAGAATCGAAGCTGCTGAGGAACCTCAGCTCAACATGCTGTCTTCTCTAAAGTTTGATAGCCTAAGCGGGCTTACGGATAATGCCGTTGATGATATAACCTGGAGAGCGGTAAAGGTTTATGGCCTTCCAGGGTTGATATCTCCAAAACCTCGATATTCGATGAATACCTCCTCTACTAGGAGACCTACCATATCGCAGCTGCCATCACATCGGTTTACCCCTACAGCGCTAGTGCCGCCCATATTGTTAAACAATCTAGGAAATCCTAAATACTTAAAGCTTTCCCCGATATCGGTTCATGGGTATCAACAAGCGAGCTCCAGACCTGGGGTACAACTGAAATCGAGTTCACTCAAGATGCCTCCTGTTGCGAAGGAAGTTACACTACTGAAAATTTCCACTCCCCTTTCTATGGATAGGTCTCTCCAGCCCGCTCTATTTGCCGGATTAAAACGTTATTTTGAATCTAAACAACGATTAGTTAAGAGTGGCGACCTCATTGGCATAAGCGTTGATGAAGAGTTAGGGAAAACAATATACTCTTCTACCAAGAGTCCTGATGTTGGTGAAGACGAAGATGTGGCCGTTCAGCTTGGGCTGTCTCCGGATCCTCAATCGAGGTCCCAAAATGGGTTGAGAAAAGTGGGGGTTGCATGGTTTCGTGTTAGTCAAGTTGTCCCTGCCCATGTAGAGGGGTTAGAAAACAGTTCTGATGATGAACGTTGGGGCCGAGTGGCGGTCATTGACACTTCTTCAACAAGAATGGTGCAGGCAGGGAGTGAGATAAGTCCCGTACCTGGAACACTACATAATGGATGGGAGTATTGGTTAGGTGTGAAGCCACTGCCGAAACCGAACAACGAGACAAGAAAGCCACATCTCTTCGTCTCAGCGAAGCCTAAAATATTCGCTCCTTCAGTACAGAAACGTCTTCGGGATCTCATTTCTACATCGACAAGCTCTAGGGCGATCCAGCTCGGCATGAAGCCTGTCGTTGTCTTGCTTACGTCTACTCAGCGGGCCATCGGGAAATCGACCGTTGCATATCGTGCTTGTGCAGAGGTTGGTCTTCATACATTTGCAATCGATTCCTACGATATTCTTGCCGAAGGGGGAGCCAATGGAGGGGATGTGAAGACGGAAGCTTTTCTCAAAGCTAGGGCGGATCGTGCATTCACATGCGGAACACAATGCACTGCCTTGCTAATACAGCATATCGATGTCTTAACAGCTGATAGAATGGTTACAGCAATGAAGGATATCGTGGCAGACGCCAGAGTTATGATCGCCACGACCACAGACATTGAGAAAGTTCCGGAGGGCATCCGAAGTCTTTTCACCCATGAATTTGAAATGGCGGCTCCAGACGAAAAGGAAAGAGAGGGTATCCTACGCAACGTGATCCATGACCAAGGAATCAAAATTTCGGCTGACGTTGATTTGGCCTCTGTGGCAGTAAAAACCGCCGCTCTCGTTGCGGGGGATCTAGTCGATGTCGTTGAGCGTGCAGTCGCCGCTAAATCTCTTCGTCTTCAGAAGTTAGCAGAGGATGCTACGACTTTTGATGAAAGCTTAAAGGTCACTGTGCGAGACGTCCAAACCGCAGGAGGAGATGCTGCTCGATGTGTGACAAAAGAGGACTTCGATGCCGCCGTAGATGCCGCTAGAAAGAATTTTGCGGATGCCATTGGTGCACCAAAGATTCCTAACGTCAGCTGGGATGATGTCGGAGGCCTTACAAATGTCAAGGATGCCGTTATGGAGACCATTCAACTCCCGCTCGAACGGCCAGAGCTTTTTGCAAAAGGAATGAAAAAGAGAAGCGGAATCCTGTTTTATGGACCCCCTGGAACCGGAAAGACTCTTCTCGCCAAAGCTATCGCTACCGAATTCTCCCTCAACTTTTTTTCCGTCAAGGGTCCCGAACTGCTTAATATGTATATCGGAGAGTCTGAAGCAAACGTTCGGCGGGTCTTCCAGCGCGCCCGTGATGCGAGACCTTGTGTGGTATTCTTTGATGAGCTGGACTCAGTCGCACCGAAACGTGGAAACCAAGGCGACAGCGGTGGTGTCATGGATCGTATTGTTTCCCAGCTCCTCGCCGAACTGGACGGGATGAGCGCTGGAGACGAGAATGGCGGAGGCGTTTTCGTAATTGGCGCTACTAATCGGCCCGATCTCCTGGATGCTGCACTCCTCAGGCCTGGTCGGTTCGATAAAATGCTGTACCTCGGCGTGTCGGATACTCATGAGAAACAAGTTACTATTTTGGAAGCCCTCACACGGAAATTCAACCTACATCCAGACCTTTCGCTGCGGCGGATTGCTGAACAACTACCTTTTACTTACACAGGTGCTGATCTGTACGCATTATGCTCGGATGCCATGCTTAAGGCCATCACACGCCAAGCTACTGCTGTGGATGAAAAAATTAAAGCGTTACCCGGCGGTCCAGTCACGACGGCTTATTTCTTCGATCATTTGGCAACACCTGAAGATATAGCCGTCATGGTAACGGAACAAGACTTTATTGCGGCGAAGGCTGAGCTCGTTGCTAGCGTCAGGTATTTCACATCCCATCACCCCCACTACCCTCCCTTCCCCTTCCCCAACTCCATTTTTGGTACAGAGACGTTAACTACAATAACCCCAACAACAGCGCTAAAGAACTTGAACATTTCGAACGAGTTCGCCGAACCTTTGAATCGGTTGACGATGCAAAGAAACCAAAGCCAAACATATCGGCTAGCCCAGAAACGCCCTCTCGCGCCCCTTTAACAATTGGTGAAGCGGCCAATGGGCTTAAGCCCGGTACATCTCCAGAAGACACTCTATCAACCGCACCAACAAACACTACGAACGACAACAAAACGGCAGCTCCATCGACGTTTCCTCATCGAGCCAAGCACGGACATATGAGGATCTCACGGGGAAAGGGCAAAACCAGTATCAGCGGTGCGAAGGTGAAGGGCACCATATTGTCATCCTCCCCTGATCAATACTCGGAGTCTGAGGAGGATGCTATGAGCAGTCCCGTTGGTGATGATAATGTAACCAATTCGAATGGGGCAGCTGCGCGCGGATGGAAAGGGAAGGGGAATGCCAAAGATGCTGTTGTCTGTGACTCGATAATGACAGTCAAGGGTGGTGAAGCAGAGAATGAGGGGAAGGAGGACGAGGACGAATATGTAATTCGGACCGACCACTTGGTCCGGAATGATAAACGGTCATAACCCTTGTTATCCTTGAGGCTGTGAGACCGGGATGTTTTACTCGCTAATCTATTATTGTACTGTACAAATGTATCTATGTATGTACCGATATTGCCTTTTGGTTATGGTGTACAGACATGTGTTGGAGAGCATATTGTTGAGGCCATTTGTTATACAATTAATTTCCTCTGTATTGGCGTTCCTGCTGGGCCGCCCTGGTATTCTCCTGGGGAAACTGGTAGCTCCTTCAAAAATTGAGAATCCGGAGGGTCTAATCTATTATATGGATCTGTAGTTGAGCCCAGCTTCCTACAGAAGTTCACTGCTCCGGCAGTGAGGGACCCCTATTCCGACGATCGTATTATAAACTATAGCCGCCATGTTGCAGCCTCGTTTAATCCCGTTTACATCATTCTGCTGACCACCCCAGCACCCCCCTCTCCCATTCTTTTTCAAATGGCAAAGGATTCAACCCTTCAAAAGCCAATCTTGATGGAGTTTGGCATACTACTACCTATTTCCGGACACTGGTCTTCCAAATGCATAAAATCGTCATATAACCTCCTTCCCCCCTTCCACGTATCCCCCAAACGTTTTTTCCTCTACGTTCTCAGACCTCACCACGCAATATTGAAAACACTTCCTCCGAGTATATACACCTGGTTTGCCTTACCTATCAGCATTCAGGATGTTCGGAAACTCGACTAAATCTTCTACCATATTAAATTTTCATTTTTTTGTTTCGGTTTTTGTTTCGGTTTTTGTTTCGGTTTTTATTTCTGTTTCTTTTGACATTTCACACATCTACAGGTATACAGTTGGTGCGACCCAGATACTTGATATTTGAATAATTGCATTGAGATAAGTAGGCTTGCATTGCTTCCTAACTTACTCCACACATACGGGCAATATATTTATATATATGTAGTTTCTTCCCACTAATGAATGTATGTACCTGGCATCTAGCCAGCCTGACAAACGCAAATCACCAACCAGTGCGTTTAGTCTGAGGACACAGTTCCTTTCGATATTCCCCATCGTCCCGGATCCGCTCAAGCTCCTCCTTAAATCCAGGTGGCAATTCATCCACCTCGTCAGGGTATTGCAACAAAAACTTGGCGTAATCCTGCAGTTGGCTCCGAGTCCACTCGATAGCAGCATCGTGGAACTCATCATAAAAGTCCTTATGGACCTGTTGGAAGGAGGTACCGGATTCCTTCATCTTCGCATCATTGTCCGCAATTCCTCTAATTTAAAGAGTGAGTATGAAACCGTTTACATGAACGGGAGGAGGATGTATTAGGGTGCAGGGGAATGTTACTTACAGCACTTCTTCAATCCCTAGGATGGATTTTTTCAAAGCCTCTTGGGCAGCTGGATGCGCGTAGTATTTGCACGTTGCGGAAATGCGCGCTAGCTCACATACAAATCTGCCGTGGCTGTTGATTACTTTTCTTCGACCTTCCACACCGTCGCGGCCTGCGATAAGAGTTTTCTTCGCAAACATCTACAAGAAAGTCAGTCAGTTCCTTGAATTATATTCCCCGCGTTGAAAAATCCGTCTAGTTTTTGCTCACTAGGTATTTCAGATTGTTTAATCTCTGCTGAATAATGGCCATGCGAGGTTCGTATGCAGTGTTCACAGTGCCTAAATGTTGCGCCAATGCTTCCACATATGATTCTTTCGCGGGTGCGCCCCCCGGAGCCGGGTAAGTTGGATTCAGCTTATCCCAAAATCTCAAAATAGCAGGATGACAAGGTTTGTCCGCGGAGCCGGCTAATTTCTTTTGGAGAAAGTCCAAGTAATCCCGGACCCAGTTGGCCTCATACACATGTTCAGCTGTATTGCAGAACGTTAGCTGGAAGAACTCTTCAAGTATGTTGAAAAAGGGGGATCATGGCGGCTGCCACTTACAGGCCCATTTCTCCTGGTCAAGTAGACCGGTCTGGTCCACGATGGCCCGTTGTTCGAGAGGTTCGGTTATCACAGTGATATTGGCATTTGGCCAGCAGTCTTCTGAAGCTTCACCGCAGGGAATGTTTGGTACAAAAATCGGTACTGCAGTATTCTTTGCTAGTTCTATTGGACTTGGATATTTTAGAATCTGGACAGCCTTCTTCTTATCGCACTTCAACGGAATGGGCTCTCTTCCTGTGTCTGGATCTTGACGTGGAGATAGCGCAGGAGACAGTGTCCGGGGGATCCGTGCTCTGCGTCCGCGGACGTAATGACCCGGGTCATCGTCATCGTCCTCATCGTCCTCTTCCTTCTTTCCGCCGAGGCAATACCCTGGGGCTACATCATCGAAGCCGAGACATACTTGCGGGAAAACAAAAATATCTGGTTTCTCATAAATGTCCACATCGAAGAGAGTTTTCCTATGACCATCGATTTCTTCCCAGCCTTCCAGATCTAGATCGACACCTACCATAACATCAAGTTTGATTCCAAATATATTCGCCTCGTTGGGGCAGAAACCGGCGGTATCTTGGACACATATCAGTAAATCAGGCCTATCGCAGTGAAAAGGGCGAAATTACCGAAACCAGCGCCCAATTTGGCTGTCACCTGCGGGACTTTGAGTGCAAGATCCACTCCAAATCCGTTGTCATCTTTACAGCTGTTGTCAGTTCAGATTGGTCTCAGATGGCAACAAGGGGATCTCACCAAAAACTGTGACGCTAACTGACAATGCGACCTCAGTGTAAACTGATGCCTCCGCGTCAACTTGAGCTTGTACTCGAAGAGGTTGTGTTTCAATCACCGGAGCCCATCCAGAAACCTCCACAGAATCCTCAGCCAAAAGATCTAATTTTGCGATAGCGCTATCTGGAATACGGGCACTAATTCCAGCTGTTGCGGAAGCGGTTCCTGAGATATAGCTAATTTCATATCCGGCATTCAGTTGAATTCGTGGACCAAACTCAAAGATACCAGGTATGTTCCATCCTGAGATAGGAATTTCAACCAAATTTATCTCCTGAGAAGGTTTGACGAAACGACGGAAATCGAGATGAGCGTCAAACAGCAACTCCAGCTCAACGTTTACTGCAACTCCCTCAGGTTTGACGGAAATTTCAAATTTGTCTATATCAAAGCCGCCCCAGCCGAGGCTTGCTTCAACATGACCAGCAAAGACTAAAGCGCCTTGGGTACCGCAATCATTGCAGTTGGCGGTAAGGTTACCTTTGAGAGGGCCTTTGTTGACCTCCCAACCGAAAATTCGGGTTGGCAGTGTCACTCCAATACCGAGCCTGAATTTCTCGTCGAGATCTGGAATGATATCGCGTTTGACAAGACCTTTCGACCCAAGAATGACTTCACCAAAATCCAAGGTATAGGTTTGCATAACCTTTTTCCATGTGCTCTTAGTAGCTTCCAGGCGAACTCTTTGGTTTTTATCGTCAAATATAACACGGCGTGCAACCCAGGGTTGTTGTTCTCTGTCCTTTCCGCATTTCTTGGAGTTGGGGATTACAACGAAAGTATTCATATCGTTGAAGTTAACCCAGTCCCAATAAATCTTGATGGCAGAATAGACAAAGGGATGAATAAAATCGAAAGACATGTCCTTGGCATTGCAGCTCGCTGACCGGATTAGGAGGTCAATCTTATCCAAAGAAATGATCCGCTCAGTTGCCTTGGACCAAGACACCATGCTAACGACTACGGCCTTGGATCCCGGTTCTTCACCGATGAATTAGCAGAGCATAGTAAAAAAATTCAAAGAGAGAAACCTACTATCAGTTGAAGCCCAAAAGAATTCCTCCTTGTCAACAGGTTTTATGGCTTCTTCAGCGGCAGCTTGATTGACTGCTCTTCCCGAGAGCTGTGGCTCTGACGTTCCGTCCCATAGATAGCGAGGAAGCGGCTGCAACTCCGGCCTGGAAATTGCAGCCACAAGCTGCACCAGCAGCCATAACGTAGCAATAATGTGCGGGAATTGAGCCATAATTCCCTGGCAGTGGAAACAACTTTAAGGGTATGACAATGTCAACGAATGACTAGATATACCTCTTCTCGACAGCGAGAACATGAGAGGAAGGGTTTCCAGTCAGACAAGCGAATCCAAGAAGGCGGAACTTGGGGCTTTTATGCTTGGGGGGGCCCATACTAATTCTCACCATTGATGATTGCCGGATATTAGAGGACCTGTTATATGAGAACAGGAGATATTATTGTTGCATTCCGTTATCCCCTCATCGGGAACTCATCTCAATGCGTCACCGTGCTCTCCAAAGAGGTGGGGGCGATTTCCATGCAGGCATCTATGTGACAGCATACCAGATATTGGGTTACAGGTGCATGAAACTCCATACGGGGATTTAGTATCTTGAAAGCACTCATTACCCAATGCACCCCTGAATAATCGAAAAGTTTGAGAACGGTTGAAAAACAAGAGATCACACCCAGGAGGCTAAAAACTCGGGACCAGATTTTGGTATCAAGGGAATAGTGCATCGGAGCCGCATATCCACTTTGCAGAGTGATGGAAACGGGTTCGGATCACCACAAACCCAGAGGAATAGAGAAATAATCACTACTGGGAAGTTATCCCTGATAGCGTAGAATACGGATCCCTGTCCATTGGAAATCATCCGCGCTTGCGAACATTTAGGATGGGGTTCAGTCGTGGTGATGTAGGCCTAGCTATTCTGGCTGCTTCAATAGGACTTTGAACTCGAGCTTTCGCCTAACTTTCGCCTGACTTTCGCCTATTTATAGGCCTATTAGCCATACACCCAACAATCCCGTTACTCAATTCCACCGTTTCACGGATATAGCTATTGCAAATAGCGGGAGTAAGTCCCCAGAGTTTGTGCACCACAAATGAAGAACTCTGGGATTCCGAGTGGACATCTAAATTGCAGGAAACAAGTGGGGATGTGTAAGCCCTGACATCCTCGTATGTGAAGCCATACAAACAAACAAATTTGGCAAGCAAGGAATCCCACCGGTGATTCATCAGAAATACACGCTTGAGCCAGCACAATATCATGCATTCTTGATATTGAAATACGGGGAAATTTTAACAACCTTATGGAATCGCAGCGGTACTTCTCCGACAGAAGCATGACAACGTAGTGTAATTGGTCCATGTAACGTCCGTGCCGTATGGTAGCTCGGTTGGAACAATGAAACAGGGGCTGCTCAGACGGGAGGATTCATATTCTGTAAAGGGAGCAACTGAGATATGTTGCATCTCATCAAGCAGGGCAGCGAAGAATTTCAGAAATCATGCATATGGCAGCCGACTCGGACAGGTCAAAACGACCAGTGAGAGGCAATGGAACATGGTAGATGAGCCCATTGCTACCTAAGAACTCAGGCCAAGGAGATGAACAGGTAAAGTGGAATTCGTATTGTTATTTTCAGCAATGGGTCAAGATACTCACTCATTGTATAGTGGCAAAACACGGGATGCTTCATTTGTTCCTTTTTCATTTTGCTGAAGAAGCTGAGGACCTGGGTCCGAGCCGGGCCGAGATATAGAGGAAGATGGGCCGGGATAAGTGACAAGGCTCAACAATTAGGGTCCGGGCAATGCGCGGTTCTAATGTCGCACACTCTTGTACCGATCCCAGGAACTGTGAGAATTTCTAGAGTGATTTTGGAGGTGAACTTGAACAGGCAAGGCTTGCCGGACAATCGCCAAATGTGACCACTCCATGAACAACAACTGCGCCCGCCCTGCTTTATTCATGAGGCCATAAATCAAACAAAATCCGAGGCCTTGAGGCTCAAAACTTCCACAGGTAGCTGCATTACAGGGTTGATCCACGGTGCCCAGTCTATATCAGCCAGCATTGAAATCTCGAGCGGGTTCTGTTCCCTTGAGTAATTTCCCCGCTCGAGACCTGATGGATATAGCTCGTGATAGCGGATCTCTTTACGTATTTGCTAGTGGCATTTCCCACGGCCAGCCGTCGGAGACACCGTCTGGATGACATGAGGCATATCATTGGAGAGAACTTGTGCGAACTGCATGGAGGATGAAATTAAGTATCCATTGTTGAGAGAATTTTCCATGGTTCCTGCTTGGCCGTTGAAATGTTCAAAGCTGAGCCACTGTGCAATCGGCACACGCCTTGGCATGCGATAGGATCCTCCAAGGAACATGTCGGCACATGCAGACCTGCGGGAATGGTCCAAACCTGAACAATTAGACTCAATTAGTTAGCTACCACATATGAGAAATATCTAAAGCGAAGCCTCGTATATCAACTCCACCAAGCCAGGGCCAGCATGGAATCTCTGGCCGAGAGGAGAAACACTTTCGAGGACTTTCCAGGTCCACAATGGCCCTTCATTACACAGATGTTCGTTTTTCCATTGCAAATCCTCGAATTACGGGAAGGCCGGACTGGTTCGAGAAATAGTTCTCTACGGAAAGAGAAAGGTCTGCGTCTACCAAAACTCCACCGATTGAGCGGGCAAAGCTGAAGGTAGGTGAGGATCCCGTCGAGTGATTCCGCCTTTGGGAAGCATGGTTTTGGACTGGCAGCTGTCTGCCTATGTCATACTGGCAAAAAGTATGCTAAATTCATGTTGCCCACGTTAAGGATTGGGCCTTTTGGTGAGGTGGTAAAAACTCGTCTTGTTTTGATTCACTGTTCCCGGCAATTGTCCTCATGGTGGTCTCTAGGGCACGGTAATGGTGACAAGGGGTAAGGGGACTAGACCTTCCCCCCTGTAATCTCCCAAGCTTCACAGCATTTCCGGCCGAGCTGTCGGCAGTGAGAAGCTACTTTCATCATAGTGCCGGAGATCTTGCCATGAGTTTCTTGTACCTCTCTGTCTCTGGCCAAACCAAAGCATTGACACCGATCCAATCAAAACATGTCGCTTCCGTTAACGAAGTGCCAGGGGAACTTATAATGCATGGCATTCCAGTTCCCGTTTTATCGTTCGCGGGGAGGTAAGTACTACTAAGTGCGAAGTAGAATGAACCTATCATTGAAGGTGATGGATGAACTGGAAGAACAGGACGTGAAGAACATTGTTCAATTAAAGTGCTGCCGTTTGACATAGACCGACGAGAGAAAAGCAGAATGAACTTATAATTATTGCCCTGTAACTGATGGTTGATCAATGATCCAAAGTTGTAGGGAGTATTCCATGTTCTGCACGTTGATGCATCCCTAAGAACTCAACAATGCCACTCATTCAATTGCTTCACCTCGCACTTGCAATGAAGGCTCATTAATTACCAATTAAACTGACTATGCTGAACTCTTGGAAAACTGTCAAATTTTTATTTTTATTTTTACTTTTTTGTTTATTTATTTATCCTCTTTCTATATAAATTTTTATTGAATCCTCTGTCTCTCAGCGATTTTCTGCTATCATATACGCTGCGTAAGAGTCTGTTAACTATTATCGTTAGTATGAAGGCGTGGAGAGCTCAGGGCCGTCAGTGGACGTTGTCAAAAGTAATGTCTCGCACTATTATATATTGGTTAGAAGACAATCTACACAATATCATAATCTTTCCATCGACATCAAATTATTTAGTGTGATGCATAGAAACTTCGTATAAATTTAGAATCTGGGACATTCGGGCGGAAAATTTTTGATCCAGTAGCCTGTTCCAAGCTTCTCAACAGGTGATATCATCGGCAAAAACTTGGAAGGCAATGAATGATGCACTATTTCTGGTCCGATCAGGATATCAAAATAGTTAACACCTATTGGCCTTTTTTTTACTTCTGTTTTCTACTGTGATTCCTGCTTGTGCTAAAGTTGGTGAACATAAGTTCAAAGCTGCATTGCCCCAACTCATTCCAGTCGGGTACTATACGCTGGTGAGCCGCCTTGGGCCCAACTTCAACCTCACTTTCCAAGCTCTTTCGACGTGGGCAATTGATTAAAAAATTATGCGACTCATTTAAAGACAGAGTGGATGTGACGTGATATAGCCGTCATTTCTCATCAATGTTTTCGCAATTCTCTTTTTCAGTCCCCTCTATCCAAGATCTTTTCACCTCCCTCTCCACAGATGGCGACGCCATTAAAATACATTCCGTCGAGATCCATGATGTCGAGACGGCAAAGCAAAAGCCCGCTCGGGCACTGAAACACCTACTGAAGTTGAACCATGTCAATTATTCGATTCTATACCATAACGACCGCTTCCATAATCATATGCCGCATGTAAGATACTCTGGAGGCTTATTGACATGTGTTGGTTCTATGAGCCTATTTCTAATTGCTAATTTTACTGCCAGTTGCTGTCTTCAGCGTATTTGTTTGGAAGCGATGCCACCCACCTGAGCCGTCTTTACGAAATGGAGGAAAAGGTGCTGGAGCCGTGGCGGGATTCTCCTGAAGAGATTGCGGTAGACGATTGGAGGGAATATTTGGGGAAACCAGAGTACGTGTATAGGGTTACCCTTTTCCTTCTTCTTCTTCTTCTTCTTTCTTTTCTTTTCTCGATCATCCTTTTGTTTATGGGTATAAACTGACTGCCACAGATATCAGAGAGCGTATCTCGATTTTTTCGAGGACGAGCTCGTTCATCACTCTTATGATTGGAGAAAGGTTGTTGAAATGTATCTTTATTCTGGGGGTAGACCGTTGATAAATAATGTTGTTGCAGGCCGTAAGTAGATGTAACATGATTTGTGCATGATTTTATCGTAGGTTAGTTAACCTTGGAAATCTTGAGCAGTTGGACACCCGCTCATCCATTTGGGCTATGCATACGAAATGTCGAGTCGAGACGTAGCTATTGAAAGTCTCGCAATGACGGCAACATGCTACAACTATCTACATAAATATATTGACGACCATTCCTACCTGGAAACACCACCCACATACCAAACCTCTTCATCCCTGGAGATATTACATAAGATCCGCACGGACAAACGTTTCGACAACCTCTTCGAAGAGCCTGGAGGCGATAACCTTGAAATCGTCTTCAAAGATCACGAGGACGCAATTCTTGAACACTGGCGCGCGTGGGCCATCACCCCAGACCCCGTCAAACAGCTTGAGGTTTCCCAAAAAGACGCAGCGGCCATATTTGTCGCCGCAGACACCGAAAAGCACGACTTTTTCCTCGTCCACCTACTTACCACTAGCCACGCAATACGAATTCTATTACCATTCGTCCCAAGCAGATTCCACGTATCTCTTGTCCGCCAGTGGTGGCTGATCGTCGTGGGAGTTTACGTCGCACAGTTACGACCCAAAATAGAGCCTGACGCCATTCGATACTATGACGTAAAGGGGCGGAACTGGGACTGGATCGGTGGCCAGGCCATCAACGGTAAGTGGGCGGAAGAGACTCATTTTATCAAGGCACTTCGGGCGCTGAAGGAGGCTGCGAAGACGTGGGGCGATAGCGATGAATACTATATCAAAGCCGCAGTTAAGCTCGTTGACGATTTCAAGGGTTTTGGAGGTTTTGGTGAACAGGCAGCCTAAGTTGCACGGTAACGATTTTACTATATGGGCTTCAGCTTATCAAATTGTCTGTGTCTTCCATTCAAGTTGATGAACCACAAATGGCTTTGGCTTTTTCAAGATTGAGGGGCAATTGGTTAGAAAGTTGTCCCGACGTGCATTCCATAGTTATGTATAAATTGTCTAGTTAGCCTAACACTTCTTGGATGTAGTCGACCTAAATTTTGCACTGTTTGCATTACTTGGCATGAGATCTTCAATCCGTCACCTAGCCTGGTGAGATGCATGATGAGCACAAATCATTAACTAATTCCAAAAATTTGCTTTTCCCACACGCGCCTCTCCCGGAGGCATCCAACTATGCCATCCAGAACGGAATCTGGACCGCTTCTTTATGCGGAATTGCTACCAAATATCCGTCAGATAACATTGCATGTGTCTTTGCCCGCTTCCTCGCGTTTAGCTCAGAGTTCCATCACATCCGATACTCCAGGGGATCTTGTCCGAGGCAATTTCTCTCTTTCTCTTTTGCCGTCCCGCGACGCTGTTTCTCTCTACAGCTCGCACACTGTACATACACTACCCCTACCGGCATGCGTCTCAGAATCAGCGCACACAATTCTCTCCACAAAGCTGACGCCAAACCCTCCTGGTGCTGGACATGGCGAACTGCTGTTCCGACTGCCAGTCGATGTTGAGGCGGGCCTCCCAGGAGCCTCCCAACCGGCAAATGGTCAGCCTGGCCATGGAAGCAATGAAGTCCAGGTTCCATGGACGGCCAAGGATATGTGCGCTGAATCCCGCGTTCGATGCCAACGGTGCAAGAACACTCTTTTCACTCCGTCGGATAAAGGAAAGGTTACGTGGAAAGACCTACCTAGTACGGACTGGGCTGAAATGATGGATTTATGGCATTGCCATAAACCTGATACGCATGCTGATGATCATGGCGACGCAGCGGTTGGTACCGTATTGCATACCCACGATGAAAATGAAACCGTTAAAGGGTATGGTGCTTCCAACCAAGTTGTTTGTACCTCTGGGACAGTTTTGATTGACGTTTTGTCCTTTGTCATGGCTGAGGGCGATTGCCAGGGACTACAAAAATCGGTAAGTGGGGTTTTTTTTTTTTTTTTAAATGGTCTTTGCAACTCATAAAACCCTTGCCTCTTCGCCGCCTCTATTCATTCGAGGAGGTCCAATTAGTTGTATACCGCTGCATTTGATAGTTATTTTCTATTATTTTCTATTACCTGCTACGGTTCCTTGCTTTTTATCGCGTAATATCGCCTCATCTTCGGGCTGCAAAGAAGGAGACGAGATTGCTAGATCCCAAATCCCACGATCTTGTTTCCGATACAACTGCCCAATATCAACTATCGACGAGAAGAAAATTGCTGGGAATCCCCGCAAGGGATTCCGCGCCTCCGATTACCTGGTACTTTCCCCAACCGCAGCCCAATCCATCATGATGAAGGAAGCTAGGAAATGGGAGAATAGAGGGCCAAATCAAGTGCAGGATATTGAAGAGAGAAACCTCATCAGCTCTTGATTTTTCGGAATTAGGGGTTGGTAGATGGATTCCCTCTCCCTAAACCTGATGGAACCTTTGATTCATTCCCTTTTCTGTATCCTCCCTCGCTGTGGACATAGGCTTGGCTGGAGATGTATTCACAAGCGACTAGGAAGAGAGGAGGAATAGTCGAAACATGAAAATTTCTATAGCCTGAGATGTATTTCACCGCGAAATTTGAATACTTCACCTGGATTCTTCATGCCATTTTTTGTTTCTTTGAGCCCAGAAAAACGCAAGAGATGTCCGGTAGTAGTATTCGCTCCGAGGTTTTGTGGGATTCGCGGGATATGATCTGAGGTACACGCCCGCAGGAGCGGATGTTAGTATCATTGCAAAGCCTGGAAACTTATATATGTGGATCTCTCACCTCAATGGATCTTATACCTCCGATGTATCTCGTGAAAATTGTAATGGCTAACATTCGTCCCTTTTCAATTCTCCAATTTATTATGCCGTCTCTTCGTTGTGCTTTATAACAAAAAGAGTACCCTCCTTCCACCAACTTAGCATGAAACCTTCCCTCCACATGTAAATCATACGATTAACGGCGCATAACTAACATGAAAATGGTGGACCCCTCCAGATCCTCCCACTGTCTTCTACCTCTCGACACATTGGAAACGGGAATCAGCCGGCTAATGAGACTAAATTCCAACCAGTGGTCGATTTGTCGTGTTCCCGCTGCAGCGCTGTAGTAGGAGAAGAGCACAAGGCTTTTTCTGGCTTGAGACTATACAAAGCAAACGTTTCCCTCTTGCGGAAACCCAAGGACGGCATCAATTCTGACCATGATGTGTGGGAGACGTACCCAGTAGACATGATCGTGGGAACCCAGTTGCTGGATCTGGTTGAGAGAGTTGGAGCGAGGAGATTTGCTGTTCACAGTGCAGAATATACAGATACGAGCAGTCGAGATAACAAAATAGGATTGCTGGTGAGTTTACTCGCATACCCTCACCTTCTCATCTTACCTTCGCCAGTTGTGAATTCGCTCAACTTGATTTCCAAAGACAATTTGCACATGAATCGAGACCTCAACGATCCGCTAATTCATTCAAATACGTAGCTATGGGTGTTCAATCCGGATCTTCGCTATTCCAGTTTGCTCCTGGACTCTACTACTGATAAAGTCGCATCGATTACTTCCCAGCGGGCTATGAAAATACTGTACCAAGAAGTCCAAGATGTCCAGTCGATGCTAAATCCAGCGCAAGGCGTACCGTCACCAGCTGCGCTGGAAGAAGTAAGCCTTCCACCCAATATTTATGACGGCGTCAAACAGACTCTCGAGAGGACCAGTGAAGCTCTTCCCATCTCTGCACGTCAGTTTCGGGAGTGGAGAGTAGGATTGTTCTCTCGGTTTGAGGAAATAAAATCATCAGCTCGCGTCTAGTGCGACCTGCTGAGCTTTCGAGGAGACTCCTAGACAACTGAGGCACAGTACAAGAAGCGCCACGCAATTTCTGAAACCTTACGGTGACCAGCCCCATACTAAGAAAAGCCATGCCATGTTGAGTAAAACCCTCTGTGCTTGGTCCTGTCCGTCTCTATATACATTTTGTTCCTATTTCTTTCTTCTCTCCGTCCTGCTGCCGCCAAAACGATGATCACGACTTGTGTCTGTTGTTAGGCCTCGTTCTCCGTCCTGGCCCTATATTATCTCCGTATAGTTCCGCATTGAAGTGAATTACATTGTTAAATTGCCATATCGGCCCTGTATCTTCATTTAACTTTCTCATTGATATGGACAACGATGACAGTTCCAACATTGAATGTCCTGACGTTGAAGACTCGGACGCCGGGATTCCCTTCGTGGGCCCTAACGACAGCAGCACCAACTATGCTTATTGTATGGGTCTCTCGGGCAACGACCCCCTTATGACCAGCGTGGCCGGCTATCATGCCCAGAATGATAGGGGATACGAAGCAGACAATGATTTGCCTGCTCCAACATTGGCACCTGGTCATACTCCCGTTCCCACTTCATCCCTGATGCAAATCAATGCCACTATTCCGATTGCTGTCGGAGGAACTTCGTCTCTTGCTTTCGATTCCAGAAGTTATGCAAATCGTGGCAAATCATATCATTAACGGGGAAGCCCTTTGCCTTTTTTGCGCCGCCCCATTCTTGACAGACAAAGCTTGAATGCTTAACTTTTGCCACAGTCGGATTCAAATTGGGACCGCAGAATGATACCGCTGTCTCTGGCTCTTGAAAATTATACAATTCCTCTAGGCGACCACGGCGCCCGGAAGAGATCACGAACAGCCTCCTGTAGCCCAGTTCCTGAATAATTTTCGACTTGAGTGCCTATAAAAAAAGATTTTATGCCAGTGATAGCACCTTCTACACTCTTGCTTAGACCCGAAATTATGGCAGTGAGGTATCGAAATTTGTTAGGTCTCGTCTCAGTTTCATTGGTATTGCCATTTGCGGAAGAGGCTCAGTTATCTATAAGAGGAGCAATAGTGGGATCGCAGGTTGCCTGCGTCATTATATTTAATCGTATCTGACTTTCATATATATAATACTGCAAAACACAAACTCTCACCTATGTGAACAGTACTTTATCATGAACTTACCACCCTCCCTAATGTCGCCCGGAATCAAACTCAATACACATGCCTATGCCATGCTCTAGGGTTTATGGGTGCTTCTAGGCAGTTCCTCCATTGCGTTCTTTTGGGTTTCAATTACACAGGGCAAAGACTGCTACTGGAGACGAGCAGCTAGCAGCGGCGATGCTTGATTAGCCTGGCAGGGAGCTTGAGGTATGAAACACCTAAGCTAATTCCACGTACTTTTTATATCCTGTTTTCTTTATTCCATTTCAGTGATGAGGTAGTTATCACTATCCAACCTGCCCTAACTTGCGAAGGCTAGCTTTCCCACTAACTTAGTTATCTGAGGACCGTCAGGCTAACTTTCGAATAAATGAACTCCAGGCGTTCAGCTGGGAAATTTTTATCTCATTGCCGTTCTGATGGGAGGTTGCAAGAATGCTCTTTTTTTATTTACTTCCGGCATCCTGATCCCTCTGCAAAATATTGTTCGTGGCATTTGGTCTAATCGGAGTACTCCATCTCAATTTTGTGCCGTTGTGATCGTCGGAGGCGTGTCCAGTCCGCGAGCCTCCAGGGCAATCTTGCTCTACAAGACCCAGGGCCGAGGGTCAGCGTTTTGAGTATTCTGTTCCATTGTCGGAATTGAGTCTTCACGTCCCTATTGGCCAGTGTCGGTACCCAGCACGGCAGAGATTTCAACTTTTTAGGCCCTTATTATGAAGGGACCGCCGCTCGCTTTTCTGCTACGTAGCTTCCTGTACTTTTTCTTTGTCAGGATTCGCCTTTTCGTTTATAATATGGTTACGCAGAATATTTGTTGTTGATTCATCTGATATTCATTAACCTTTGGCTACATGCAACTGATGGAGAGCATGGAAGCCATACAAACAACCTGTATTCTTTCAACACTCTCCATCTACACCTACGCATGCTCCCCTAGCATACATACGCTTCTGACACCTTAGGTATTGGAAATGAGAGGTTGGTGATATGGAATCCTATATTTCAGCCGAGAACTCTTCCTCTTCTTTATCTGACTACCTAACGGTTTCTATTGTGTTTTTCCTTGCAACAATGGCAATATGGGACTCATCATTTCAAATACTATGCAAATAAAAGGAAACCCCGGAAACCTGGTTTCTTCAGCCCAAGGTATCTTGTTTAATAAAGGCGTTGAACCCCATGCCACAGCCGCTCGTTTGGCCCTATTTGACCAACAATATGTCAACACCAACATATGATCTTTGTGCAGCCTCAAAATCGATTAGGCATACCAGGCCAATCCCATCAACACTCTGTTCCGCAGACATGGCAATCCTTCCCCGGAATAACCCACGTTTCCTTACCCTCCTTCGCGCACGTTGGGCATCTGACACCGGGCATCTTGAACGAATGTCATCAGCTGGCGTAATAGTGACCAATTGTCTGTCGCTATGAGTCTCACCGGTGACATCTCATTTCCTACGGGTGCTACGCCAGGCGACACTAGAGACATGACGGGTTTGGAAATCCTCAGACGCATCGTCGAGATTTTGAAACTTTGCTACTTCCTGCGAATGCACCATCGTTAATAGAACAACATTTGGAAGACAGGTTCGAGTGGATGACTGTTCTAAAAGAATCATCTTACTATGGCAGTGAGAAAACAATTTACGAGTATCAATGTCGATGTATTCAAGTGTTTGGATTCAGAACAATTTTGGTCGCTCGCTTCACGAGTTATTTCAGTGCAATTTAAGGGGGGATTGACGTCTTATTTATGAAGCATCAAGAGATTTGCAACTCCGCTGAAGTCTATACGATCTCCATGATCGACGATACGTCATAGAGGAACTGTCACATGGACAGATAACCTTCATTCAGATCCGGGGCCCTCTTGAAGCAAATGCAAGAACTTGTGGATCCGCAACTTAAGACGTCAATCCAGTAACAACGCATCTCGACGCAACCAGCTTGATTCGACACACGAGTGTATCGAGGATAAACCAATGATCACTGTTTCCTTTGGCTCTGGTGAGATGGAAACCTACCTACACAATCACAATTTCCAGCATTCACTTAAAAATAGCTTCACTCCGGGTGGGGACTGCTCCAGTGGGGGACTTCTCCAGTGGTTCCTGCTATGCGCTGAATGAGTTCAACTTACATTGGAAGTTAAATTGTGTTTAGTTCCGTGCTAAGTTGTATGTTCACCGGACATCTCACTGACGAAGGCAAAAGTTTCCCCGGCCAATTAACAAAAGTCAGCGTGATTGGCCAATAATGCCCATTCTTCTTGAAGAAGTTCATTGTGCTCAAGGGACTCCAACTAGGATGGCGTATTTCCCCAGATGTTTGGGTTATCGATAGATGTGGAGCATGACCGGACAGGTGCTGTTTTCTCGTCAACCAGCACAAACGTCGACAGAAGTCCGTTACACCGCCTACCTGCATACTGTCAACGTTGTAATTCGTCGAACACCACCCCACCTCGCAGTACACCAATACAAAATTTTGAATGATAAGATTGGTCGGGTTGACGCCATACAAAATGTCGAATTTATATGGAAAATCTGCGATAATCCGTCTCTAGGAACGAAACGTGAATGTGGAAAACGGGGTCTGCAGAAAGCTGCCTACTAGCAGGCCAGGTTATGATTGTTTCGATTGACTACGGAACTCATTTTTCCATGAAACAGATTACGAGAATTGTCTGGGACGTCGAATGGAGGTGGGATGGTTCTTGCTAGCGCATCAATAAAAGAAACTACGCGACCTCACACCATCCTCATCCGATAGACAACCAGTGTGTGGGTCCTTTCTTCTTGTTGTATACCTGGTTAAGATATTGTTCTTTCAAGGCAAATCAGTATTATAAGGGAAATCACGTCATTGCCTGTACGAAAGGAGAAAATTGCTTCCAGCAACTTTTGCGTATTCCTATGGCTTTTGGGACTCGCGCGCCCAACTTCTATAATGATTCTTTTACTGTGCCATGTTAATGGTCTCGCGTCCTCAATGATTAACCCGATAGAGGCGAAGACATGCTTTCCGCTTTTGGGCGCATCTGTCAGGCAGGGTGATGAGAAAGGCTGATAAGAAATCCAAGAGTTTCTACGGGACAAGCCACTAACATGGCTGCTAGAGGGTAACCCCTGCGGTGGGAAGGGCATAAGACGGATACTCCGCAGAAGAACGTTCAGGCGATCATGTTTCCTACTTCACGGGACTGAACATCAATTGATGATAATCAACCAATGAGACTACGATATTGGAGCAAAAAGCAGACCTGTCACAATTTGCTTTAGTATGCATGAACTTTGCATGCACCTGGTATAAGGGCGGAATACACAAACTTTATTTCTGCCGACAGCTATGTTTAGTCAATGCATGATAAATAAGTTTGGAAATGGAAAACGGGAAATTCATTCGCTAGCCCCTCCGTTCATACCAACATGCTTGCATCAATCCACAGATTATCGAGATTTGAATATTCCTTCCGTCGGCTGAGATTTGCAAATATGAATGGAGGTAAATCATGGCAAGTCACCAAAGCCTATCACACTGACCACGAGGGGTATCGCACATAAAAGCGGGCTGATCACCAAACGGCGCCATTCAACAACGGCAGTAAATCAAAAGACAAGGGAACAGGGACTAGTGCTCAAGATCACTTTCCGAAATACAGTATGTACGAGTAAGTTAGAACAGTTTACATATTGAATGGTCTCATGCATCGGATAAAGTCTATTCATCCTGACAATGGAGCACAGGACAGACCCATTTAGCCACTGATCTAAGGGGGATTTCGTGATCGAAGCAATTAATGGAACGAACACCTTAATGACTTTTTACCTAGACCACGACCGCTCTCCTTGTGAATGTTATGGCTTTTTACCGCGTATGAACACACAATGGAACCCTAGAGGACTACAGTGGTAAGCTGGCTAAAGGTGCAGGGGAGAAAACACATGAAGCTCCTGCCCAATATTAAATGGCAGCATACTTATGATATCTGCTTTGAGATTTTGACAAGCAGAACACCTTGAGATTCCTTGCCGGTTGTGTCAAATAACCGAATAAACCGAAATCCTTGGCGAAGCCGATCGAGTCTGATGCAAGCCCACGCCGCTAAATCATCTCTTCCAAACTCGCGGTCCTTAACCTTGAACCTGTCGATTCACCATTGGATTAGCATCTCGATCCTGCTAGCAAGAGACGGACATAAACAATATGCATGAGGAATCACAGTTAAAGCTAAGCGATCAACAACGCACACGACCCCATTTTTTTCATGGGCTCAACATATGTGAGGAGTTTCTTTCTCCTGATCCTTTCGGTCATTTTTCATGCGTAGTGTTATTTCCCCCTCTTTTCCTGCAAAAGCAATAACAGGAAATATATTTCTCTTTTTGATGTCCTCTGACTGACGTGGCACTAATCGCCTCGCTGAAGATTTGGATCAATGATGGAGGAGGGAAGGTAGACGTGGGCCAGTATATCGAAATATCGCATGAAATATTGGAAAACTGAGCTGAGACCTGTCAAAAATGGAATTAACTGACCTCACAAAACTCAATTCCTCCCAAGTAACTGGTGCATTTGGGAACTGCAAGACTTGACCCCCAAAGTCAGGATCTGAGCCAACGCCAGACTTCGTTTGCTGTTTGTGCTTTGCAGTGTCTGTACCGCTTTTCACATTTTCGGTGGCGTAGATGCTATCTTTGAGTCGCTCGAGATGGAGTTGACATTTGACATATGGGCGGAAGCTCTTGGCGTGATCATCACCCTCTGGAAGGGGAATGTTTTGCCCCGCAAGGACTTCAATGGATAAATTCATGATACGACACTTCGCGATATTCTGGAGGTTACTTTCAGTTCCCTTGGCTGCTTCCATGGTCCATGATTTTCCCCTGTAAGTCTCCGGCTTAAGTACCCAACCTCTATGCCCTACGAACATTCCTTCGTTCATCATCATTCCCTTGTCACAATTCTGCCAATTTAATGCAACAATTTGAATACCTCGTCGCCAGTAAAACGAGGGGTCTAAATTAGACGAATTTACACGCAGACCGGACGGGTACGTTCGCATCATATATTCTCGATTATGCTCAAAAAGTGCCTGGCGTTCATTTTCATGGGCGTCTCTCACAGCTGACTCTGAGAGGGAGAATATGTGGTTTGGTTGGGTTGCTTCTGTACAAACATCCTAGTAAGCCAACTTCCTTGCGTTCGTGTCTCCACAAACGTAGTTCTCCTTCACTGCTTTTGGTTGCTTATATATAGCTTTTGGCGCCGTTATTGTTGGTAGGAACTCGAAAAGTAGACATTGGTAACATACCTTGCTGTGAGAATTTACTAAAAGTGTGCCCACGCGTGTAGATACCGAGTCGGCTTAGAGAATGTAAAATCTTCGAGGGTTTCTTCGTGGCCTGAGCTGCTCCAGTGTTCTCCGCCGGATCATTACCTCTCACAGCGTCATCCTGAGCTATTGATTCTGAATTCGCTTTTCCAATTGCCCCGGAGACTCCGTGTGTGTCCACAGCTTGGCTCGCCGTTTCGGGGGGTGCCCATTTCACTTTGATCAAAATCTTCCTTCGCAGTTCTCCAGGGCTTGGCAAGTGTTCAATTTCACCCCTCTCCAGTTTAGCTTCAATATCAGCTGGAAGTTCAATGAGCATTCCTTCCCATGCCTGCGTTATGATATCCACCATCACTTTTTGTTGCTCAAGACATGCATGAACCTCCAGGCTCACTATGATAGGCAGATCGCTGGTGACGAATGCATGATCTCGGATTGTGCTGCACACATCACGGAACGTTATTTCCTTCGTTAGAGTATAACCATGAAAAACGAGAGGCTCCCGCCGCAGCTGAACAGCTGACGCTGCCATTCCCGCATCCGCGGGTGGACTCGTAGATGCAGTTGTAGTTACCACGGTAGTTTCGGCACCGGCGACTTGCGGCTGCGCGGTCGATCCTCTAGAAAGTCGATCCAACCGGTTTGACAATGATGACAGATTAAAAGTACCACCTTTTCGATCTTTGCCATTCTTCTTCGAAATTTTCTGGGGAACTTTAGGATCGCCATGTTCGCTTTCCGATGCCGACGAATCGGAGCTGTCCGGTTCTCCATCCCACACATCAATTTCAAGACATCTACATCCTTTCAGAAGAACCTAGCGGCGGCACGTTATGTTAGCTCATGGATGCATCATCAACTAAGAATTCTATCCCCAGGCAAAAGCAATGGAGTTTATCATAAGTTTTGGGAACATTATCCATCCAATATTAGAAGGCATTTCCGATCATGAATGGGATCAAAGACTGCCAAAGCACCAACAAGTCCGTGGAAATGAGTGGCGCCGCTTGAGCTCTCCAATGACATTTTGAATTAAAAATGAGGCATATGGCACCCATGGGTTATCTCACACCCTGAGCATTTCTGATCGTGAATTGAGAAAAAGAGAATAAAAATCATGCATTCCCAGTAAAGTGCATGGGTCGCTTTGAACAACCACCCCTCCGAGGCAGCTCGTAATGTTATAATCAAAGACAGAATGAAGAACGAAAGGGAAACTGCGGGAAACGGCAGCAACTAAACCCAAAATGAGCGTCGGACATGAAACTTGACGTACATCTCTGTAAACCTTGGTACTTGATTCGCTATACAATTGATTGCCAGTAAGATAGGTATTATGGCTCGAGCTGATAAAGTAATTGTTCATAGGTAGCGACAGATCTTGTGGTTCAGGGGGCGCTTGAGCGTATGCAGATGACATGTAAACCATGAAGTCATCGTATGTTCTGATATCATGTTGTTCCCCTGGGGTTTCGCGCTGGATGGCCCGAAGAAATGTTTCTTTATTCCCGGACACGTTCGTTGAGTCAAAGAAGCGCTTTAGATGAGCCTGCACATGAGGTGAGAAGGCTGAAATTCTGTTGTCCTCAAGAGGGAATCTTGCACCAGGTTTGGCAACTGAAGACATCGTGAGATACCAAGCGCGACGTTGAGATCAGTAGGCAGCTAAATTGGCCCCAATTTCGATTTCAGGTGTTGTGGCACAGAGAAGTAAAATGCTCTGGTAATTTGCTAAATAAAAAATAGTTTGAGACAGCACATCTCCCAACGTCTACGACTATCCTAGAAACGCAAGTTTCAAAGAGAACAGTGATGGCGGGGTAGGAGTTTCGTCCGTTGTGGGTGTTCTTCAGCCAGCGGCTTGGCTTAGGGGAATTAATCCCAAGGAAGAATTGGGCTGGAACGGCAGCAGCATGGGTGAGAAACGGGCAGCAATAGTGAGCTTGGCCTAGGGTGGTAAGCAGAGAGGAGCGTCCTATGGGGTGAATTCGGCACGTCATGAAGTGGATTGACTGTGCACATTAACAGCGTTTCCTTCCCTTCGCCGCCAGAGCCGGAGTTCTATTAAAGGAAAATTTCACAGAAACCCCTTCTTTCGGTTTTCTGAGGAAACACTATAGCCCCCAACCTGCTGATTTCATCAGAAATTTCACTGTGGGGACGCTCAAGCGTGTCCTCACGAAGTACAGCGAGGCATTGAGAAGTGGACGGCCATTAGGATGACTCCCTACATGTAAACGGAAAGTCCAGTCAGCTTTCAGGCGGACAGAGGGCTATACTGGTGAGCGAGGCATGGAAAAAGGCCTCTTAATGAGACATGTCGTTCGTCAGGCAGTGAGTTCGCTCGTAAACCTGTCTTACCCAAACTTACCAGATATCGGTCCGTCCCAAAAAGCTAGCTTGCTGGACAAGGGGAAACTACCATTAAGGTATGCTTAGGCAAAAAGCTAATTCCAGAATACCTGTGACAGTGCGAATAATATGAAGGCCATTGAGGATGGACTCTGCTCTTCCCGCGGCAGACCCTGGTGGGTTTCGAATTATTGGAGGGACCCCTTGGAAACTTTGCAGATGTTATCCTACCAGCGACTGAATCAGTGCCCACCGAACAAGAGAATCCACAAAGCAACAGGCATAGCGTGCTGACCATGCCCCCTCTCAACAGCGGATAGAAGACGAGATATTGTTGGGGGGGTTTGGATTGGTTCGTCCCCTCTACTACCAGCATGGCGCTGGTGTGAGAGAGCTCTTTTGCCCCAGTGACCTAACAGGTTATGAGGCCCGTGTCAGTGCAATCGCTGCAGGGTGTGCCAACATGCTATCACAGGTTCGAATCAGAGATTGTCCAAATAAAAATATCCTATCCTACTAATGCACAGTCCTTACCGGGCGGGGACAAATAAGTGCTTAGTCACTCTGACCTTGGACCAGAACAAACAAGGGCCTAGTTCCCCAGCTGACCACTAAGAAAAAGTTGGCAGTGGAAGGGTAGAACAAAGACAGGCCTGGTTCTCAGCTAACCAAGATGGTAGTTGTGAGTCCGTGGGGGGGTGTTGGGGGGGTTTGGATTGGTTCGTCCCCTCTACTACCAGCATGGCGCTGGTGTGAGAGAGCTCTTTTGCCCCAGTGACCTAACAGATATTACCCAGGTGGAAGTAAGTCGTCACATGACCCAAGCAGCTGGTGAGAATGATTTTATCGACTCAAAAACATTGATATTAATATATATTTTTCACAGGTTTGTGAATTGCCATTTTAGGATGCAGGGGCTAACATATTCCGAAAGAGAATGCTATCCAGAACCATGAGATCTAATGGATCCAAAGGTATAATACGCTGTGTCTAAACGCCTAACCCAGAGAATGACAAGAGAAAAAAAAAGCCGAAAAAAAAATAGAAAAGAGATTGAACCTAGCACACTCCAGCTTCCGGGATTTATGCAGATAGTAAATATACATGCCAAAGTGGTCGCGCACAGGCACAAATTTCATTATGATGCTCACAAAAAGAATTGTAAAGAGGTTGCGGGTACGTAGCAATCCGTTTCAATGCAGGTGTTTGAAGTTATATGACAGCCCAGCCCATGTGGCCGCGCGTCGAAATAGAGAATCGTTCGGTGTAGGATTATTGGTCTTCAGCCATTGACCATTGAAGGCGTTGACGAGCCAGTCAGCAAGGCCTATATGGAAGGAAATTCATTTAGTTAAAATACCCCAAAATAGAAAATTGCTACAATATACGACCATCAGAAAAAACTTACGAGTGTAAACTATTTTATGCGCATTATGGAAATTGATATTATGGTCAGAGTCTGGAAAGACGTGAACATCGTAGTTATCAACGTTGGCCAGGTCCAGTTTATCGAGCAGGGTCAGCGTGTTTTGGATGTGTACGTTATCATCAGCTGTTCCATGCATCACCAGGAAACGAACATTGTTTGCTAACGCGGTGGTGTTGGAAATAGCGGAACTGTCATAACCCTGCGGGTTGTGTTGAGGGGTGTGCATATAACGTTCAGCATATATGGAATCTGAATAAATGTTAGCTTAAATAATGCCAGAAGGTATATATATAAGGGCCAAGGCCGCATACCATAATACCGCCAATCAGTCACCGGTGCTACCGCCATTCCATACTGAAATGTTCGTCCCCCATCCTCCTCGATCGTCTTCAGAGTCATAAAACCTCCGTAGCTCCAGCCCCATATGGCCATCCTAGACTCATCAACATATGGCTTTGCCGCCCATTTTTTGGCAACTTCTATTTGGTCTCGAGCCTCATAATGCCCAAGCTTTCCTCGAACTATGCTGAGGGATTTCCGGCCAATATAACCGGTGCCTCGACCATCCACAGTCACAACAATATATCCCAGAGTAGAAGCAACATAGCTCTGGAAATCGACACGGAACTTTTTGTCAACGGTTTGTGACCCCGGCCCGCCATATAAATAGAAAAGAACAGGATATTTCTTCGTTGGGTCGAAATTTGGCGGACGTCGTTCCAACACGGGTAGCGAGAAACCGTCAATATTGATATACTGGAAAACTTTCGATTCCAGGGAAAAGAGACGAAGCTTTCTAGATAGGTGGTTATTCTGCTCTATAATTTCTTCAAATGGGTTTTCGTTGGCGGGAGTGCTAATAACCTTCTGCCACGGTACTTTGGGCCCCTGGAAATTTAACAAAGCGTATCCGGCGCCGTCTGAGAAAGAGACATCATAATAGCTGCTCTCCGACACATTCGTCACTGGCTGAAGTGCAGTCCCATCAAATTTTACGCTATAGACATGTCGTTCCCACGGCTCATTGCCAGCAACAACGAAATAAACCAGCCCTCTCTTCAGGTCTACACCTGACGGAGAATTCACGACCTCGGAGGGACCTTTTGTGAGGATGAGAGGTTCAGGATTATCGAGAGGCGTAAAGTAGGCTAGCTGATCACGTCCTTCATGGATGACCGTATCTATGTAGCCATCCTCAGGCCGGCCATTACTCGGGTCCGCAGGAATAAACCGCGTAGATTGTGTCGGCTCCACCCAGCCGCCATCCAAAGCATTTATATCTTCTTTTCTGACGATTTTTCCAGTCCTCGATAACACATTGATAGCGGCAATGATAAGAATATCACTTTCTCGGTTAGTCTCTCTGACAAGAACCTTCCCATTCGAGGCCCACAGAACCTCAATGATAAGGCGATTGTCATCGGGAAATCTATCCGCGACGTCGACTGAGAAGATTTCGCCCTTCCTAACATCATAGAATTGGAGATCCACGATGGGATTCGGTGCGCCAGCTTTGGGGTATTTAATTTCCCGCACTTCGGGATAATTCTCTTCACCAAGATTGGGGTCCTCCCCACTTGGTCGGGACACGAAATACTGTAAAGGGTACTCAGGCACTGCGGACTCATTGGTCCGAAGGAATGCAATATAGTTGCCATCATGTGCCCACCAAGTCGCGCTGTTGCCTGAAAATACCTCCTCCTCATAAACCCAATCCGGCACTCCATAAAACAAGTCAACACCGCCATCAGAAGTGATCGTTGTAACTTCCTTTGAACTTAGTTTTCTAAGAAACATGTTATTATCTCTTGTGAACACAACAGCATCTGATTGGGGAGACCAAGAAGCAAGCTGGATCCTCTGATCTTGAGCAGCGGGGTCGAGCGGCTGTCCCGTTTGAGTATCCACATCAAACAGCCAATACTTCCCAGTAAACGAATGGCGCCAGTTCTGTTTTTTCTCGGATAGCACCAGAACCGTCTTCAAATCCGGGCTCGGCCAAACCTGAGAGCAGATGACGGTTTCTCCTCCCACTGTAAAAGTATTCTTCCGCATCAAAACAATAGAGCCTTTGGAAGACTTCGTATCCTTGCGACTGACAATGTCTTCCACGCGCAAGTATCCAGTAGATCCGGGGCCATCCTTCTCAAGAAGCAACCCATCCTCGCCATTCGGACCTGGGAACCACGATATAAAGTGATGACGCGGCATCCATTCTTCCCCAAGCACGTCGTCCAACGTTATCCTATCCCCTCGAAGCCCTCCACTTGATATGTTATCCTCTGACGAGATGGGCGTTTCGTATGTGTCGTGACTCCTGAATATAAAAAGGACGAAGGCAAGGGACCATCCACCCAGAGAGAGGAATAAAAGTGTCCATAACGCTATCTTAACACTTTTATGCATCGGCTTCCCTCCGGACGGGATATAGTCCGCATCCTCGACGTCATACTCAACGTCGTCGTCCCAGTACCGATCGTCGTCATCGTCACGGGGCCCTTTCTCGCCTAGCGCCGCATCTTGCGTCGAATTATTGATTCTGTCAATGACAGCGAGAGACAGCGAAGCGGTGGAGGACGAGTAATCGAAAGAGTCTATTGAGTTGCGGAATTCTGTACTTCCTCGAGTTAGCGGCACCCTTTCCTCATCATCCCTGCCGTGTCCTTTCTCCGTAGCCATTGCAGTGGCCAATCTCAGAGAAGGATTAATTTCCAATTCAGCTGCAGCATATCACCGAATGAATAGGGTGGGCAGCACAGTGGATGACATCCAGATGACTCTATGGCAGGGTCAATGGAGAGTAGTGAACAGAGTAGGGAGACAAAGATAAGCCACCGAGGCCTTTGCCAATGCGGAAAGGTCAGAGTTGTCCAATGAGATGCGAGTTTAGCTCATAAACGCCAAGTGCGGTTAGTTAGCTGACTAGTGTGCACAGGCCTTATTCTAACCCAGCAGTAACGATTAACTACATATGAAGGACGGAAGGTCGGTTACGATAACTAGCTAACTAAACGTTGTGTTGATTGAATATTCAGACAGAGCATCGATTGCTCAAAGGTCAAATATTTGTAATTAGATATTCGCCGCTTTTTCATAGCCTCATCTCGCAACCACCTATCACATTTTACTTCCACGCTAGTTCATAGGAATATGGTACAATGAGCAGCCTATACGGCTTGCTAGGCAACGTAGATGAGCAAGAATTTTAAGTAAAAAAACATACGCTTAGATAAAGTATTCACAGAAAACACGGTAGAAAAAGGAAGTAGAGGTAAATGGAGGAAAAACTCGTGACGCAGAAGAACTCAAGAGAAACCAAATCAAAAAAAGATCGGTTATATAATGGAACATATAGGAGATAAGACCTCCCGCGTATTATTTTCCCCGGTACACCATAGGTGATCCCGAGCCATACAAACTTCAGTCTCACAGAAAATACATCTAATACGTCCGCTTGAATGGCGGCACAGGCTTGCACTCATTCGCATCGAGCGTATTGGGATTTACCGCACGGTACGTAAGGTCGACCTTGCCATGAGGCTGCTTTTGGTAGGTCAATGTGTGTTTCATCCAGTTCTCGTCATCACGGTCTGGGTAGTCCTCGCGGGCATGTGCACCACGGGATTCCTTGCGGTTGGCAGCGGCAATAGCAGTTTGCGTACTATAGTCCATTAGCAAACAAGAAAACCCATTTATAAATTAAATTTTTTTTTCTTTTTGAAAAATTGGTGTAGGATATATTGGAGAGGGGAACTTACGCGCAAGTCAGCAAGTTTCTCAGTTCGAGAGTCTCAACGAGATCGGAATTCCAAATCATGCTGCGGTCCTTGGTTCCCACATCATCAAACATCTGATCAACCTCCTTAATTTTGCGGACACCCTCATCCAAACTTTCTTGCGTTCGGAAAACGCTAACATCAGTTTGCATAGTCTTTTGCATAGCATTTCTAATGTCAAATGTCGATTTAGATCCCTCTGCAGTTCTGACCTTGTCAAGAACGCTAATCGATTCAGCTCCAGCATCCGCACTAATCTCCTTATGTGGTTGACCAGGCGATGACTTATCACGAATGGTGTGGGAGACTGCCCGGCCGAATACAATGAGATCAAGCAGCGAGTTTGCACCAAGTCTGTTGGCACCATGGACAGAAACACAAGCGGCTTCGCCACAAGCATACAGGCCCGGAACTACCTTATCTTGACCCTTCTCATCTAATGTGAGAACCTCGCCGGTATAACGAGTTGGGATACCACCCATGTTATAGTGAACAGTTGGGAGAACGGGAATAGGTTGCTTGGTAACGTCAACGCCGGCAAAAATGGATGCGGTTTCTGAGATACCAGGCAATCGCTCATGGAGGATTTCAGCAGGAAGATGGCTGAGTTGCAGGTATATATGGTCCTTTTCAGGGCCAACGCCACGTCCCTCGCGGATTTCAAGAGTCATCGATCGCGAAACAACGTCTCGACTAGCCAGATCTTTGGCAGTTGGAGCATATCGTTCCATAAATCTCTCACCCTCAGAGTTCAGCAGATAGCCACCTTCGCCTCGAGAACCTTCTGTGATAAGACAACCCGCACCATAGATACCCGTGGGGTGGAATTGGACAAATTCCAGATCCTGGTTGGGCAGGCCAGCACGGGCAACCATGGCCATACCATCACCAGTACAAGTGTGGGCGGATGTGCAGCTGAAGTAAGCACGGCCGTATCCTCCTGTTGCAAGAACGGTGTTGTGTGCGCGGAAGCGATGGATAGTGCCATCTTCTTGATTATAGGCAATTATGCCTTTGCATTCACCATCCTCCATGAGAAGATCCAATGCGAAATATTCGATGAAATAGTTGGTGTTGTGTCGGAGTGATTGGCCGTAGAGAGTGTGAAGAAGAGCGTGTCCGGTTCTGTCAGCAGCAGCACAGCATCGGTAAGCTTGGCCTCCCTTGCCGTACTTCTGAGACTGACCACCGAAAGCACGCTGATAGATTTTACCATCCTCTGTTCTCGAAAATGGACATCCATATCCTTCAAGTTCAATGATACTCTGAGGTGCCTCTCTTGTCATGTAATGGATAGCATCCTGGTCACCCAGCCAATCGGATCCCTTGACGGTATCGTACATGTGCCATCTCCAGTCATCCTCGTGCATACTAGATTCTCAAAATCAGCGCACACCTTCGTATTGCTTCAGATAGCTGCCACGGAATTGCGAAAACGTACTTTCCAAGGGCAGCATTAATACCTCCCTGAGCTGCTACCGTGTGGCTTCGTGTAGGAAATAGTTTTGAAACACAAGCTGTGTTGAATCCTGCCTCCGCAAGGCCGAAGGCAGCACGGAGACCAGCACCACCAGCTCCAACAACGACGGCATCATATTCGTGGTCCTATAAATCGTCAGAACATTTTCATTTCAAAGATTATAGATAATTCGAGACGGCGGGGAGACCACGTACGATTACGGGATAATTTTTCGAGACGAACGGAGGGGCTTCTTTCGCCCGGAGAGGTTGATTCGCGAATATCCTGGCTTTTGCGGGTCAATTGGCAACGCTTCCAATGTTGGCAAGAGGCCCATGGCATACCTGTGGGACGTGAAGAAGAAAATAGACGTCTTTGATCCTTAAATGCGTTGGAAAACTATAGAGAAAACACTTGTCAGTTCGTACAAGGGCTTGGGTGCTGAGGGCGAGGGGAATCGTAGGTGCCATACCCTCGTCGCGGAAGCCAGGCTCCGCAATCCGGAAAAGCTCATGATGCCTCAAGTCTAACACAGAACACTGGGAGATCCAATTAAGTCAAAGCACTAACTGGAGGCGTTGTTGAGACGGGACATCTAAAACTGAGTTTGATCTTTGGACGAGGAAGTTAGTGAAGAGCGGTGGTTATAGGACCGTTACATAAGCTGGTCTTTGCCTGGTTCCGAGGCAGAGGTCCCACCAGCAGCCAATCACAACGGATGTAGAGGTAATCTTTCCGAGTTGGTCCGTTCACATGATGGTTCAAACGAGAATGATGTATATTACATTTATAGGTGTATATATTCCATTGATCTAACAAAAATAAGAATCTAAACACAGTGCTTCAGGAACTGGGATTATTGTATGCCTTGTTCCGCCATCGTACAGTGCAATATCTCCTGCAGTATGCTGTTTTAGTTGTACTGCATGTATGTTGCAGTCGAGTTGAACTTCAGGTTCCCCTTTATCACCTTATCAACTGCAGCCAGAAAATCTTTCTCCGTTGCGACCTTTCGCCGGGCTCGGATGGCGAACATTCCCGCTTCAGTTGCCACGCTTCGAAGCTCTGCCCCGGTCGAGTTCGGGCAGAGCCGAGAAATAAGTTCCCATCTGATATCTCGTTCCATCGACATACTTCTGGCATGAATGCGAAGAATGTTAGCCCGCCCTTCCAAGTCTGGTAAAGAAAACTCGATCTTCCTGTCAATGCGTCCCGGTCTCATCAGCGCTGGATCAAGAGTGGATGGTCTGTTGGTAGCAAACATGACTTTGATGTTTCCTCGAGAATCAAACCCGTCCAATTGGGTGATCAGTTCCAACATAGTCCTTTGTACTTCGTTGTCTCCTCCGGCACCATCATCAAAACGCGCCCCTCCGATTGCATCAATCTCGTCGAAGAAAATGATGCACGCCTTCTTTGTCCTAGCCATCTCAAAGAGTTCACGCACCATTCGTGCTCCCTCTCCAACGTATTTCTGCACCAGCTCACTGCCAATAACCCGAATGAAAGTGGCATCCGTTCGGTTGGCCACAGCTCGTGCACACAGTGTCTTTCCTGTTCCAGGTGGACCATAGAGCAAAGCTCCCTTTGGTGGGTCGATTCCTAGACTGACGAATCGTTCTGGTGACAGCAGTGGCATTTCGACAACTTCTCGAAGCTTTTCAATTTGTTCCTTACATCCTCCAACGTCTCCATAGGTCACATCAGGTTTGTCTTCAACCGTCATCATCGTAACGCTTGGGTCAATCTTAGGAGGTAAAGGGAGAAGAATCTGGTATTTATTTCGGTCCACCCTAAGTATATATCATCAGCTCGCAGTCCACCGATTGTAGTCAGATGGATAGAGAATCTTACCCAACACGCATGCCCTCTTCAATATCCGTAGGGCTGATTCGCTCCCCAAGGTTCACAACGAACTTGGCTATCTGTTTAACGTTGATGACATATTTACTTTTTTCCGGATCCTTCTCATCTTGTATAATTTTCGTACAGCGTGCGACTTGTAGTGGCTGTTCTTCTTGCATTCGTTGTCTATCTGCTGCAACATCCCACAGATGCGGTGGCGCAAGCCCGGTGTCGGATTCCTGAGAATGGTGAGTTTCATCATCACCCCAATACTAAATGTATAATAGAACCATATACCTTTACTCCGATCTTATCGTTGACGCTTGTTTGCTTCTCCTTGATTTGTTTTTCGAGCTTTTTCAACGCGGCCGCGTATGGGGCTGCGCCATAGGTCTTGAGGACTTGGATGTCCCTACGGGATAGATTAGTCCAAAAATTCCAGAGTTGACACAGAGCGAACGATGAGATGCACGACGTACTCATCTGTTAGCGGTGTAATCTTCTTCTCTGGCTCTTCATCATCTGCAAAGTTCTTCTTGTACTTCTCCCAGTTCTGGCCCGTGGCGCTGGGCATGCTGGCGGGATGGCAAGAAGGGTGGTAAGAGATAGGATCAAGGTCGACGGTCTTGAAGCAGCCACTAAGTAAATATATTATGAATTATTCTTTCCTAGGTAGCACGGCGAGTTTGGTGTGGACAGTGATGCGTATGGTTGTGTGTTATGATGTTGGTTGGTAACTTAGCTTCAGGAAACTCAGATGGTTATGTAAGGTTGGCTGGAGCTTGTCACCGCACTAGCGTCAATGATCGCCAAGCATCACCTTTGAAATTCCAAGAGTCCGTAGTTTTTGGACAACTCCCAACGACCCCTCCATTAACCGCATTATCTCGTTGTATAGCGCGTCATCTATATAGATATCTAAGATGGCGTCTACTATGAGCGCCTCTGGCAATGTCGGGAACAACAGCTTCAAGGTTTGGGCCTCACAATATCTGCCTTTCCCTCCTAATATTTACTCACTGGGTATAATAGGATAAAGAGAAACCCATGGCCGTGCGGGCCGGCAATATCATGGCAGCTAGAGGTATGTATAACTTATGGCTTATTCGCAATTACTTGCTAAATGTTCTCATAGCTGTTGCCGATGCTATAAGGACGGTATTGCGCCCTTAAACACCCACTCTCAACATAGAACATGGGGCTGACCGAGAAGCAGTCATTGGGTCCAAGAGGGATGGACAAGATGGTAAATTTTAATCACAACATGGTGAATATGATAAGGAACTACTAGGCTGATCTGTAGTAGATTCAAACTGGGAAAGGCGAAACCATAATTGTACGCTCTACGACCTCCCCACTATTATTTATAGGTATTTAACCCAAGCCATAGACGAACGATGGAAACACCATGTTAAAAGACATGGCTGTTATGCACCCCGCTGCAAAAATGTTGGTGGACCTTAGTGCTGCGCAGGATGTGGAAGCTGGCGATGGAACTACGTCTGTCGTTGTTATTGCAGGAAGCTTATTGGGAGCCGCGGATCGATTGTTGGCGAAAGGTGGGATGGGATTCTTCCCTTGTTCATTCACATTCATCCTTATCAGCCGCTGATATCTTTAGCAGGAATACACCCAACTACTATCTCGGAATCTTTCCAGAGAGCCGCCGCCGCCGCAGTTCAGATTCTTCACGACATGTCCCAGCCTATTTCCCTTTCAGATCGAGCAACACTTCTTCAAGCCGCTTCAACGTCGTTGTCCTCGAAAATCGTTTCCCAATATTCAAACCTGCTCGGGCCCATCGCCGTTGACTCCGTGCTAAAAACTATAGATCCTAAAACAGCAGACAACGTTGACCTTCGAAATATCCGTATAGTGAAGAAAGTGGGAGGCACAATTGAAGACAGCGAAATGGTAGATGGTTTGATCCTGAATCAAGGGGTCCTGAAAAGCGCTGGCGGCCCCGTCAGAGTTGAGAAGGCTCGAATTGCATTAATTCAATTTCAACTAAGCCCTCCTAAACCAGATGTACGTCCATATCATTTTCCAGCTCATCATTGAATGCTGACCATGGTCCCAGATGGAAAATCAAATCGTAGTAAATGACTATCGACAGATGGACAAGATCATTAAGGAAGAGCGCATGTATCTTCTAAACATGGTGAAGAAGATTGCCAAAACCAAGTGCAATGTGCTTTTGATTCAAAAATCCATCCTCCGCGATGCCGTTAACGACATCTCTCTCTACTTCCTCTCCCGCGTAAAGATCATGGCTGTAAAGGACATTGAACGTGATGAAGTAGAATTTCTCTGCAAAAGCTTAGGCTGCAAACCCATTGCCAACATCGACTCATTTACGGAAGACAAACTCGGAACCGCAGACTTAATCGAGGAGGTTCAATCTGCCGGATCCCGCTACACCAAGGTGACCGGCATCAAATCAGCAGCTGCAAACCAGACAGTGTCAATTGTGGCCCGTGGTGCAAATAGCCTAGTCCTCGACGAAGTGGAGCGATCCCTCCACGATGCCCTCTGTGTGATCCGATGCCTCGTTAAGAAACGCGCCCTCATTGCTGGCGGCGGTGCACCGGAGATCGAAGTCTCACAAGCCTTAGCAAAACAATCTCGGGCTCTCACAGGCACGGAAGCGATATGCTGGAAAGCTTTCGCCGATGCAATGGAGGTTATCCCTACAACCCTCGCAGAGAATGCCGGATTGAATGGCATAAAGGTCGTTACCGACCTCCGTCACCGACACGCCATGGGAGAGAAGAATGCCGGAGTGAGCATCCGAAGTGGAGGGGTTAAGGACAATATTGCGGACGAGAAGGTGCTGCAGCCGCTGCTCGTGAGCACGAGTGCGATCGAGCTTGCAGCTGAAACAGTGAAGCTGATCCTACGAATTGACGATATTGCGCTCTCTAGGTAAAAGCGAGAAACGCATCTTAATTGGTCAGGTGAATGTTTTCCGGCCTGTCTTCTTGGGAGGGAAATATGGGATACTTAGAGAAAATGTCGAATGACAACGTGTAATTGGAAAAGAGTTGAAAAGCTGTGTTTAATTATCTGATTCATAGAATAAAAAATGCCTCGACCCTTTTTCCCTTGTGGTAGTTTTACTCAGAACTCTCATCCAATATCAAACTTTTCCCTATTGCTCAACATAGCACACTACTGTTGTTCTACCAAGTTTTCTCGACCACTCTGATAAATAAATGAATCCTCGCTGACCATATCCCCAAGTAAGAAGTCATGAAAATCCGCCCCTCGTCCGAGCGAAAACTGTCAATACAGGAGTCCACCCAAAACACTTTCGTTTGTTGAAGTAAGAACTTATAAGATAACTCATTCCAGCGGCCCATACGCAAGCAGAATGTATCCTCGTACACCTTCTTCTCATTTCCCCAGACCAATAAAACGTTGAAATGAATCCATGGCGTCTCTTCTTGTCTTTCATGAACATCTTCTTAACCGAGATATTCTTGCACATACATATGCATAATCACGCTCCGCGAAAAAAGAAAAAAGGGAGAAGAGAAGAAAGAAAGAAACAAAGAACAATACGCGATATATCGTCTAAATAAAGCAAGGGAACCAAGGAGCTCTGTTGTTGTCTGGTGTTTTTCGCGCCAAGCAATCCGAGCAAAGGGATTGCCAAGATTCAGCTAAAAGCGGACAAAAAGTCATACATGAGTTGCACCAGCGTACGTAGTAATCGTTCCGAACAAAAAGGCAAAATGCCATTCTCAAGTGCTTTAGGTTTCATTCCTCCCCCCCCCCCCCCCCCCCCCCACACACCCCCCTCTCCTCCAGTTTCCCCAAAAAAACCCCAGAGAGATACAACGTTGGACGGAAGACATCAGCAAAAAGGAATGAAAATGGCAAGTCATTGTCATCGTCATGCAGAATAGGCCAAAGTAGAAAGAAACGGCCACATCGTCCACACATAACATGGGAAAATAGGGAGAAGTAGAGGGGAAAAAAAGAGAAAGTAGGAAATTAACAAAAACGGCAAACATAAGAAAAGTCGGTGGTCGAATGGTATGATCAAGGAGCAATCCATGCCTAACAGCTATTGCCGAAACTTGCAACGGCTACAGCAACGGCAGGGATAGCGGCGGGAACGGGTCTGTCCCTTTGCTAGTTCTCGAGCTATACCCAAAGTCATCCGATTCGGCATATCAAGGTGGATGAACTCCTCCGAGTCCAGCAACTCTTTGATATGATCGGCAGCTATGCTCGCCATGGCTTCATACATGTCCGCGTCTTGAGAGGTCGCCAGTATTGTATTCATCGCACTCAAAAATCTCTCAATAGACCAGTTGATGCCGAGAACGTGACAGATGCTCTCAATTGCACGCTCTCTAAGCCCCGATATTTCCAAATAATCTGCGATGGCATGCATGTGTAGACGGATGCTTAACAGTGCATCTGGTTCGAGCAGCTAATGTTAGCTGAAGAGTTCGTAAATAATGTTAAAGAGATGCCTACCATCTTGAGAAAACGAGCTATCCCCGGCTTCTATGGTAGTGGCGCTATCCACTTCTTCGCTTTTTAGATCTCCATTGAATTGGCCGGTGTACAGATAGTCAATCATGCGCTTGACAGTCTCAACATCGAAACTGAACAAGTGCATCACTTCCGTCCTCGCTTCCTGGCAGGCTGTCAGAAACGTATAGACTCTAATAGATTTCTCGATTGACGTACTCGAAACTGTCCGTCCATTGCAGCTGCAATAACCGGGGATTGCGTGCACACCACGGCTTTATGAACATAAAAACTCTCGCCCTGACATTCTATTACACAGTCGCTGTACTGCTTGGACGACAACAGTCTCTCCATCCAGCCAGGGGAGGGGGTTTGAAGTGACATTTCGACTAGTTCCGTGACCCAATTAGTCAAGCCTCGCCCTGCTCGATGGCTGTAGTCGGTATCTGGTATATGAGATGATGGTGGGACTGATGACTCGAGGTCGCCCTACTAATCCAGAGAAAAGGATAAAAGGGGATATGTTGTTTGAGTTTTATAATGGTTCATTATAAAAAGATCAACACAACGGCTTTTAACATAACAGAATGAAGAGAAATCGTGAACACCAAGCATTCATTATTCACTGATAGAGCTGTGTTGTGTTGTTTATCTTCTCTTTGAGGTGAAGCAGGCACTTTACTCCTTAAGTGCTTCAACACGCTTCGGAACCTACATTGAGGACATAACACTGGACTGGAGCGGTCCGCGATTTCTTTTCATTTCGTTTGACGACAGCTAGAATTTGAATGTTGTCAATCTCGATGTCGAATTCGTTCTCAAGATTCCACGCTTACAGGACTTGGAAAGTTATCATGTCCTCCACGGGGGGAGGAAGTGTACCTCGGACCGTTACCAGAAAAGGACCGCAAAACTCTCAATGTGTTTTGTTCTGTCAAAACTGCCACAGTTCATGATCCAGCAGTTAGAGCCAATCCTTGGGTATCTATCCGACTGCTCTATCACGCATCGCGACTACACGTAGGCACTTTGCGATGTTGCTGGCATGATTTCAGTCATACTAGTTGTCACCGTCCTAGTACTATAATCCACTATGAAGTCGTGAGACATATTCTTGAGAGACTGAACAGCAGCATTCAAACCGGTTAGCCGGAAATGAAGGCCAAGGAAGATATTGCAATGTCATTTAGCCTGACGCTGAGGGCTTGAGATAATTGTTCGCCGTTGTCGTGGGATGCAGGCAGTTTGACCTAAACAAAGGACAAGCAAAATCGCTAGTACTTTCCAGTGCGTTGGCGCCACAACCATACATGTCGACGGTGTGGTCGAGTGGTAAGACGTCGCGTTGTGGCCGCGCCAGCCTGGGTTCGATTCCCAGCACCGTCAGTTCTTTTGCTCTTGAGGTGTATTTTGCGTTGTTCTTTTGGGTCTACTGAAAGTCCTCCAGGCCCAACTGCCCTTGATCACGATTGAATCGCCTGCTTCGAAAATACGCAAGATCAACTCGCAATCTGCTTATGTATCGAAGAACTGGCGCTTGGCGCGGTTGTCCTCCTCGGAGGATAACATTGCGTGATATTAATCTAGCTAAGCGAGCTAGTGTTAACCTGATCTAACCTTGATGTTGGCTGCTCGGTGCGGTCAAGGTACTGGTTTGCTTGTGCTGGTGGTGGTGGCTATTTATTTCGCTGAGCGGCGATGTGACCGAGCAAGCATCAGCATAGCATTTAGAGGGGGATTCTCATCTGTTGGCAGTGCTTTAGCGCTGACACCGAGACAATCTCCCTCCTTGCGTTTTCCAAGAAAAGTTGAATCAAAATGCCACCAGCCTTTCTAAGCACAGGCACTTAGAAATTGAGTGATTGAGTGATTGGTTCCTGTTGGTCTCTTCAACTAACGCCCATAATTAGAGCCTCGGTAATTTCCACCTGTTCTGCTGCTCTTTTCTATTTTCTCCCATCTGTCAGAAAAATAGTCTCCTTGACGGAGAGATTGTACGGATAAACACGTTTGTTATACACTGAAATATATTGTCTCCTTCTGAATGCGACAAGCACTGTGTACAGCCGTATGGGTATAGATGCTAACCATGCTACAAAATATAATTATGTGATTGGGTTGGCTTTTTCTTTCAAATTTTTTCAATTGAGAAGTCCGACTCCGCCCTACGGATGTAGCCTCTCCTTTTGAAGATGACAACCAAGGGCGGAGCAGAGCAGTTGAAGGCTTAATGACCCCCCCCCCCTGCTGAGCACTGGCCTCGGCCAAAGCCACGGCGCAAGAATATGCAATTTTGAGTAATTGACGAACAAGGTTGCAAACGCTCTTAAGTTTTTATTTTTTTAGAACCAGCCTTAGAAGCTGTACATTGACATTTTGCCTTGTACTCTTCGTAATGAGCAACCTGACAACAACTGCAGAGTCCTTTTCCGCAGTTCGCGCATCGCCGGCGTCGTTAACGAATCCTTCTCATTTCCACTCCCGCTCTCCACCGCTGCTAACATCTCTTCCGCTCTCTTTCTTGCCAATCTCAACACCTGCTGTTCGCCCAAACTAATGTGCACTACCACCCATACATTCCCCTTTGAAGGATAGACACCCTCTCTCTGCAACTCATTCTTCTAACTTTTTCAGTTGAGTCCTGAAACTATTTAGAAGACCACAGAACAATTCTACCAGAGACTGCAGAACTTTCATCTCATTTGAACCACTGATTTTCTCATCTTTAAAATCAATTTGTCAACGTGCTATGGTGTTGGTTGAGATTCAATTCATCTGACCACTGAATATGAAGGTATTGAAAAACATTTTTCAGTTAGCAGATCAGTGAGAGTGAGAGAGATGATAAAGATCAAATTGAGTTCAGCTGATCCTCAGACCTTATGCTTTAGCTCAAAAAATGGCATCGTGAATGTGTTTCAAGAATAAGTTCATAGTTGTCATTAGGATTACTGAGTATGACAAAGTTATAGAGATGTAAAAGGTGATTATTTGAAATAGATCTGTAATGGATTAAGTTATTAACATCTGAAAGAATACTCTTCAGATAAGTGCCCAAATCGATAACATCAGAAAGCAAGATAGTGAACATACCTTATGTTCAGCTTTGTAGTCTTTCCCCACAAGGACATTTCCAGACAAGGGATTGTAGGTGTAACACTGTTTCAGGCAGTACAAAATCCATCACGCGACTCCACATGGTGCAAAGTGCCCATTTGTACTAAAGGGCAGAAAGAAGTGTCAGTTTGTCGATTCACAATATCCATCACACGCGTATACTGCCTGCATCTTCGATGGTGAATTTGCTGAGTGGAAAAAGATCTCGATGCCGGGCAAGCAGTGGCATGACTAATGCTCTGTAATTGCCCTGGAGGTATCGCCTCGGCTGCTTTGTTATGGCGTACAGTGGAGTTTAAGTACAAACTTCTAACTCATCCTCTGTAAAGTAGATGCTTGAAAAGTAGCTCATAGATAGTGCTGTCAAATGGCTTCACAGGCCATTGTATCCTGACTCGCGCGATCAGACAAGAAGAATATACATAGCCAAGATGCCATCAACAGACAAGGGTGGCTGCATAGAGCGATGGGCTGGCCAAGAAGGGAATCAGCATATACATGTTCAACTATCCAGAGAACATCAGATGGAATGGTTTGAATCCTTTCTCCTACCTTGAAATGTTGCAGCGTTCTGACACCACACCCAATGACCGGGAAATTGGCAAGCTCCAGGGCGACCGAGCCTATGACTCTAGACTATTTTAGCCAACCTTCCATGGAATCAGATCAGAGCGTGTGCAGCTGTTATTGCGTATGACCTTTTTGGTCGAGTGGTTAACCTTGCCTGCCCGTGCCTGGCTGATCATTACATCCAGCTGTTTGAAAATCCTGCTTTCTTTAATATTCTGTAGTATATACTTCTTTAAATCGGATGTTTCATCTGACAGCCAGATTATATTGAGAATGGATAAAAACTTGATGGAATTGCATCAATTACATGTATTGAGCCTACATCTGTAGTTCAAACTAGGTACCCTGGGCTTCCTAGTACAGACTAGCGTCCCTATTGTTCTAATGATCACGTGATATAGTTTGTCGGCCTTGGCATCCAACTTTCTCCTTCCTTCACGTTTTGGATACTGGGACATTGCACCCATCGGATTTCCCTTTCATTTGTAGTAAACTTGCGCCTAGCTCATAACCAACTTTATTCGGATAGCTCATATATCGAATTGGGCCACCATCGCCCAGATTATTTCCCACCTCCCGAAAATGCTATGCCAACGCTGCAGAACGAGCCTCCTCTGCCGTCTACCTTTCCGCCAACAAGGCTCTACCTCCCTCCAGGCATCACGATGCGCAACTCTCGTCCCATACAGACAGAGTCTTCGCCATTATAGCGCACCTGCTTCCGATAACCCTTCATCACCCCAGTCATCGTCTACCCCATCAATTGCCCTCCCATCAGTTGCGCCTCCGTCCTTAAGTGCACCCGTGACACTTACGAGAAATGAGCCACCGCGTGTTATGAGCGGCACCCCGGCAGGTACCAAACTTAAAGGCATGAACTACATGAAAAATAAACCCGAGGTTTTTGCCCTGGAAGATCATGAATATCCGGATTGGCTGTGGGGCCTGCTTGACGAGGCAAAGGCAAGGTCAAAAGCAGACGGAAGTGCACATCTTTCCAGTAAGTTCATGATATTACGGCTGTCCCACCCACACCGTTTTCATCTTTGTATCCTTTTAGTATAATCTTCTAACCGCCGATGGAATAGCCATGAATAAAAAGCAACGTCTCCGTCACGAAAGAAAGATGGCAGCTCTTGCAGCTTCTCAACCACGTAAAATTCCACTTCATGAACAAGCTATCGATATCACTCCAGCAGACGCAGTCCCGCAAGCCCAATCCCCGGAATTCCTAGAAACGGCGAAATCCAGCATCGATACATGCTCGCAAATCACCAAGAGTGCTAGGGAGGCCCGACGAAAGAGCATCAAGGAAGCTAACTTCCTACGCGGAATGTAAAAGTTGGGCTGAAGCGATGATCAATGTTAAAAGGTCATTTGTTTCTGCCAATAGAGATGGAGTGGTGTCACAGTCAGACTTGTATCCTTCCTTTGTTACCTTGCGTGTAAGCAATGCATGGTTTAAATAGAGTTTATATTTTTGTATATACAAAATGAAGAAGGGGAAGCTTCTTTGCATCTTATTGCTATTTTTCCCATTTTCCAATAGCGATGTAAAGGGCCTTTTAAGCCATGAAATGCGACTGAGAACTCTACTATAGTACTCACTTTATTCGCTTCTCTGCCTAGTTGATACAGTTCATTGTCGATTATATGTTTCATTTTCCAATCCGTTCCCTCATTAAAGACGACGCACGCAGAAAACGAAGGGAGAAAAAGGAAACAGGGTGATTGATATATTTATACCCGCAGGTCAGCTGTTATTTACACTCAATCGTGATTTTAAAAAATATAATCATGCTTCACTCGTTACGCTCGCTACGGCCAGTTACATAAGCATAAATATACTGCGTAGAGCCTCTACTAAGATGTGACAGTAGAGAACAACATGCATAAAGAAGAATATAAACAATTGAGGGGTATTAATTCATATTACTGATGGATATTGCTAGATATATAGTGTGATCTATGCTGAAGCTTCATATCATCGATAGATATCCATACCGTCTATAGATATCATCACCGGATATTGCACGTAGTTGGCAAGAAAGGTAGGCAGGTAGATTGGTGAATGGATGGGAGAGTAATCTGTATATCTCACTAACATTAGCACGAAATCTCCACATAGCAGCTCCTCGATATCATTCATCTTCATAAAGTAATATCTCAATTAAGATACATCATCAAAGTCTTTGAGAAGGGGGTGTAGAAGGCAGAGGTTGCTTATATTTATAGAATATAATGTGTCGGATGCAGGAACACAAGCTGTACTCTACAGAGCATCTTCTTCACTCACTTAGGAGATTCATCTTAATTCCAACATTTTCAATTCTCTTGATCTTGCGATGAATCTCCTGCGAGTGGCTAAGTGTCATCGATCACGATAGTTCTCCAAACAGGGTACCACAGTTCATCCTCCCTCGTCTCTTTGACACCAATCCACCAGCTATCCTGGTCCTAAAACGTGCTTTTGAACTATGGTCATGAGTTGGTCTAGCATGGTATGGGACCGTTCACTCAAAGAGAGGTTCATGAGGCTTATGATATATACCTCCTACTGAGTTTTTTCAAAGATCAAGAGCTGTGTGGTGGTTATCGTGCTCATCACGCGTTGGTTTTGGGCTAAATACTCGATGTTTCTGTCTTAGCTCGTGACCCTTCCTCTCGGATGGAAAATGTTGGGATTTCAAAAACTAAAGTTCGGGTTTAACCCGAATATCCTGCATGACATCTTGGCCCTTTATACATTGTATACAATTTAGCTCCCCTCGCATGCTGAGATACATTTCTCCATCTTACATTGTATCTTGTTCCCTGTCTCCAGAGAGAACGCATGTGGCGAGTTGCAGAAATAAACCAGAACGAGGATGATAGTTGCTAGCACATTGTTGTTGAAACCAACGAAACCAACAAGTTTGTTGCAGTGAGAAACGGGGAAACCCGCCCCTAGCAGCGGTTTAAAACAGAAATGAAGCTGACATTCGAACTTGTTCAATGTGGGCTTGTTGTTCTGAGCAAAACAGCCGTCGGCGATGCTAAATTAGGTGCAACGCGCCAACGACTTTCTCTCCCTGGCGCTTCGAGCATGAAAATTGGCCCCTGGCTGATCACGTTCTAGCCCCATGATTCAGCAAAAGCTCAAAAGGATAAGAGCCTGTGAACCAGGCAGAAATTGACACATTTCAGCAGGAAAAAAGAGCATATGCACTTAGGAAGTAAGTTTATGACTCCATCGCTCCCATACGCTTCGAATATACCAAGTTTTGATGCTTGTACGCCGTATGTGAAAATATCAATGATAAAGCACAGAGCCGGGTTGAAATACGGTGAGATTTTGGGCAGACATTCGGCATCGAGACTCGAGAGAAAGCCTTGAGCCTGAACTGTCCAAGCACCCTCACATTGAGGAGTTGTGACCCTGTTTAATCTTATCACTCAGATGTAACTGGTCACCGTCGACAAGGGTTCCGGTTAGCACTTCGAACAAGTACAGATACTGTATTGAAAACATTCTGTCAACCCTTGCCTCGCTGCGATTCGCTTCGAAAACGCTACTTGCCGGGAAATTACTCTCCGGTAGAAAATGGACCCCCAATACCCAACAGCAGTTGACTGGTGATAGGTTTGACTGGCTTGAAACATGCGAGGCACATCATCTTTTGTTGGCCAAGCTCAGCGCTTACTGCTTCGAAAATGACATATTTGACAGTTAACAGGCTTAAGAAAGCCACACGGAGTATTAGCACAGTCGTTAGATTATGAGTCTTGGCCATTCTTGAATTCTCCATCATCGCCGGATTTAAAGAGCATCGCTGGCCCCTCTCGAATACTCGTTGGCCACTCCGCTCCTTTGGAACCGTAATATTCTTCCCAGAAGTCCCATCTTTGGGTAATTTTGCCCTCACACTCCTTTCTTATCTCCTGCTGGAATTAGATTCTGGCATACATTCTTTTTCATTTGCGAGAACAGCAATTTGGAAGGGCTGCGTGTATAGATTATATATAGATATCTGTCGCGTAATCGCATTGCTCCCCGTGGTCACCGACGTGGATTCTGCTCAGATTTCCAACACATTCGCCCGGCAGAGGTTCTCATACCTGCCCACCAAATTTGCATGAGAGCCGGCCTCTTATATCAACAATGCGTTTACTTGTCGTCCTAGCGGCGACGATCTCGCCGGCATTGGCATTTTGGCGTTTGCCATGTCGCGGTCGTGTGGGACTGGGTCCTATCGATCCTATTGTCAACCCTGGCAAACGCTCCAGTCACGTTCATGCGCTTCATGGAGCTGGAAGTACGTGCCCCTTTCCTCCATCCCCTTTCGAGTGTGCATCAAGTTTCTAATACATCCTAGATCTTGGCTTGACCAATACATATGAGCAGCTCAGGGAATCTGAATGCACGTCTTGTGAAGTTCTGGAAGATATGTCTCTATACTGGGCGCCCGCATTGTATTTTGAGCATCCAGACAAATCCACAGAGCTGCTTAACCAGGTTGGCGGTATGCTGGTGTAGGTTCCCTGCTTAAAATTCTTGTCACTTTGGTCCACGCTGAGACCCAGTAGGTACTACCTTCAACGGAACGAGCCTAAAGAGAAAGTCCATGCGTTTCCTCCCGGTCTGAGAATGGTTGCTGGCAACACCTTCCAACGTAACTATACGGACGCTCAGAAGAACATTGGGTTTACTTGCTTGAACTATGACAAACAACCCAAACCTTACCCCATTCCTCACACGTTGCCTGATAAAAATTATATTGACACCAATTGCAAGCACGGAGTTCGTGCCGAACTCTTCTTCCCTTCTTGTTGGGATGGAGTGCGGACTGATTCTCCAAATCATAAAGACCATATGGCCTATCCAAGCCGCATTGACAATGGTTTCTGTCCTCCCGGTTACCCCATCCGTCTGGTATCTATATTTTTTGAGACGATTTGGGATACCAGCGCTTATAAAGGGAAGCCTGGAAGATTTGTCTTCTCCAACGGTGACCCAACAGGTTATGGCTATCACGGCGATTTCATGAATGGCTGGGATGAAAAATTCCTGCAGAAGGCAGTGGACGAATGCACCAGCAATTCTGGAACTGTGCAGGATTGTAAACAGTTCACTCTTCAGAAAGATGATGTGCAGAACAAGTGCAAGATGCGCACTCCATCAATACTTGAGGGTGAGACCTTCACCCGGCGCGCGAATGGACTGCCAGAAAATGTTCCCATTTCGGACGGCCCGGGTTCCACACAACCGGGCACCCCGCCCCCAGAAACCAAACCACCGACTGGTGAGGATCCCAGCGACAAGCCTGGCAACAAACCACCAACCGATGACAAGCCGGGCAACAAACCGCCCACTGACGACAAGCCGGGCAACAAACCGCCCACTGACGACAAGCCTGGCAACAAACCACCAACCGACGACAAGCCGGGCAACAAACCGCCCACTGACGACAAGGGCAACAAACCACCAACCGACGACAAGCCCGGCAATAAGCCACCCACTGATGACAAGCCCGGCAATAAGCCGCCCACTGACGACAAGCCCGACAACGAGCCACCAACTGACGAGACACCAGGCAACCAACCTCCCCCCGAAGACCACGAGCCTGGTTGCGAGACACCAACCGGGTATCCCGAAACCGAACTACCCACGCCCACCAACCCACCCGTCGTTAAACCAGTCGACCCACAACCCACCGAGGTGCCTCCACCCGGGGTGACTGATGCCCCCGACGGCGAGTGTCCCGCTGGGGAAATAGTGGCAACGAGCTGGTCCACCAACGGCAACTCAGTGTACAAGATTAACTATTATCAGCAAACCGTTATAGAGACCATCACAGCAGCGGCAGCTGCTACCGCACCTGCTCAGGCCCATGCCCGCATGCATAAGAGACGCTTCCACCATCACTAGTTTAAAGCCTTTGTAGTTTGATAACTCTTTTGTATTTTTTGTCCTTTCAATTCTTGAGGCCTGTGCTACCTTGTCTCCTAGCCTGATTGCTTGTAGATTGGTTCGATAAACTGCAAATACTTTGTCAATAGTGAACATGCTAGTTACGATAATCGGGCCAGCTCTCTCATTTAAAAAAAAAAAAAAAGGGAATGGGAAAAGAAGGCACACTGACATCAGGTCACATTACAATTCTTCATTTCGTGTATTTATTTAGCACCAATTTTGGGGTTTGAATTTCCTGATATCATGGCTGATTTCATCACAGCTCTGTGTTTCTGCGTTGATTTTGTCACTTTGTTTCCTTGGTTTATCTTTTCGTTCCTGAAATTCTTCACTGTATATATTGAGAGTTTCTTTGCAGGAATATTCCGTGAAACAGCTTCGAACAGATTACTGCATGCAACAAAGGAATGTTAACAGTGATGAACTGCCATTTTCTCCTTTCCCTTTATAAGGCGTAGTAACACCGGTACTCCGTAAAGCGCTGGAAACGTGAAACCAAAACAAGGGCAAAAGGCCATTTGTAAAATACCAATGCAATTAGTTAAAACGTGAAGGTTTTTGCGCCACACGAAGCTGAGCAGATAAATTGAGGGGAAATATGAAGGATAAAAGAACACAGAAAAATATTACGACGTTGTCTAGTAGTTTGCAATTTTGTATGCCCATATTCCTCGCACGCAGGGCCAAGCTGTATGTGGTTGGCATTTGACACAGCTAGCATTCACGGCGGGAAAGCACAAAACGAATTACTCTTCGGATAGAATGAGGGACGCATCGCACGGTATGTGAAGCAGAAGCAGCCCAATCTTTATCCGGATATCCAATTGACACTCGTGAGTAGGGTGTGGCTTTCCTTTTTATCGAATCCAAACAATATCATTGGAGTATATGTTATGACTATATTTTATCATACCATTGGAGGTGGGAACGCGGGGCGTAATGGACGTCCATGGAACGCACAGGAGAACGACTCCAATATAATAATAAAGACACGGGGGTGGTATTTATAATTTTCCGTCTCTTTGGGTGGGTTATGACTTTGGAGGTCCCCTCCCAGTTTGATTTTTCAGTTCTTCACGGAACAACTCGAAAAAGCGTTTGAAGCTGCCTTCTGGTTCTATTTGTTGGAAAGGAAGAAAGTAAGTAAATAGTGTTTTTCTTTTTGCTTGATTTCCATGGGGGTATTTTCAACGGGGTGGAAAAAGCTCACTATCGATATTGGTGCCTCCCATATCCTCCGGAGATTTCCCATACCGAATCTCCTGAACTTTCTTGTGCACTTGCCTCACAGTTCTGTGGAACGCAGGGCTCGATAAAAGCTAGGGTGCACAGGAAAAGGAGAAGAAAATGTGTTAGACGTAGCACGAGATGTGCTTGATCGCACTGGATATGCATTGGCGAGACGGGCTATGGGCAGCTTACCCTTGCAGTGAGCCAAACCTGATAAATGGGGGGAAATAGAACAAGAACAACCCCAGGTCAGCGAGGCGCCATATTAGTGAGGGAAATGCCTTGTGCATAGTTGACAAACTTGACATACCTCAAGGAAACGGAGCCACATGCTGTGTTTTGTGCAGTGAAACTGTTCCAGCTGCCATCCAGCGAGGTGATGCTTCTCCTTACATGTGGTTGTAGCGTGGGGCTTAAAACGCGTTTGCAGAAACCTCAGGAAGCAGGCTTCGTGAGACTACGCCGACAGATTGTCGATCGATCGATGATTGCGGATTGCTCCGAAGTTGGCGGTGAGTGGTTGGTGTTGCCCGTCTGGCGCCAGAAAGCCAGTGGCGCGTCTAAGCAACAGCTGCAACCCAAAGCCACGAGGGTGGAAACTCTGAGGGAAAGTCAAAGTCGTAGTAGTATTTTATATAAATTGAACTCCCACTCACTCGTCACTCACTCGCTCGCTCACTCACAATAAACCTGCTTTTCATGACGAATCTTCGCCTTCTAACCTCCTAATCACTCTCGTGTGCCGTTTGACTGAAATTGTGCTATATATAATCAATCGATGACGGCCTGCCACGAGTAACTAAGCCAGCTGCCATCCCTGATCCCATTTGCAAACCTTTCAACACCATATCCCTTGAGAATCAACTACCCATAACAACATATTTAATAGGTAAATTGCTGGCCATATACCTAGATATAAAGGGCGATTTGGATTGAGTGTTACTGAACTCCAATTCCAAACGACTCCCGCCTTGGATTACGCAGCACAAAAAGTGGATCGTTTGGCGAACGAGATCACTGATTGACGAACACTGACGTAAGAGCATGTTTAAATGCTATCTAACTAGCTAATGTGCGTTCCTATTGCCATTCATTTTGCCTCTTGTTTGTGACTTCGGTGTTTTCATTTCACCATCGCCATTCGAAGGCAACCATCAATACTGTCGCCGGCCTGGACTCGCTTGGGCGAGTGGACAACGATCCTGGCACCACAAGCCGCAGTGAACAGCTCTGATAGCTGTCCTAGCCCCGGGGCGTTGGATGCCGCATTTCCAACTTCAACAGCGGGCTCTGGTGCTTCTCCGAAAACTGCCAACAATTCCTCCACCTCCCTCCCATACCACCAAGGTAGTTGTTCGCGCAGCAACTCTAGACACCGCACGCCCAAGAAGGTACGAGATCTCCTCGGGCAAGCCAAATCACTTCGACGTAAAGCGGCTGCGAAGATGTCAGAGGCTCATTTCCAACCATCATTGATGAAGCGTTCACGCTCGGTGGGTAGTGGGGCTTCGGGACAGCGGGCGTCGATGTCAGAGGAAGAAGACGATGATAAAGAGGAGGATGGTAGCATGTCGACTGAGGATAGCACGGATAAACAGGATATTCCACCTTTTTTAAATTCCTCACCTGCAGGTTAGTTATAGAAACATTGGAATTGTATATCAACGGACTAATATTTATTTTTGCTGCTCGGATAGAAATACACCAGAAATTCAACGAAATTGACATTCTCCAGGCTGCTCGTTTGTCCGGAGCCCGGGAATCAGCTGCGGGGAATGAATCGCAGAAATGGGTGTTGGAAAATCGCCCGGAAATTCTACCAAGGAATCGGTACATCAACATACAAGTGTGGTCACATTCTCGGATCCATCTTAAAGTACCAGATGGGGAGTGCGACTTTATCAACGCATCGCCGATTTCTTTGAGCCACTCTAAAACCGGAAGTCCTGCTCGCTATATTGCTGCACAGGTAAATATTGATACCCATGCCGTTTTCTAATTATTATTCGGTGAAAAGTGCAAGAGGGCGCTAATGCTTTCCACCAGGGTCCAAAGACTGACTACATAGAACACTTTTGGAATATGGTGTTTCATGAAAGCGGGGACTTTGCAGTTGTCATTATGCTTACTCAAAGCTACGAACAAGGCAAAGAGAAATGTGCGCCATATTTCCCATTGAGCATGGAAAACCCCATTTTTCACTTTCACCATGCCCTATCAGATCCATTTATAGATCGTAAGGGTAAAGACCAGGCGGATAAATCCGTTGCTGGAAAGGTGACCCTCCTGGAATATACCTACGACCAGAAATGTCGCTCTGAGATTCGCAAACTCGAACTTAACCTTGGATCTCAAACCAAGGTTGTCTGGCATTATCTATTTGCTGGGTGGTCTGATTATATGAAACCAGAGGGGAAAGACCGTGATGCTCTCATCGAGCTAGCCAAAGTTTCGGCGGAAAGGGCGGGCTCGCTGGAAAATCCTCGCATTGTACACTGTAGTGCCGGTGTAGGCCGCACAGGCACGTTCATAACCATCGATCACCTGTTAAGGGAGATGCAGACAGGAAACCTATTGGAGATAACCAGCGGCGCAGATCCGATTTTCGATACGGTGAATCTCCTCCGCGAACAGCGGATGTCCATGGTCTATACTGAAATGCAATACCAGTTTCTTTACGATATTCTCAAAGAACAAGCTCTCAATTTCCCTGGCCAGGATAATATACCTGGCAAGAAAGCGAAGTCCTCCGGATCACGCTCGCAGAAGATGGCAAAGTATTCTGACGATAGCGCGTTTGAACCTACACAAAAGGAAGAGCTTATTCCAATTATTGATTTTATCCCTACCCCAGGCGCAAGTTAGAGGTCTGGAGGCTCGCTGCCATATTTATTTGGATACGAAAAATTATGCGCCCATGTTTCTTAAATGATTCTGCTTTATCTATATATTTGCCGTTTAAATACACTTTCCACTTACATTGTCCATTCCCTTTCTCTCCGGCCCTTCTATTATCGATATCTTGCTTTTCTTTTAATCGATGGTGTGGATTACCAAGTTATCAATGATTTAATTATGATATTGCATGTTTTCCATCTTGCATCCACCTCATTCTCCCCCTCTTTTTTCTTGGGAAACCTCCCTGCCTTTTATCATCATGAGGCTCTCCCTTTTTTCTTGGACGTATTTAAAGCTTTGTGTATGACCTGCATGCATTTGGGATTTTGATAGAGGACTAGTGACTCTGACGAATTTCATGGGAAGAATGGTTTCCCTCTCCTGTGCTGTGGTTTTGCTTCTTGCTTTCTGATTAAACTTACATTTCCTACATAATTCATAATTCATCTTTTGTGCGCGTCTAACATCAAATACAGACATTGACTGGCTGGACCTCGTTCCTTGTGTTTGATCTTCCGCTGTGCTTGACGCCCAATTACCTGTTTATTTGTTGAGTTGTATAGTAACTTTCTTCAACGTTGAGAAAGCCAAAAGAGCGAACTTAATATATTTAAAAACAGTCTTGAAGATCTATTCAATATTAATTTCATGATGTAAATTATTCTTAGGCGTAAATTATATCCCCACAGGCTCCATCTTATCCCACATGTTTAACATTTTGTTCGCAATATGCATTGATGCACACGCGAGGGCATCAGTTGGGAGGAAAATAAAAACAACCCGTAATTACCTACCGTTATCCGATATATATGGATATATATACATTTTCATAAATTGCAATTCGTAAAGTCCAATCAACATAGAAGAATGAATAAAACCAAAAGTACAATAACAGGACTGGGACAGGGGGAAGTGTGGGAACGATAAGAATAATACAATCATTGGTCATAAGCGTAATATCACCAATTATACAAACCGGATGCTAAAGTAAGTGTTCCGAGTGAAGGGCTAGATGGGCAGAAATAGTAAAGTGATCGTAAGCGTGGGAAAAAAGCATAGATAAAACAGAAATAAACAAACGAAAAAAGGCCACGATATGTAACTCCCTTCCCGTCGCAGGATATTGTCAGACTTTCCGTCCGTCGATTTTCGCTTTCCTTCTTTGTTGTGTATGAAAGATAAAAAAAAAAAAAAAGTTCTCATCCAGTCAAATCAAATCTATCCGCCAACCGAATAAATCACGAAATCGGAATTGAAACAATCAACCGATCAAGCAGGCAGTATCTTCCGCGCATCCTCAACACCGTCATTTCCCGAACTATTCGGGGGAGTTCGTTGTCCATCATCTTCCGCACCTGTTTTCGTCGTCTGCATGTCGTCAGCCCCTTCCTCCCAATTATCCACCGCATTCTCATCCCAATTGTCCACCTCTTGCTCCAGTGACAGTGGTCCCATCGTGACACCCGTTTCTTGCGGACCAAGCCCTCCATGATCCCCGTTCTCCGAATGAACGCCTCCCAGCTCAACATCTTCGCCTGCCCCGTTCAACACATTGCCAAATCGAGCCTTGCGCCGCCGTTCCAACATCCGTTTGTGATACCATGTACATAGGCTGACAGCACATAAGCTGCCGACGATATTTGAGAGGACATCGAAGGGGTCGAAGGAACGGCCGTTGGGGAGGAGTGCTTGAACGAGCTCCGAGCCGATTCCAAGACACATTGTACAGACGATGATGGTTAGGTGGAGGGTGCGTCTGCGCGTGGTGTCTAGGACCCAGTAAAAGGTGAGGGAGAGCAAGAAGAAGGTCACTAGGTGGAGGACTTTGTCGTTGGGTTGGAGAGAAGGTATGGTGGAGACAGGTAATTTATTCTTGCCATTTCCGCCTGGAGATGCATTGTTGCTGCGTGGAAGGAGGCCGATGTAAGCGGATAGGAGACAGAGGAGAGCAAATGAGGCTGGATTCCATTGAGGTTTGTTAGAAATGAGCAGAGTAAGAAAAAGCTTTGGGGTATATAAGATGCGCGCGTAGCCTAGCCGGATCTCCATATTGAATACGTACCAGCAAATGGGTAACGTATCCGCAGCATGGCGGCTGTTTAATGATATGGAATTGATTTGAAGAATAACAAAATTCTCGTGGATGTACGTTTCCCACTCTATGGTAGAGTGGCTTCGGGGAGAGCTTCTAGTCTGGGGAAATTGCAGGTGAAATGGGGCGTGACGTTTTTAGTGACCAGATGATAGCTTGTTAGAAACCTGGGCGGCCATATCTTTCTGATGAAAATTGGGATGAGATGAACAGAAAGAAGCTCCGTCTCTACCGTAGTAGAGATGCGATAATATAGCTAAGTCTATAAAATAGTGATATTTTCTTGTCTGCGGTGCCTTGTTTGGTGTCGTTTTTGGGGTCCTTGGAAGCTTTCTAGGGTGGTCTCCAGGTCCCGTGACCCGCGCCGATGCTGATATTAGCTGAGCAACTTCACGTCTTGTTACCTCCGCAAGAATCTCCACCAAAGAAGCCGGGTCGTCTGCCATCGATAACGCGACACAGCCATCATTTCCGGCTCCAGACGCATCGCCGGGCAGGTCACGTTGATCCTGGATTTCATTTGATACCACTTTTGTCCCTCCTACGTCCTGTTGCTGCCGCTCGGTGACCCGGCCAAAAGCGTGGAGGGACGAGCCCCCTCGCCCGCCCCAGTGCTGGGGGTTTGGAGCGGTAATGTCTATCGGTCAACACCACAACTGGCTCCTACCAGGTCATCTCCGACCGCCTGATGACCACCACGATCCCCACCCTTCCATCAATGGCCTCTCAAAAGTTCCATCACGACCCCGTACTCCTCAGTTGCGATTCCGCGGTATCGCAGACGGGTCGCAATCTGGAAATATGATATCTGATTCGGACACCATCCCGGAAGAAGACCCGCGCATTGCGTCCTTTCGAGACTGCTATCAGAAAGGCGAAGCGAAAATTAGCGCATTATTTAATTTTGGAAAAGCTTCTGATCCCGGGAACAATGAACCTGGAGCTATTCAGGGTGCCGAGGAAACTGGTATCGCAGCCGACGGTCAGGTGCAATCTTCAGCTCCAGCTCGAAAGGCAGCTCGGAAACTAGACGAAGATGATTATGACGACTACGACGACGATGATGAAAGCGAAAGCGCTCCTCCGGCTCCCTCCCCCCTTATCATATCGAAGCCCGCCCCTGCTCGATCAGAACCTAACACCCTTCCTTCACCGCCTCAAAAACCGTCGATCGCCCTTAAGACCTCAGAAACTCAGAAAGACTCAAAGAAACAGTCATTAGAAGATATCCGCAAAAAATTAGAGGAGGATAAAAAGGCAACCGAGGAGGCTGCAAGACGAAACTTCCATACCGTGTTTTATACCCTAGAGAATGACCGGGATGCTATGCTGGACCAGCAAAGGCTAGAGGAATCTGAGAGACAAGTCGAGGCGGAAATGTCCGGGCAAGGGGCCAACAGTGCAAATTCCGCTAATGCTACAACCTCTGGCCACGGAACCTTGAGCAGCGCGAACCTTGGCGCCTCAAGCCTGACACTAAAGAACCTAATTGCGCGAATTGATATGAAACGCAGTGAAGTCCAAGCTTCGGATGCTGAGCTTCGAAGTCTGATGAGCGAAGTAAGGAAAAACCGGAGTAAATGGGCGAGCGAGGAGAAGGTAGGTCAGGAGGAGCTTTATGAAGCTGCGGAAAAGGTCCTTAGCGAGTTGAAAGCTATGACAGAGCATTCTAGCGCTTTCTTGACAAGAGTGAATAAACGGGAAGCACCTGACTACTATAATAGTGAGTCAATTTTTTGTAAATTTCGGTTCTTGGATAATTTTGAGCTCCAATTCTTACTCACTATCCCAGTTATCAAACGACCAATGGACCTAGGGACAATGACTAAAAAACTCAAGGCGGTCCAATACAAGTCGAAACAGGAGTTCGTCGAGGATCTCAATCTCATATGGACTAACTGTCTAAAGTACAACGCCAACCCGGAACATTTCCTCCGAAAACATGCCCTTTATATGAGAAAGGAAACCGAGAAGCTTGTCCCTTTAATACCAGATATCGTTATTCGCGATCGTGCTGAGGTTGAAGCTGAGGAACGAAGACTTCAATTGGCCGAGCTCGATGGCGCCGAAGAGAGCGACGATGAGCCGATTATGTCATCTAGAGGTCGCAAAGCTCCTGGAATGAAATCCAAAAAGGGCATAGGAACTGGTAGAACAGCTCCCGGAAGCCGACCTGAAGCTACACCGGGGGCGGAGAATAAAACCCAAGGAGGGACCGCAGTGGGTGCTGAATCTGATACAGCTCTGGAGGGAAGTCAGAATGGATTCTCGACCCCCCCTCCTGGCACATTGACTCCTCTTGGTTCAAATGGTCTTGGTCCTGGTGCAGCTGGAAGCCAAGGTGATGCTATGGACATCGATGCATTTGGTGTCCCTGTCAACTCAAGCGCGTTGTCGCGTCCAATGATCGAATTTGAAGACCCTGAATATAAAATATGGAAACAAGTTACTAAAAAAGACAGGGCCCTTCTCGCCGCCGAAAGACATCGACTTTTCAAAGGGGACAAGCTGAATGCCGATGAGCCAGCTTTGCTGAGATCTAAGGCTGGGATGAGGCGATGGCTCCGAAACCAAAGACCAGCCACAGAGGAAGGCGACAGGCTTGATATTGCTGGCCCACAGTCTAAAGAGGTGGAGACTACTGGGGAGACGTTGGCAGAAGGGATTGAGGTGGAGGAAGATAAAATGCTGCCTGACTACTACGATACGATGTCGGGAATTCCGGACCTCCCTGAACAATTACGTTGGATTGAAGACTCTGAAGGTAATGTTGTAGATCCTTCGGAAGAGTTTCTTAGAATTCTCCCCAAAGGCTATTTCACGTCGCCCAAGAGCAAATTCTCCAAAAAAATGGACGCGAACATGCGTCAAATGCAGGAGACAAGGAAAGTCTGCTCGAAAATAGGAATCGTTAAGCAGATGCAGCTCCAATCGCAGGTACGTGTTCCTTCTCGCGTCTACTTTTTTGTTAAGTCAAGAATGGTTCACCTAATATATTACAAAGATGTATCAAAACCAATTCCAGAAATACAACCCAGAGCCCTTTGTGGAGCAGGATGTTCCAACTCATGTGATGAATGACGATGGACCCGTCATAAGTCCATGGGTCTGTAGAGCAGCTCTTCAGCGCTCTGTTGGAAAGATCTTCTATAATGCTGGGTTCGAGGAATATCAGCCATCTGCACTTGATGCTGTCACGGATGTCGCAGCTGATTTCTTCTATAAAATTGGGTCCACTCTTAAGACATACATGGAATCCCCCAAAATCCCACGAACCGAGCAATCCACGGTGTCCTCTGAATGGAAATCACCTTATATGGCAGAAGAGATGATCCTACATACGCTTCAATCTGTTGGGACAGATGTAGAATCGCTCGAAAGCTACGTCAAGGAGGATGTAGACCGACTTGGTCAGAAACTCAGCATTATACATGAACGAATGAAGAGTCATCTTACGGAGCTGCTTCGGCCGGCTTTTAGCGATACGACTGGCGATGGATCCAGCGCTTTCAATGATGGGAGCGAGCAATTCGTTGGCGGTGATTTCGCAGAGGACATAGATGAGGATTTCTTTGGATTTAAAGAGCTGGGCCTTGATAAAGAGTTTGGACTTGCCAGTTTGAGTGTACCACTCCACCTGCTCCAGAACCGGATGTATAGTGCTCACCAAGCACAGAATACTAGGTATGATTCATCAATTCTATTTCATATTTGCAGTAATACGTGTATAACTGACTATTCGTTGTGTTTACAGCTCGTCACAAGCGTCTGCTGCATTGTTTCCGCCGCCGCCTCCTTACCCACGCATATCCCTACAAACACTCCCTTCGCAAATCGGACTGGTACAGAACTTCTTTCTTGCTAAGCTTCACGCCAACAACGATGAGCCTTTGGTTGAGGATCTCGAACTGCCTCCTAAACAGAGACCAACAGCTGCAAGACCGCGAGTACCCGCATCCGGTAAAATTCCCCATGCTCCTTTGGGAACTGGGTTAAATTCTAGTCCTCAAAAACGGCCCGCTCCACCTGCGGGAACAGGTGGTTCGAAGCCAGGGGCCCCAGAACCAAGCAAGAAAAAATCCAAGAAAAACAATGGGACCGCAGGGCCTTCAAATGCAGAACTAGGAAATGATGAGTCTTCAAACCAGACCAAGAGCTCTACAAGCGCCAAAACCCTCGGGAAGCAGAAGGTTAGCTCTACAGTTGCCGACGATAAAGCCGCGGTAATTTCGCCGAAGAAAAGCAGGCACGAATTATCTGCAGATGGCGTGGTTGCTGAAAGTGATTCCGAGATAATCCTTTCCGCCAACAACGGCAACAACGATATCAAAATGAACGGTTCAACAAGTGCAACAGTAAATGGAGCAGATCCTCCAGACCTTGCGGTTGGAGGTAGCTCTGCTATTAGTGGTGGTGGCATACTTAGTCCAGAGAGTATGAGCACACGATGATTTTTCTGTGTGATTTTTTGTGGCACAATCAGCAAGCATTGTGAGCAATGACAAGATAAAAGCATCGTACGATCGAATTCCTTAGGGCGATGTGCTATGTTACAACACCGCCTCTTCCTAAGTGATGACCTTGATCCATCTGCGTCCCTGCCTTGTCTCCGTTTCTCCCGATGAGCGATGTGGATATCCTGTTCCGTATACTCTCGATATTCGACATTAAGACAATGACGGCGAATTGCAAAGGGGTTCCCATGTCCTTTTTTTTTATCTCTTTTCCGCTTTTATTCCGTCCTAACACAAGCTCTTTCTTCCCATTTACTTTTGTCTCTTTTCTTTTTTTATGGCATATTTATGGGGGCGGCGCATCATAATATATCATCATCGTCATCGTCATCATCATGATTTCTCTTTGACAGGATTGATTCCATAATCTCCCGCTCACTGGAATGAGTCTGTCTGATTTTGGGAGGTGAGCAAAGGGCGAACCCCTTCCTTTTCGTTTGCTTCTTCTCCCTTCATGATTACCTATCCTTACTTGTTTTTCTTGGGTGGCACTCCTTAATAGACGACTTTTTTTTGCGATTTTGACCCATGCTTCTTTCTTGTCTATTATTCTTGGATCATGGTATTATTATTCACTCTGAGCCATAGTTACATCCCGCTACTATTCTTGTTCCAACAACTGCTGTTTCTCATGATGTTTTTCTTTTTTCTTTTTTCTTTTTCTTTTTCTTTTTTTTTTTTTTTGTTTTTGGGTTCCACCTCTCGCTCTCGTTACCGGTCGACGAAGGAGCACCCAGTGGCTTCCAAGATTACCCGCCTCATTTTCACCCTTCACGCTTCGCATCCCTTCATTTGTGTTGCACCCGAGGTGGTTGTTTGACCTTGCGGGGAGGGACAATTTTCCCCGAAAATATGGTTTCGCTTTCCATCTCTTTGTTTCCTCGGCTCTGGAATACCATCGGGTCAACTCCGAGATATTGTGTGAAATAAAAATTATTGTAAATAAATGGAGAAAAATACCAATTTTTATATAGAAACCTGCTCGGTCTGCTGGTCTTCGGTTTCTTAGAGTTAGCTTCTTTGTGCTGAGGTCCTTGGCCCTCTCCACATATTGCTTCCGCTTCCCGCTCTTGTTCCCGGAAGCCACAAACAACCTTTCGAAGGAAAAGCAGGCCAGAACCAGAGGCGCAGCCACTCGTGCTTAGGTTTTAGCCGAAGCAAGGAAGTAGTAATTCTAAGTTGTCCAACAGCAAATGGAGAGAGAAAAGATCCTTGAGTCTTGACCCTTGGACGGCTGGGTTTAAACTGAACGTGCACAGAGGGCGGGGATGTGTTCATCCCTTCTGACGTTGATGAAAAGGATATTTCGCCATCCTGGCTTCCTGTAGGGTTGAAGGGTAACTAACACTAGTAATTTCAATTATTGAATTGGAGTTCTATTACGAATCCCTAGCTCCAAGATATCGCAAAACAGACAAGATCTCTTTTTTGGATCAACCGATCTTCCATCATGCATTCCTCTTGTGGCATTTTCTCGTTTTCCAGGTTGATGTGCCGTTGCCATCAGACTATCTCAACCTGTTCGGTCTTCCAAATCTGCGTTCCGTAGAGTTTCAACCAGCCCAGGCTTAGCGGCACCTCGCCAAAGGGCGGCCGTGATTGGGCAGCGCGATGTTCCCTCCGACCAGTGTCGAAGCTGCCAACCGCCGTTTCAGATCTGCAACCAGTTGACGCTGGGACCAGACCCGGAGTTTTTCCTCAACTCAGCAAATTCTGGCGAGTTTTCGGGCAGACTACGGCTGCATGGAGCTGACCTTCACGAATCACCAACGCGCTGTCGACCCAAGGGCTCGAAGGCAGACCCTGCTCCCATGTGTCGAGGGTCATGGCATGGCTGTGGCGGTCAGCCAGGACAGCATGCCCCATTTGTCCGTTTGCTTTTTTTTCCCTTGACCCTGAGGATGCAACGTCCGCGCTCTAGCTCCTTCCACTGGCGAGAATGAGGAACTTTTTCTGGACGCTTTTCCTAGTTCCTGGCCGTTGCCTCCTACCCACCATGGTCATCATATGGAGCAACTCTTTGTTCTCGCTTGTCTGCTCGGTTGGCAACACAAATGATAGGCTTCCGTTTCGGGGTGCATGGACGCCTGTCCAGGGCCCTTGGAGACGCCTCGTTGCTCTTGAGGATGAGTAGCCCGACTGCCGTGCAATTTCATGGATCCTGGATCCGAGATTCGTCAACCATGTCAAATTTGCTCACGGTTGGTTCGTCTGTCAATCACATATATGGAACTTGAGCTGCCATACTTCGAAGCCAATTCCATATTTAACACCATCTGAATTGTTCGATACATATATCACGGTATTATGATGATAGATTGTCTAAATATCCTAAAAGCATTCGAGCGTTTAAGATTATAACTATATACTTTTTGTTACATCATTTCCTTCAAGAGGAAATGCCCCTCTATCTCCCAGAATCTGAGACTAAATCCCGTCCCGATCTTGCTATGTTCCAAACTCTTATCCAGCCTATATTTCCTTCTGCTCGAGTCCTAGATTATAAGCCACTCCGCGATAACGTCTATCCGCGTTACCTTCTCAAACTCTCTAATGGACTCGATCTCACCGTGAAGGCCAGCCCTAGGCAACCCACCACACTGCTACGTCAAGAAAAACACTCCCTGAGGACGGAAGCCGCGGTCCTTTCGTTGTTGGCTTCACGAAACAGCCCATATATCCCACGTCTCTTCGGCTTCGATGTCCTAAAGTTTGATCCTAGAACTCATTTTCTCCTAAAGCAATCACTCAGCGGGGTGCCACTTAGTGAGATTGATCCGTCGTCTCTCACTTTTGCAGATCGGAATCGTGTAGATGAGCAACTGGGACGGACGGTAAAATTCCTCGGCCAGTTCACATCCACCCAATTCGGCAATTTTCATTCCGTTTCCCAGGGTAGGGGAAGACAGAGTTGGAAACACGCATTCCTAATATTCGCTGAATCAATCCTCTATGATGCTGAAGATATGTTCATTTCACTGCCATACGCTGAGATCCGTCACCACATCATGCGGCTCAGCCCAGCGCTTGGTGTTGTTACGGAACCCCGTCTTGTTGTCGTGAATATTGGAGACGAATCGAATGTCCTTGTTGACCCGGACACCAAAGACGTGACGGGATTTGTTGATTTCAGTGATGCCGTGTGGGGTGATGTTATGATGGCGAAGGTCTTCGAGAATCCATCGGCAGCTCTATTAAATGGATATGGATCTAGCAAGATGCAGATGCAGATGGACGATGAATTACTACGTATCCGCTTACTCCTGTTCGTTTTCCCTTTCCTCGTATGTTCCATTTATACTCCAATATTGGTCGGTTACTGATTCGTGGACGCTGCATTAGGTATTCCTGCTATCGCCAAATATGTGAAATTGTGAAGCAATACTACCGCAACTGGCAAGACGACGAGGAAATGAGTGCTCGAAGAAGGCTAACGACGATCCTCGCAGAAATGTCTGCGCTGAGCTGTTAACTATAATGATTTGCTGTTTGAAGCTGCTATGCTTACCTTTTGTAAGACGAGATTGGTCTCGTCTACGGGAGGATTCTTTGTTCGATCTATCTGTCCTGCTTTTTTAGCCCTCTGTTGCATTTTCTGGAGTTTTCAGGTTGTTGGTAGAAACCAATATGGCACGTTCCTGAATGTGCGGCCCTTATATATACCTAGGCATTTTAATCCAAATAGATGATTTACCTTCTGCATTTCTTCAAGAAAGGTCCCTTCACCTAAAGCCATAGTTATTTTTACTATCGTCTTTGCTGTCGTTGGTGCACTTGGGAAACGGCCCCACAGCTGCGGTTCTTATCGTCACGTGGCCCTCAGATAAGCTGACCAACAAAAGCCGGTTTCGCGGTTTCCATCACCAACTGAGCTCGGCTTATTACCAAACATCATTGATGAGTGTGTTGGCAGTATGATGCTATCTGCCATATACAGCTGCTAGCTACAGTAGCTGTCGTCAACCTGTTTTAGGAAGCCTTATAACGAACACAATATGGCGCATTTTCTACGAGGCAAACAGTCTGGCATCCATGGCGATTTAAGCGCAGGCCTGGCTCCAGAGCATTTTGTGTTGGATGATGTCCGTTAATAACCCAGATTGGATATATATAAGATGAAGTCTAACAATTCTATTACTTTAGGTCGCCAGGTACGGCATAAACTCTCGGATTAGCACCCTTGCTTATGATCCTGTTCAGTCGCTCCTTGCTGTCGGTACCAGCGAAACGCAATACGGGAGCGGACAAATCTATATATTTGGACAGGAGAGGGTGTCTGCCGTATTCACACTCCCGCGCAAGGCTTCTGTTAATATACTTCAATTTTGCACGGATAAAATTGTCTCTGTGGACTCGAAGCATGAGCTTTGCGTATTTTCTCTTGAGAAACGGACGAAGCTCGCCGCTTATACCCCGCCAGGCCATGTTACCGCTCTATTGACGGACCCGAGTTTGGAGTATGCATTCATAGGGCTACAAAGCGGTAGGTGATACGGTTAGGCTATCTTCCAAACGTATTTCTCTTCAAACAAATGGAGTCTTCTAACGCGCAGCACGCAGGCGAACTCGTTACATACGACCTCGACCGCCTCATGATTGCTCCGTTCAAGCTCCCTAATCTGTGGAAAGAGCGGAGTCCTCGGTCCAGGCTTTTGCCGATCGTTTCGCTGGCTTTCCATCCGCGGGACATCGGAAAGCTTCTAATTGGATATTTAGAGGGTGCTGTGACGTTCTCTATTAAAATGAATGTTCCTCTCAAATATTTCCAATACGAGGTTCCACCGGGTGCTCCTGGTGGAGACTCAGATCCGTCATCATCTCGAGAGGTACGAAGACCTAGACTTACAAAGGCTGTTTGGCATCCTACCGGAACCTTCATTCTAACAGCTCATGATGACTCGAGTCTTGTGTTTTGGGATCCCAAAGATGGAAGAATTGTGATGGCTAGAACATTAGTAGATACCGATGTTAACAAAGCCGGGGCAGTAGTATCACCAAGTTCACCAGCAGGAACCTATTCCCTAAAGGAGCCGATATTCCAAGTGGCATGGTGTTGCAAGGAAAATCCCGACGATACTGGCTTGTTAATTGCTGGCGGTGGGCCAACAACAGAAGTGAACAAACACTTAACATTTTTCGATCTCGGACCAACACCAAACTACCAGACCTCCTCATGGCAAATCCTCTCCAACCATCTTGCGAAACCCAGACGCGAGACCAAATTACCAACACCTCCAGCTGCCGAGGTTGTAGATTTTGTCCTCATTCCGCGCTCAACCCCTTTTTTCGCGAATGCACAAGATCCCATCGCTGTGATCACACTGCTCTCCTCTGGGGAATTGGTCACTCTTAGTTTCCCCAGTGGCCATCCAATTTCTCCCACAAATATGCTCCATTTGTCACTATCCTTTGTTCACCCATTTGTCAACAAAATCGCTTTATCATATGTTGACCGCACGAGATGGTTAGGCTGGAGAGAGAAACGGACCCATGGACCAAACATTGTGATTGGAGGCGCAGCCGCCAAAAAGCCGATGAAACGGTATGAAAATCGGGATATTGTCCAGACAGCTCACGCTGATGGCATTATTCGCATGTGGGACTCTGGTCATGATGACCATGTTGAAAATCCCGCTACAATCCAAGTCGATCTCGCCCGTGCTGTTGGTCGTTTCCATGACATAGAGGTATCCGCGATGTCATTGGCAGGAGCTGCAGGTGAATTCTCAGCCGGTCTAAGGAGCGGCGAAGTGGCTATTTTCAAATGGGGTCGTAATCCAAACGAGGGTCGGGATTTACCCTTGGAAGGAAATGACGGCCCCGGACGACTGACTGATATCTCCCGCAGAGCTGATCCTGGACTCAAAGAAGGATTTCTTCCGGTGGCCTTGTTGAACCAAGGCCAAGGGTCGGTCACTGCGCTTGAACATAGCGATGTTGGCTTCATTTGCGTTGGGTTCCAGTCGGGCAATCTTGCGATCGTCGACCTAAGAGGCCCGTCAGTAATATTTACAGCAAACTCCTCGGAATTGACTAAACCACAAAAGCGATTGAGTCTTAGGAAAAGCCACCACTCCGCATCTGAGGCATCCGCCGAATGGCCTACGTCCATCAAGTTTGCAGTTATGACTTTAGATGGAGACGGTAAGTTTTTTGCTGATCTCATAGTAGACTTTCACCTACTTGTCTGTAATCTATTATATCTTGCTTTAGTGTTTGCTGATGAAGCGCGCAGATTATTCCAGTATTGTCTGTCTCGTTGGAACTAGCAAAGGAAGCTTGGCTACATTCAAAATCTTACCATCAGGAGGAACATACACTGTCTCTTTTGTTGGCTCTCGCAATGTGGATGATAGGGTATTGTCTATCTGCCCTATCAATGCCGAAAACGGTGTTCCCGCTTTAGCCAGCCAGGATGTTGTTGCCAAATTAAGAAATGGGTATCAGGTGAACGGAGTTGTAATTGCTGTGACTCCATCTGGCTGTCGAATGTTCAAACCTGCTAGCGCGAAGGGTGCTGAGAAGGATTGGGATGACTTCTTGTGTGATTCCGCAACAGTTGTTAGAACTGAAGAGAGATCCTCGCTTGTTGGTGTATTTGGTGATGGCAAGGCGAGGGCATATTCAATCCCAGCCTTGAAAGAAATTTCATCTTCCCCAATTGACAATATTCTGGACATGAGAAGACTGGGCGAAGCAGTTATTTCACCTTCAGGAGACGTGATAGGCTGGACGGGCCCTTCAGAACTGGCTATGTTGAGCCTTTGGGGCGCTGGATTACCTCTGTAAGTTCCAACAGTTTTCAAACAAAAGAAGACAACAATGAGTATTAATTGCTAAACAACTTGCTTAGACGCCGGTGTGATGACGCGATATATAACCCGGGGCTTTCTGCGCCTTCTCGCCCGACGATTTCAAATATGCAATGGATATCAGGAACACAATACGTTACTCCATCTGACATGGATCTGTTAAGTAAGTTCACAGAAAAATACTACCTTTTTTCTACCTCTGCGTCCCTGTTGATACGTTTCTACGTAACTCACCTTGCACGCTTCCTTCATAGTCGGAGGGCCCGATCGACCCCCATCGAAGCATATGATCGAGCAGATGCGGCAAGAAGAGATATCCCGCCAAGCAGGGCAGCGCGGGCCGTCACAAGGCAACAGTACTGATGCCTCGCAGACACCAGGTGCTTCTAATGAGGGCTACTGGGCATATATGCAGAGGCAGGTACAACAGAGGACAGAGAATCTTAATATTATGGGCGATTCGATAAATCGGCTGGAAGAAACTAGTAGCGGGTGGGCAGAGGATGTGAATAAATACGTAAAAAATCAGAAGAAGAAAGCGGTACTAGGCGGTAAGGTTTTGTTCCCTTTTTTTTTTTTTTTTTTTTTTTTTGAAATTCCATCCCAAATTTTTATAGCCTAGGCTTTTTTGCCCTGCATCGCCGTTATTCAGACCTGCTAACATATGCCTATTTCTATAGTCATTGGCTCTAAATTCGGATTTTGAAAGATTGCTGATGTAGCAATGTGTGGATGTGCAGTTTCTTTACTATACACGTACTACACAGCTATCATTAAAGCAACAGTTGACCTGTTCTTTTGAGGGAGATTGATTGCTTCATTCCTGGAGCATCCTACGCGGCCCCTTGCAGTTTTCTAACACTAGCACGACTACAAGAGCAAATTTAATGGAGAGCAGTTTCCACGAACCCGAGGCTGGCTATCGGGAAATAAATATTACGGACGAACTCATCTAGTAATAGCAAATATATCTGCTTTCTGTGATGCTCTTTGCTAAGCTTCAGGCTTCAAAATTTAGAATCCGTAGTGGGAACACGTGGCAAGGAAAAAGGAAACCTTGGAAAGGAAATTGAAATCTAAATCATTGTTAAATTGTGCAGCCGCTTCACATAGATATATAAGTAAAAGTCGCGAGGATGGCATGAGTGAATTTTTTCCGTTTCTGTTCAATAATGTCATTTGGGGCAATAAACAAGAGAGATGTGCCGTAAAATAGTCTTTGCGTATTCATGAAGTCAGATGATAAAAAATTAAAAATGAGAAGGGAAGAAAATAGACATAAATGAGATAAGAGGGGTTGAGAGCACGGAGGAAAACTAGTCAGTATGCGTCCAATATCTGCGGCGTTGGGAGCGGTTATATGGCGAAAGAGATAGTAAACAGAGGAAATTTTCGTAAAGAGATAAATTGAACCACTCAATCAATCAATGAACCATCAACTCGGCCTGCTGCTGGTGATGCTGGTCCGTTGGTGGCTGGTTCACCTGATTATTGCTGTCCCCCTTTTGCTCCGTATCATCGCCCATCTCCACATCGTCGTCACCCTCGCCTTCGCCGCCCTCCTCATCGTCCTCCTCATCCTCACTTCCACTGCTTTCAGCTTCTAGATCTTCGCTTCCAGCATCTGAATCGTTATCGTTATCATCTCCATCGTCCTCTTTATTTGAGGCCCCTGGCTCGCCGGCGTCACCCATCTCGTGGTCCTCACCAGGGTCACGTGCTGTTTGAATTTTCTCAGCCTCTTGAAGCTCCTTTAGCAGAGCTTCTTCGAGCTCAGCTTCCTCGGCTCCGTACTCCTTTCCGTCATCGTCTAAGACATCTGCTTCTGGTTGGTCTGGTGGGTATTCCGCAGGGGCCGAATCTTCTGAGTCCCTATTATAAGATTAAAAAAAGTACGTATTAGCAGACATTTATTGCACTTGGTAAAGGGCAAGGAAAGCAAGGAGGTCAGGACAAACCATTTAATGGCAAACCGCGTAACTCTTGGTTTCTCAGCCAGGACATTCCGTCGAATTTTCTCAATAATGGGTTTGGCGGGTGGCTCAGCATTCAGCTCCTCGGAGTCATATTCATTGTTCACGTAGTATCCGACACGGACAAATTCCCGGCCGTCATAGCTGCAGGTAAGCAGTATCACCGTCACGCCCAATATTTCAGACGTAGGGATTCTCTTAAGGTCCGGTGGGTCTGCTTCGAAGATAAATTTATTGACGCCAACGGGTATTGGCCCGACTAGTAGGGAATCTAGTTCTTGGTCATGTTCAGATCTAACGGGACAATCAATTCAGTATTATGCGATTGTTGGTTCCGCTTCGAACTGCGTAATATATATATATATAGCTCAAGGTAGACTTACGAAGTTGCGGAGCCGACATAGGTAAGCTTCCATTCAAGATCTAGGGCGGGGCAATTCTGTCAGCAACAATTGTACATCTCTTATATTTTCTTCTTTGATTTAGCCCGCTCCTTCCTTGCGCATAAGTTAGAAGTAATTCAGGATGATTAATTACCTTTTTGCAGCTGTTCGAGGCATTCGAATGTAATTTCAAATTCATAAGGGGCGAGGAACGGTGCGGGGTTGTTGACAACCCGCACATCAAGGAGCGAAACTACGGACATTATGAAACACTCTCAAGACCGAAAAAAAGAAGATCGAGACCGAGTTTGTAGTTGTATGTTGTAGAGTGAAATGAGAAGCATAAAAGGCTGGGGCTCTGGGGGGGTTCTTATACGCGGGCAAGTCAGTCGGGATCGGTGGTGATAGATTGGCTTGCTGCTGACGCGCTGTGCCTGCTCGGTCGCGTTTGACGGCGTTTTAGCGTCATATATCACGTGGTATTCGGTTCCGTTTTGGGAAATTGGGCTCAAACCTTCACATCAGGATTGAAGGCAGCAAGGGCCTTTGGCATCCGACACAACCTCCAAAGCAACCCAACACAGACTTGTCAAACTCCTTTTCTCGACGTGGTTGTTTGCTACGTCTGTTGACGACTCCGTTCTATTGCTTTCTACTGGATACGAGCTGGGTCCTTGGATTTTGTGGTCCACGCGACCGTGCTCCGTGCTTTTTTGTAATTCCCGCTCGGCCCCTGCTGGTCCGTTCTTCGGTCCATCGTTTGATTCCCTTCTGGCCGCTGACGTTACTTTGGAGATTTAGGTTGACTACAAACCCGCTTTAACCTCCCGGTCCGAAGTTCGTTTCCTCAGTCATGGCAGAAGATGAAGCTGAAAACGCATTTTTCCAAGCACAGGCTTTGAATGCGGGTCCTATGGGTTATGAAGCAGCTACGGATCAGGATGGAGATAGTTCAGACTCAGACGATTATGATCCTACCAAAACAGTTCAAAATCATGAAGATCAGTATTCTGCGCAGTTAACAGATTCAAAACAGAGTGCTGTTTCAAATACTTCTTCAGCTTCCTCACAGCGGAGGTCTATGTCCCAAGATTTCTCTGAAGCCGTGCAAAATAGTCATACTTTTCCTCCTCAAATTCCTTCTGGAGCTCGCCCCGGAGCCCTTCCTCTCTTCCCCATTCCAACCCCTCCATTCCTGTACAAATGCCGTCTCAGGCCCTGGGCCCTTTTGCTGTTGTCGAGGAGGATAGTGACCAAGATAGAGGCGATGCTGAATATGAGCCTCCTGCAGCGTTAAGTCATGTCCACAGTGATGGAGATGGTGATGGCAGGGATGGGGATGGGGATGATGATAATATGGCTTCTTCTGGCAATCGCCAGCATTCCCTTTCTCAAAGTGCAAATGGAAATGTTTCTCAGTATCATGTATCACATCACATGCAGACTGTTCAAGACAAAAACTCTCCTCAAGATGTTCCTCCTCCTAATAGTTCATCTCTTACTCCTTCCTATGCTGGTATTTCGGCACCAAGTGATGGTGCCTCCAACTATTTGCAGGACGATTTAAAACCACCGACCATGACAGCTGGCGATGCTACCCCTCAATCTGCGAACAGGTCTACGTCCTCTACTCCTACGGCCGCTGCGTTGTCGCGAGGCCGCCTTCCGCATGATCGAGTGGGTATATTAGAGGATAGGATTCAGGCTGATCCACGGGGCGATACGGATGCCTGGTTGGAGTTGATCAACGAACACCGTTCTCGAAATAAGCTTGAGAGTGCACGAGAGGTCTACGACAGATTTTTCAAGGTTTTCCCGTCAGCTGTAAGTCGTCAGCTCCTACAAGGAAGAGAAACCTTAGCTTTTGAGGATAACTAACATTGTTGCCCAATAGGCTGAGCAATGGGTTGCATATGCGAACATGGAATCGGAAAATAACGAGCTCTATCGATTAGAGCAGATTTTTAATAGGAGTCTCTTGTCCATACCTAATGTCCAGTTATGGTCTGTATATCTCGATTATGTTCGTCGCCGTAATAATTTAACCACAGACACAACCGGTCAAGCTCGAGGTATCATTTCATCCGCCTACGATTTTGCTTTGCAGAATATTGGAGTGGATAAAGACTCTGCAAATATCTGGGTTGATTACATCCAGTTCATTCGCTCCGGACCTGGAAACATTGGTGGTTCTGGCTGGCAAGATCAACAGAAGATGGATCTTCTGCGAAAAGCGTACCAGAGAGCTATATGCGTCCCTACACAGGCTGTCAATTCCCTTTGGAAGGAGTACGATCAGTTCGAAATGGGCCTGAATAAGTTAACTGTACGGTCATATTAACCCTTCCTCATTTTCAATAAACTTTTCAATAAAGTGGCAAGGCTAATATTCATTTCTATCCGAATCAACTAGGGTCGGAAATTCCTCCAGGAAAGATCTCCAGCATATATGACAGCGCGGAGCTCCTTTACCGAGTTGCAGAACTTTACCAGAGACCTTGTTCGTGCCTCGTTACCTAGATTACCCCCCGCGCTTGGATGTGAGGGTGAAGAAATGTACAACAAGCAAGTGGAGATATGGAAACGCTGGATTAAGTGGGAAAAAGACGATCCTCTAGTACTGAAAGATGAGGATGCTGGTGCTGGCTACAAGGCCCGAGTGCTTTATGTTTACCGACAGTCCTTGATGGCCTTGAGGTTCTTGCCAGAGATATGGTTTGATGCTGCGGAGTTCTGTTTCCAAAATGGAATGGAGTCTGAAGGCAACGACTTCTTAAAGCAAGGAATAGATGCAAATCCCGAGAGCTGTTTGCTTGCATTTAAACTCGCTGATCGGCTTGAAGTTACCACAGAATCTGAGCAGGACTCTAAGAAGCGTGGCGCCAAAGTCAGGGAACCTTATGACAGACTGCTTGATGCTTTCTACGACTTAATTTCGAAAGCCAAGGCGCAGGAAATTAAAGATATAGATTTTGTCGAAAAAAGCTTTTCTTCTGACGCAGACAAGCCTCAGCGGCAAGTCATGGTCATAAACAATGATGATGACGATGAGGGAGATGATGTTGCAAAGGCAAGGGAAGCGGCGAAAAATCGTCAGATCGAGGCTTTGAAAAAGAGACATGCTGAAGAAATTGGCCAGCTGTCGAAGGTCATATCCTTTGCTTGGATTGCCCTCATGAGATCTATGCGCCGCATTCAGGGAAAAGGCAAACCAGGAGAAATGGCAGGGTCGAGGCAAATTTTTGCTGATGCGCGCAAACGCGGGCGCATAACTAGCGATGTCTACATCGCGAGTGCGTTACTGGAACATTATTGCTATAAAGACCCTGCCGCGACGAAGATATTCGAGCGCGGCGCAAAACTATTCCCCGAGGATGAAAACTTCACACTGGAATATCTTAAACATCTCATTGACATCAACGACATTACGAGTATGTAGCATTTTCTGTTTTTCTGTGTTTTTCATCTACTCAGTTGTGCTTTCATTTCCCCTTAACTTACATTTGGTAATTCCAGATGCGAGAGCCGTGTTCGAGACTTCAGTCAGGAGACTTGTAGCAAACCCAGCCAACACATCCAAAGCCAAACCCATTTTCTCCTTCATGCACGAGCATGAATCAAGATATGGAGATATGGTCCAGATTCTAAACCTCGAAGCTCGGATGCGAGAGTTATTCCCTGAAGACCCTGCCCTCAAACAATTCCCCCACCGCTTCTCTACGCCAACTTTCGACCCCACTGGCTTCCAACCAATTCTCTCCCCTTCCCAGACGAAACCAAAGCTATCCTCTATTACTCCCACGGAAGAAGAGATGCAATCACGCCAGGACTCCCCCTCCGCCCGCTACCTCGGAGCGCCGGGGGCAGCTGCAGGGCCGGGACCGCCATCAACAACAACCCACTCCCCCAAGCGCCCCTATGTGCTCGATGAATTGGACGAAGACTCCTCGAATCGTCCGCGTAAGTTCGTGCGAGCTGAGTCGCCACTGAAAGGCGCAGCAGGCCGGCGGCTGAATCAGCAGAAGCAACAGATTCAGCAACAGGTGGTGAATGGTAGCGGTGGAGGTGGGGGAGGCGGGATGGGTGGTGCGTATGGTGGTGGAGGTCAAGGGAACAAACCACCCATCCCAGTTCCGCTGCCGAGAGAAATCATGTTCCTGCTCAGCATTATTCCGGGCGCATCGACGTACGATGCTACGAGGTTTTCGCCGGAGAAGATGGTTATGCTATTGCGTCATTTGGAAGTTCCGTCGTCGGTGAGTCAGCTTAGACCGCCTGTTCCCCCGCTTGGGGTTGCTGGTGGTACTGGGGTGGTGGGGGGTTTGAATCGTGGGCAGTATATGGGTAAGTGCCTCTCGAAAAATATTCCCCGTCCCATCCCTTATTTCCGGCGTTTTTCCTTTCCACGCAGCGGACGGGAGGATATACTGATGATGTTTGTATATGAGATGTAGGTGGCTACCGCCCTGGTTCATAGACATAACCTGTCGAAAGACATTATTTTGATTTCGGGCTATTCGCCGGCTGTATTCGACGAGCGCGTCAGGTTGCTGCTGTTCTATAGTTTCCAATTTATGTCGGATGAAGGAAAAAGAAAAGCGGGAACTACTTCTCCTAATATTTATTTAAAAGGCTATTGAGTGCCTGGGGGTTTTTTTTCCTGCGGGATCTTTAAACTGGAGAGACGAAAGGACATGAGAAACTTACCTCCGATGACACACGGGCTGCAGTTCTGTTCTGTTAAATTGGGTGTTCGTTCTCTTTTTGTCTCCTATCTTTTTCATTTTCTTTTTTATTCTCCCTTTGCCGTTTTATTCCCCTTCTTTTCCTAGTTGGGCCTTTTTTTTTTTGGTCATTTTCATCATTGAAATCTGTATCATACATATCACATGAAAGGAAGAAAACAAGAGAGAGGGAAGGTAGCTTTGGGAAATCTTGTCATCCTTTCTGTAGTTTTTCCGTTGTCGGTTGACACCCTTTTTTGCGGGGAAGTTCAAACAAAAGGGCGTTCGCACCATTTATTTATTTATTCATGGCAATCAGAGTTGAGTTTTACTCATGAATACTACATCTTCCTGGTGCTATTAATCATCCTGGCAATAGGGGATGAGCTAGGTAACTAACATAACTATAAAATTTTCGAGCCCTCATGGTCCAAGCTTAGCTTCAGCGTCACATAAAACCTTATTTCCAAATCAAATCAATGGCCGCGACAGATAAGCAGAAACCCACTTCGACCATCTTGTCCATCAGGGATGGATATGCAGATAGATGCCTTCTCTTCCCAGCATTGGAGAGGAATGCAGTTGTGTGATGCTTTTTAACAGAATCGTCTCTGGCGCCCAGCGAGTCTGTTTGTGGCGCTTGATCCTGGTCCTTGTCGAATCAAGTTGCTGTAAAATAGAGCATTCCTGATTCAGATTCAGGGGGTTGTGATATATGCGAGGGATAAGCAGGACACTCCCCGTGAAATCGGTTTTCTGCCTTTTATTTTCTTTCTTTTCCTCTTTCTTTTGGCGGGAGAGCCATGCGTGCGCACACTGGTAGGAGGCGGACACATTTTCGACCTCCATGGAGCTGATCTGTGGAGATGCCCTGTCGACCATATAACTATGCCAGAGAAACGCCGGGAGAGAGACTTGGCCGCTGGGCGCTGTCGCGGGCTCTCCGATGGGATGGAGACGGGTGACGTAACGCCTTCTCAATGGGGGTGAGCTGTGTTGTGTTGTGTTGTGTTGTGTTGTGCCTGTCCAGCAGAGGGAGGACGTGTGTTGTGGTGTTGTTGCTTATTTCGATCTCTTGTTTGCCCGTCCGACTGCATCTTCATCACCACCACCATCGTCAGTCATCGTCAGTCATCATCATCATCATCTCCTTCTTCTTCTTCTTCTTCATTTTCATCTTCTTCTTCATCATCATCATCATCATCATCATCATCTTATTCTTCATCTCCTCCTCGTTCTCAACCTCCGCTAGCTGGTTTTCCCATCTTGACTGCTCCCAACTCACCATCTCACCCCGCTTCATCCTGCTGGCCTCATTCATCTCCTCCAACAGCCTCCCCTGGATACCCTCCAACTCTACTTCTCCTCAGTGGCCCCTTTTTCACTTCTAATCTCAATCCTTGCATGCCCGTTCTCGCTCTCCTCTCGCGATTTTGAGCTACCTGCATACCAAAGAAGGGTGGAAGGTGAGTTATGTATCTGTCTTATCTCCTATCTGAATCTTTCCTCTTATCACTGCTGGTACCCGTGCCTTGACCACAGCCTTCTCTCTCTCTCTCTCTCTCTCTCTCTCTCTCTCTCTCTCTCTCTCTCTCTCTCTCTTTTATCTTCCTCTCTATCCATTGTGATACCTCTCCTGTAGCCTTCTACTACTTCATTTCCTTCCCGCTTTCCTACGTTATACCTGTCATTCTGTCATCATATTTTCCAGAAGCTCTCAGTTGAGGTCTCATTCTCTTCTCACCATTTGCCTCACTTTGCTGCGGATCCTCCCTCCCGATAAACACAAAACAGACAGGATACAAAGCAGACGCATTCTGCAGCTCCTGCAGCCCGCATTGCCTGCCCAGCCTGCGCCTTCCTGGTGGTTGCTGCCAGCTGCCATTCCACCGTTTGAATTACTTTCAGTTGGTTGACTATCCGCCTCTTTCTTGGTTTGCTTGTTTTCCATTTTCTTTTCTTGGGGCTTGGGGCTTGTTGCCATTTCATTATTCTTCTCCTCGTCGTCGTCGTTCTTTTTCCTTTCTCCCTGCTTGCTCCCTGCTCCGCAACGCAACTTTCCAATCTCAATATATCTGCCATATTCCTTGTTGTTTGTCAGACTTCGAACCATACAGCGTTGTTCTCGGATAGCCAGTCTTCCGTGAGCGTACCCTGGTTTCTACTTTCCATGCATCGATATTTCTGGGAGGCCTTTCCCCGCTCCGATCCAACTCACGGCCATCACTAACTCCATATATTCAGTTGATAGACTAGAAAATCATGTCTGGTGCAGGCAAGCGTCGTCGCCGAGGCGGCGGCCGCACTCGTCCTAATAACGAAGGAAATGGGAACGAAAACCCTCAGAGTAATGCTCAATTCGATGGCACGTCTGGGCCAGGAGGTGCTGGTCAGCGCGCTGGCGTGAACTCTCCTCCAAGGTCGCCACGCGCTGGGTCACCGCCATCTCGTGGTAGGAGCCCAGCTCCAGCAACTCCAACTATTGGAAGTATCGGCCAGGTTATGCAGGGTTCGAATCTTCCTCTGCGAGACCCTGCTCGGGATCCAGAGAGGGCCTCGAGAATCACAGATATGTGTCGAAATATCGACCTGCCAGCGGATGCCTATCTGCTAAATCCAGAAGTAAGCATATTTCTCCGTCTTGTCACTGGGGTCACTTTACCTTGAAGCCCACAGTGTTTGCTTCTCATCAATGATTCGCCTGGTGTGGGATCTGTAACAATTTGTTTCCCCCTTTCATGCGCTCTGTCTATGGAGAAACGCCAAACATCCCCCCCAACATAGGCGTCGTCGTAGCCTATCTACTTTGTTACTTTTCCAGCACTCGCGAGGTGTGGAATAGTAGCCCATGGAGTATGCGCAGTGGGGTGGAGCTTCATAATGCAACTTTAGGTTTATGGGTTCGCGCATCCCATTCACAACCATGATCCCGAACCCTTTTCTTTCTCCAGCACCCGTCACAACGTCAGTTTCACCTAAGAAAAGTTTCTTTTAAGGATGAATTTCATTAAAGCTGTCCCCGATTTGAGCCGGCCATTACCATGTTTGTGGGAATTCACATGGTTCTGCTGAAGATAAAATGGCCTTCCTTTCCCCTTTAGATTGACTTCTTGTCTTCCTCTCCCTTTCCCATATATCCACATACCTTTTTTTCGTTTTTCTTTCTAATATTCTATTGTTACTCTGGATTATTTCTATTTTCATCGTCTTACATCCTAACCGCTTTCCACTCGTCGACTTCTCCACGATGAGCGGCTCTGGGGGATCCAAAGTGCCTACGCAAAAGACAGATGACACGACTCTATTTCGTCATATGCATGTTACTGACCAGTCTGCTGAGCAGTTTTTCGCGCGGAAGGACCTTGCTAAACGCCCCGGCTACAATGCCACTGGCAAGGAGATCACGGTCGCCGTTAACTCTTACCCTATCACTCAATTCCCGACAAAATCGGTATACCAATATGATGTAAGTTACTCTTACACCTAAGAGTCGATCTCATAACTCACCCCTACATAGGTACACATCGGCAATGGTGCAGAAAAGCGGGCCATAGTTCAAAAAGTGTGGAACTCACGAGCAAGAAAGGCCACAGTTGGAGCGAAATTCATTTTTGATGGGAATAAGCTGGCATGGTAAGCTAACTGTTCACGTACCAAAGGTTACCTGTAGTTTGGCTAACAGTGCCTCAGGTCTCTCGTTCGGCTGCCCAGCGACGTTAATGTAATGGTTGACCTAGACGCCGAGCAGGGCCGATCTGGGTCAAGAACTCCAAATATATTTCGCTTAGTGGTCCGTCCGACGAAGAAAGTTAACCTGGCTGTTATCGAGGAATACATTCGTGGGAATGGTAGTATGTCAAAGGAAGTGTTGGAAGGGCTGAGTGCGTAGTCTCCTTCTTTTTTCCTTTCCCTTCTCTTCCTTTTTGCCTTTCGTTTTAATTTCTTCTGATATTCAAATCTAACCTGCTTCGACCTTGGCTAAGGTTGTCTCGACCATATTTTGCGTGAAACCCCAAGCGGCAAATTCATTGCGATCAAACGCTCCTTCTTTAGCGAGCAAAACCCAAAGGCGTCCGTTGGAGGTGGGGTTTTTGCCTATAAAGGCATCTACCAGGCAATTCGTGTGGTCAACGTACGTTGTCCTCAAGCATATCCATTTGCATCTTGTTAACATATCATTTTCTCTAGCCCGGCCGACTGGCCCTGAACGTGGATGTTTCGAACTCATGCTTTTGGGCGCTCATTTCTCTGTTGAGTGCAGCAATTGAAGTCCTGGAGCTTCGAGATGTCCAGCAGCTTATTAGCTGGACCAGGCCGGTTGATGATGGACATGGAGGCCGCGCGCCATCCCCTAAATTTCATCAATTGAGCCGTTTCCATAAGCTTGCTGTTAAGGCTTCGTACAAGGGCTGCCCTTGCCCGGACAGGGAATGGGTCATCAAGGAATTCCTTCAAGCAAATGCGAAGGAATATACAATTGACGTGACCGACAGGGCGACTGGTCAAGTTCGTACAATGAGCATTTTCGACTACTTCCGCTCACGATACAACGTTGTTCTTAGTTACTGGGAACTCCCCCTTGTGCAAATGACCAAGAAGGGAGTGGTTTACCCCATGGAGGTTTTGGCAATCCATCGCCCTCAAAAATTCCCATTTAAGCTCAATGAGCTCCAGACCGCATCCATGATCAAATTCGCAGTCACTCGTCCAAGCGAACGACGCAGAGCCGTTGAAGAATCGAAAGCAAATCTTGCGCACGCTACTGACCAGGTTCTCATCGACTTTGGTTTGAAGGTTTCCGAGTCCATGATGACCACCAAAGCCCGTCTACTCCCTAATCCGGAGATACTCTTTGGCGGCAATCAGCGCGTTAATCCAGGTACTGCGGGCAGATGGGATCTTCGTGGGAAGAAGTTTTACGCTAAAAATTCAAAGCCATTAACTTCTTGGGGTGTGGGGGTCTTCCGCAGTCGTCATGTAAACCAGGCGGACGTTGAAAGATTCGTTGATGCCTTTGTCCGCGCATATCAAGGCCATGGTGGTGCCATTGCCAGCCCACGGCCATTCATTGGTGAGGTTGAGGCAGATCCTGCGAAGGCGGCATATAGCTTGTTTCATTCCACAGGGAACAAGTTTAACCAGCGCCCAGAGCTCCTTATTTTTATTGTCATGGATAAAAATGCGTTCCACTATACTAGGGTCAAGAAATCCTGTGACTGCCGCTTTGGTGTTCCATCTCAAGTTTTGCAGGCCTCTCAAGTCGCGAAATGCAACGGGCAGTATATTTCAAATGTCCTTATGAAGGTCAATGCGAAACTTGGAGGCACTACTGCTCGGATTTCATCGAAGATTACCAAAGGGCTGCCTCCATACACCATGATTATCGGAGCTGATATTTCCCACTCCTCCCCGGGGAGCGTTGCGCCATCCATGGCTGCAATGACAGTTTCTATGGATCAATTTGGTGGTCGGTATACGGCAGCATGCGAAACTAATGGCGATCATGTTGAGATGATTAGCCAGGCTAACATCAAGTCAATGCTCTCCCCACTCTTCCGTGAGTGGTCTGCAACAATTGGACAGGGAAGGATTCCCCAGAATATCTACTATTTCCGCGATGGAGTATCGGATGGTGAATTCCAACAAGTCCTGCAGCAGGAAATACCATTTATCAAGTCCCTCTTGAAGGAATTCAATAAGGGTGTGGAATGGGGCGGGAAGGTGACTGTTGTGGTGGCCTCAAAACGCCACCATATTCGAGCTTTTCCTCAACCAGGGGATAGAAATGCCGCAGATAAGAATGGTAACGCTCTGCCAGGGACCTTGATTGAGAGGGACGTGACGAGTCCTCATGGATGGGATTTCTTTTTGTGGTCACATATTGCTTTGCAGGGCACCTCCCGCCCCGTCCACTATCATGTCCTTGTGGATGAGATGAACCACGGGCCGAAAGATTTGGAGAATATGATATACGAGCATTGTTACCAATACATGCGATCGACTACTTCTGTATCGCTCTGTGAGTTTTCATTCCTCTTTTTGGATCCAGCGCATAAACTAACAGACAATTCTCCAAGTCCCCGCGGTGTATTATGCCCATTTGGCATCCAACCGGGCTCGTGCCCATGAAAATATCCCTGCAAGTTCGGGTCCCCGCTCTGGGCCTCAGGTCAAACAGGGCCAAAACCCACCCCCTGCGGAGCCTCCAAGATCCGAAGGAAGGCAGCTGCTTCCAATCGGCGAGGGAGATCGTTTGGCACTAAAGATGTGGTATATCTGAACGGTATTTACCACTTCGTTCTGTGATGAATGTTGCCTGGTTGGTTTTTGCTTTTGCTTTCTTCTTTGAAAGAAAAGTTTCCCCTAGGAAATTTTAACGGTGGATCTTTGAATCCAAGGCTAAGGAGAGAACCTTGATTTTTTCTTGACTGAGGAGAATGTCCTTACAGTGTGGGCAAGCAGAGTTAGGCATGGCTGCAGGACTTTTTATTTTGCTACAACACATAAATACCAGCGGACTTGGCAACGCTGCTTGAGGGGAATCGGAATAGTTTTCGGCAATTACGTCTCCATTTTTCCTTTACTGCAGGTAGATATTTCCATTATCGGTAGCAGAAATTTAAATCGGTTCTCCTTGCATTTTTCCAGCCGCCTTCAAGGGTAGGGTTCATCCGAATCTTTTTTTGCATATCTATCTATTTGACTTCAGGTTTTCTAAATGATACATTACATTTTCGAGGTATTAAATAAGGATTTCTACATTTTCCGTCTGCTCCAAGCATATCAACTATTACCCTCCGCTCTCACTCGTTCCCAGACCGCTATATAATAGCCAGCAGTATGATATATGCTAACTGCCCAAGGGGTGGAGGGAAAGTGGGGTTTGTCCGTTCAAGGAAAGGAATCAGTGTATCATAGAATGTTTGCTCTCCCGCTCATGCCTCCTCCTCTCCTCCTCCTCCTGCCACTGCTACTGCTGCGCCATTTACCGAAGCCGAAGCCCGCGCGTCGGCGTCATCGTCTGCGTCACCGCCACTCGGGGTGTTGTTCTTTTCTTCTCCAACGGTAGGTGCAGGTGCAGGTGCGGATGCGGATGCATGCGCAGGCTTGGGTTTGGGGGTTGGATTGTATATTTCGGCGAGGTTGTATCTTTTCAGGGCATCGTAATCTGGGCCGACGACGCTCATGCCGCATATATTCTGTTGGGGTTGGCGGGGGGTAGATTGGTTTGAGTAAGTACGTTAACGGGAGGGAGAAGGAGAGAAGGAGAAGGGGAGAAGTAAGGAGCGTGTGGTATGTAGGGAATGAAACAAAAAAAAAAAAAAGGGGGGGGGGCTGGCAAAAACAACAACAGTGTTTTATTTACCTGGACAATATCCACCAGGATCAGCGCGTCGTAGCTTTTCAAATTGACCGAGTGGCCGGGTCCGACGGCTTTGGCTACGAGAGGGATCACGGTGTCACGGGTCCATTCTGTGTTGTTCCTTATCGAGGTGCGGATGGCATACTGGGATGTGGGGTGCAGGCGATGGAATATATTAGTTTGGAATTGTTTTAGGGATGTGGGAGAGCATAGTTGGGGGACTTTGCGTTGTGATTTGGAGGGAAGAAGACAGGGCCAATGGGATGCAGTGGAATGGGAAAACCATGGGGTTTCTTAAAAAGGGGAATTGTATCGCGATAGCTTGTGAAAACCCCCCGGGGAATTCTTCCTACCTTTTTCGACGGCCCGCCAGAGTGGAAGTGTGGTTTCAGAACCTCGCGCGATAATTGCTCAAGGCCACCCCCGAGGACCTTCTGCGTTAGTGTTACGGGCGTTATTCGCTGGATCCATCGGCTGCGCTTTTTGGCTGGATCTTCCGACGCGTCTTTGCAAATGCGATGGGCAATTTGGACCGGATCGAGCGTTTTGTCGATTTTTATGAAGGAGACTATGGATTTGAATGGGCGGGGGAAATGTAAATGTTAGGTGGGAATTGGATGGAGAATGTTGGGCCATGAACCATGAATAGAAGGGGTGAATTGCATGCTGATAGACGCACGGCAAGGTATGTCCAGTTTCACTGCTTGGAAAGTATTGCTGTCTTTTTTGGTGCTCTTATTTGGTTTCATGTCATCTATTTCTTTGCGAATTTGGGCCTCGATATCGTCATCTTCCTTCTCTACTTGTTGTGTACAATCCGCATCCGAAGTAGATGATTCTCCACGATTTGTTGTTTTAACTCGAAGGCTTTGGCCTTCAAGGTCCTAATTCATAATGTAGGATGAGTTTTTGATGCGCTGAATGCTGGGTGGAGCAGAAGAGATAGTAAAATGCCCCCAGGTAAAAACTGACTTGGTAGAGTAAGTCTATGATCTCGGACACGCATTTCGCCTCCTTTCCCCGGTTGGACGTGACAAACATTCCCGCGTCGCCTCTCTCAATAACACGCCTGTAGCTCCATTGCCGTGTGTTGCTCTTGTTGAACCAGAGATTTGATTTCTAACGTCTCAATGTTAGATAATCCTATACCAGAACCAGGCGAGCTGTTGGAGCCGACACTTTTCGCAAGAGCCGAAAAAATAGGGGGTTATGTAAAGAAGACACGCAAAGAGCGCATGCACACCTTGGTCTTCTTTGATGATTTATCTACCCCACCATCGTGAGATCTTTTTGCAGGGATCGACATAAAGAATAGTAGTAAAAGCTATGCAAAAACCCAAAGGGAACACTCCCTACGCGGTCAGCTTTTCAGTGAGCCGAACTCTTCCTAAGGATAAAAGTTAGTGGAAATCAAAAGTAAGGCCAACTCATTAAAAGATACCAATCCCAGCCACCTCTCATCAAGGTTGCATTTCTTCAAAGACACTCACATACAATTAGCTGATCTTGAATGATCTCTGGCGTTTAGAGTTGGGTTCGAGCGACCAATTTAGCGCTAGGGATAATTTTTACTTCCTCGAAATATCAGAGAAGAGCCTGGACCAAGGCAGCAATCCTATGGACGAAATCTACTTCAGGTTTCTTGCCGTCTCCTGTCCCATCCCTGGACTGTATTCCCTCAAGATCTTTTGCAGTTTGCTTTAGTAGATTTTCTTGGAGTGACGTCTCGAGCCAAAAATGATATCTTCACGTGACGTAAGGTGTGCTGACTAAAGCCGTCAGCCTCCGTCCCAGCGGCTGTTGACATCATAACCTGGCTCATCGTCGTTCCAGATCTCCAACTCGCCAGGAAACCATGTTTGTCTCGATGTCAGCGTCCCGGCCATCCCAGCTTACGGTGCAGGAATGGGCAGCCTCTGCTCTCTACTTAAAGTTGGTTCCAGCCCCTCATCTGGATTCCTCTATCCCACACGGCTGCCATTGCTGCCATTTTCCGTTCAGTTTGGTCTATTCCCCCATCAACAAGTCCATTACATCTACATCCATCGATTAGAGCTATAATGGCAACCGAAATTCCAAGCAAGGAACTTAAATCCCCTGTCGACATTGCCCACTACCTGTTCACGCGGCTCTATCAGGTCGGAATTCGAGCTGTCCATGGCGTTCCGGGTACCTACCCGCCTATCTGTTCTCCATCAACCTGCAACTGGATCGTGCTAATAAAACATTCTCCCAGGTGACTACAACTTAGTGGCGTTGGACTACCTGCCGAATTGCGGTCTCCAGTGGGTTGGGAATTGCAATGAGTTAAACGCTGGTATGCAATGTGTAAACGGATCGTCCCGGGAATTTCTGGATGCAATTACTCCGGTCATAAAAAGCAATAACTACTGTCAGAAATTAACTCCCTCATTATAGGATACGCTGCGGATGGCTACGCACGCGTGAATGGAATGGGAGCACTCGTCACGACCTTCGGGGTCGGAGAGCTCTCCGCGCTGAATGCCGTCGCAGGGTCTTATTCCGAGTTCGTCCCCGTTGTGCACATCGTGGGCCAACCCAGTACAGCTTCGCAGCGTGACGGCATGTTGCTTCATCACACATTGGGCAACGGGGATTTCAATGTCTTCGCTAACATGAGCGCCAACATTTCATGCTACGTCGCCAAGTTGAATGACCCACATGAAGCTGCTGCCCTGATCGACAGCGCCATAAGGGAGTGTTGGATTCGAAGTCGGCCAGTATATATCACTTTGCCCACTGACATGACGAAGAAGAAAGTGGAAGGAGAGCGTCTGAAGACGCCGATTGACCTGAAACGCCCAGAAAACGAGGTGGAAAAGGAGGAATACGTTGTGGAGATTGTTTTGAAATATCTTCATGCGGCGAAATCGCCAGTCATTCTGGTAGACGCTTGCGCCATCCGGCACCGTGTCCTTGACGAAGTACAAGACCTCGTCATAAAATCCGGTCTGCCGACTTTCGTCACACCAATGGGAAAGAGTGCCATTGATGAAACACTTCCGAACTACGGCGGTGTCTATGCCGGCAATGGTTCAAACCCAGGGGTCAAAGAACGCGTTGAGTCGTCCGATCTGATCCTTAACATTGGCGCCATCAAGTCAGACTTCAACACGGCTGGATTTACGTATCGTATCGGTCGTATGAACTCAATTGATTTCCATAGCAACTTCGTTGCCGTTCGCTACTCCGAATACCCAAATGTCCACATGAAGGGCGTTCTTCGCAAAGTGGTCGACCGTATGGGGCAGTTAAATGTAACTCCAGGTCCCCGCGTCATAAACCAGCCACCAAAACAGGAACCTAGTGAAACATCCGCTATATCCCATGCCTGGTTCTGGCCTACAGTTGGGCAATGGCTCAGAGAGAAAGACATCATCATAACTGAAACAGGCACTGCCAACTTCGGCATCTGGGAGACAAGGTTCCCCAAAGGAGTCACTGCCCTGAGCCAGGTTCTGTGGGGCAGTATTGGCTATGCCCTCGGTGCCTGTCAAGGTGCTGCGCTTGCGGCGAAGCGGGGGAACCAAGACCGACGAACCGTACTCTTTATCGGGGATGGCAGCTTTCAGCTAACGGCACAGGAATTGAGCACCATGATCCGGCATAACCTAACGCCTATCATGTGAGTTGACAAACCCTCTTTAGATAGACACCGATAAAACATAGCCCTCAGGAGACGATGAAAAAATTCCAATCTCAATCGCTGACGACTATAGCTTCGTAATTTGCAACGACGGCTACACCATCGAACGATGCATTCACGGTTGGGATGCGTCCTACAACGACATCCAGCCCTGGAAATTCGGCGATCTCGTTCCAGCATTCGGGGCCAAATCGAGCACTTTTAAAACGCATACCGTCAAGACAAAAAAGGAATTAGTAGACCTATTTGCGGATGAGAGCTTTTCCTCTGCTAAGTCTTTACAGGTGAGTTTGTCTCTCTTCTTGCCTTTTTGTGCTCTCTCAGCCCACTGACTGATCTTTGCCTGTACCGCGTTTGCATAAATTTGCCCTTTTGATTATTTCCGAGAAACGGAAGGACATGAGAGCTAACTCCTTTCTTTTTTTTTCCCTTTCTGAAAATAACTCCAGCTTGTCGAGCTACATATCCCCAAGACGGACACACCAGCAGCACTAAGGTTGACCGCCGAAGCGGCATCAAAGACCAACGCCGAGCACGAGTAAGAAAGCGAGGCTTTTGTTTCTTCTTCTTCTTCTTCTTCTTCTTCTTCTTCTTCTTCTGCCATCACTCCCCTCTTCCTCCGTTCCCAGCTTCAATTTATGGCTTTCCAAATTGCTACAAGTTAGGACATTTGAAAAATAATAATAATAATAATACAATAAAATACAAATCAATACAAGGACAAGTTTCTCCAAAGCATTCATTCGTTCAGCAGCAAGGAGTG